GGGGGGTGGTGTGGTCGGAGGGGCGGGGGGGGGGGGGGGGGGGGGGGGGGGGGGCGTGTTGCAGCCACCTCTGTACCTGAACGTGTAGACCAGGCATTGCCCCGGGACCAGGATGAAAGGCGGGTCGAGGCAAATGTCCCAACCCAGGCTACTGCGAGATACTGCACGAGTTTGGTTACGGCATTCATACTGCTGGTGTCGTATGTATCTAGAAAATATGTTTGAAAATAAACATAATCAGTCACTTGTAGCATTCCTTGAGGAAACTAAGGTCGACGTCACGTTGTGGTGGTCAAACCCCTTGTCCAGACAAGGCGCATGTGTGTGTGTGTGTGTGTGTGTGTGCGTATGTGTGTGTGAGTGTGACTATACGTTTGTGCCTAGCACACAAGATTTAGGACAAAGGAATACGGAGAGACTGATAAATAAAGACTGTTAATGCGCGCGTGTATACGTGCGTTCTAAGACGCGTATGTGACCGATAGGCCAAATTTCACTACACGCTTTAAGGAAGTCTCCCCCCCCCCCCCCCTTTACTCTCTACCGGATATATTCTCTAGCAGTTACAAAATTAGTTTTTTATACAGTTTTGTAACAGTTAGAGTAGACATATGATCGAGAGTAATGTGAATGAAGCAGAACTGTCTTTTCAGTACTCTGATTAACCGTATTTCTATCACTGTAGACTTATGTAAGACCAACCATTTAATCCCTAGTAGACTCTACCAATGGTGAGATTGTACATCGCACTATTATATCTTATCATTTTAAATTTTACATATTATTTTAAATTTTTTAAATTTTTTAAAAAATTGAGGTTTATCAGCTCATGCACTTATATTTAATCCAACGGACGTTATTTCAAGTCAATAATTTACCTGTAGAAACTTTGTTCAATTTTGTCGTACTCCTCCGCTGTCATGTTGATTTCGGAAATGAACACGTTGTCCTTGACGTGTCGAAGAGGTAGATAATCAAAGTCGTGTAACGCATCCTCGAAGACCATTGAACGGGCAAGCTGAAATAGAACAAATCAAGTTTCACCAAAACCAAAATGAACCTTAAAATCTGCGTCATAATCTTTCGGATTCATCTTTGGTAGCTTTATCGCAACTTTTCGGCTCCGGCACAAATAGTAATCTAAATCTTCATTTCAAGTCAATTAATATTAACAAAATAATCAATGGAGTTAAGCTGCTGATATAAATGCATTGAAATATTTATTTCGCGAACTCCAGACCTTGTCCTGTGCGGCAGCTATGAATAATAGAAGATACCCATATAATCATGCTTCAATATCTTAAGATATGTGGGTTACGTTTTCGTGCTAAGGTATCAGTGATTGGTTTCCAGCATAGAAGTTATAATGCTTCTCTGAATAAATCATGCAAAATCTAAGATTGTTTAGTAAATATCTTATTGAGGAATTCGTTACTAATAAAACCGAGATAGTGTTTATAAAATTATATGTCTGACATAATGGGATAAAACTATTTAATGCTAAAATGGATAAATAAAACTTTGCTATCTGCCATTGCCTCCGAACTTGAATTAAACTATGGTGTCAATATCGTTTCGAGAGAGAGAAAGAGAAACAGAAGGCTTGTAGGACTGTACCTGAGCATCTAAGAGCCGTCGTCGCAGAGTTAGAACATTCATCCTCAAAGAGACGTACACAATTATAACCGAATAAGCAAACAATAGGAAGCAAATGCCGTAAACGAGAATCTTCTTGATCGAAGTTCGCTTTCTGTGGACTGGCGTTCCGGACTTCGTAAATGCGGAGGAATCTTTCGTCTCCATTGTGATAGTCACCCTACGTTGGTGTCTAAATTTTGACGGTCAATGAAACTGTGTACCCAACTGACCGGGAGACCCAGTAACTGTCACCTTTCTCTTTCCTGATCCTTAAGTCAGCATAGATCAATATGCTACCCTACAATTACTGCATCTTGTTCTGTGTATGTCAACCTGTTGCAGTATATGGAGTTTAAACGTATGTGGGCTTGGCAGTGTGTTAATATTTCAAGAACGACGTTAAAGTCTTAAATATATTGCTAACTGTATATATCTAACGCAAAATGAATTTTGGAAACCATCATTTAAGTTTCGAAAGTCAGATTTTTCTTTGAAAAATGTCTGATATTTTACTGATTTCCAAGTGCGAACGGTTTTACTGATTTCCCAGACAGAATGATAATTTTAAATCTTTAATAAGTCCTTTAAACTGGATAAATTGGTAATATATTTCCTTTTCGAAAAACGTGCAGATATTTTCATGGTAATATTGTCATTGTTTCTTTACAGCTGTCAGAGGTGCAATTTCGTATTCAAAGTCAACATTTTCATGTTTGAAAGTTAAAATAAAATAAAGTAGGTTAAATGACCGCGTCGTTTACGTCTATCTGATTCAACTGTCAGGTCTAATTCAGTGAATACAAAATCTTTCAGTTGTAACAAGAAAGGTGCATTTTACATTTTACTGCAATCTCCTTCTCTCTCTCTCCTTCTCTCTCTTCGATACATTAGCTGGTTCACACTCACCGCACTTACTGCAGACAGCAGCATACTTGCTATGAACAATGAGCTATATACAGTTCATTGCTGTAAGCTTACAAAACAAATGGAACAATGAACAACCTCTCAAATCTGCATTTTGTTACTTGGGTCACTGTATTCTAGAAAAGTACAAGTGCGGATGGGGGCACATATGATTCAACCAACAGAATTAACCTTGTACATGTAGCTCCCTCACCATTGATTTAAAAAATTCATGTACAGCCTTATCAACATTCAATATACATCGCTTAACATTTATAGAGCGATGTTTAGTAATGTTCAGTGTGTGTGTGTGGGAGGGGGGGGGTTAAAATGTTCTCACTAATTTTACGCAACATTGATGAAAACACGCTCGACTGTCACCTTGGTTGGTTAGTAAACAAGTGTCGTAAAATGCCCATTTAATAAATAAACCTAAAAACCCCACAACAATGACCGTAGACTGCCATGCTAGTTTACCATATCTCACAAAAACGATCAAAATCGGTTAAATGAATGTTGCAAAATGCCCTTACACCACCACTGGAGACGTACGAAGAGAGAGAGAGAGAGAGAGAGAGAGCGAGAGAAGGAGAGAGAGAGAGCAGAATGGAGGGGGAGGGGGGAGTTCAAGTGCGAACCAGCTCGTATAAGAAAGTAACAGAGTGCAATCCATTTTGTTTTAGGTCATGTTCGTATAATTATTGTTCATCTCTTATTTGGGTCGTCTGCTCTAAACTTAAGTGTAGCTCTTCATAACTGTGGCCAATGAGGCTTTATGAGCTATATATAGATCTCTATATTTAGGCCAAGTAAGGGTAAATGCCGTTACCTGTCCCAGGTATTGTCAAGCAAACACTGTTTATTTGTCGAGGAGCTTTTTTTGTACTTTTCTGTTCGGCTTAAATGTGGGTCTTGGTAACGTCAACACGGCGCCACAAAAGACAGGCAGAGGAGAGAAAGAGCTCGAGTGCCGTTCTTAGTTCTCCTTACGTGGACTCGAAAACACAAAAACCGAGTGACGTCCATCTTGTTGAAGTAAAAAAGGGAAGATTTTTAACTTAACAACTGCTTTTCCCAATCACTGTCGTAAGTTGCGATTTTATCATTTGCGCTGAAGTTTTGTTAGATGGTTGTTCATTTAGTTTAGAGACATTACTCGAAGTGCGAATGATCATCGATGGTGCATGGCACACAGACCCCATCCAGAGGTATATAGAAATTTTCACAATCAGTGCAATAGTTCATGTCGACGTAATTGTACAGCAACGTTTTAATTTAAAACAATATCTTAAAATGACATCAAATTTATTTAAAGTGGACTGGATGGACACAGCTTACTGTACAAGCTAAGTTTAAGAAAATTCAAGGCGAAAGTTGACCTTTTAAGATTCTACGAAGGACCGAAACTTAGTCAATTTTGACCTAATTAAGCAAATCACTAGTAGTCCTCTTAAAGGTGGGTAAAGATTTAAGGGTGATTATGGGGCTGATTGCGACTGACTGATGGCAGATGTTTTATATTGATGGTTAAATTTAATGAACTATTACAGACTTTTCTTGGACTTTGAAGTGGAGAATTCGAAGTGTAAATCAGATTTGGACTGACATTTTTGTGTGAAAATGGACCTTGGTCATTTTCATTTCATTGAAGTGTACATTATATCTGGGCCTTGGTACACACAGGGACACACCTATATACACACAAAAATGGAAAAAAGGAGGAAAGGCGAACAGGAAAATAAATTTGTCTTGGGAGGGGGGATAAAACGAACCCTGTACATATAGTGCAAACTTATTCATAATTGGCAGGGGCGGATCCAGAAATATTTTCTGACAGTCTTCCAAATCATCTTTGTTGATCCATCCTCCATTTCTGACCGTCTTCCGACAGAGTAAAATTAGATACCCGTCCGTGTAAATTTGAAAATCTGACCGTCTTCCGGAAGACCCAGAAGACGCCCTAAATCCGCCCCTGATTGGTACAACGTGGGTTTATTTCATCGAAAAAGAAAGCAGTGAAAAATAATCAGTAAAGTAATACTAGTGCACTCAATCATCGTATATGTATTCTTCATGAAACTAGAGTTAATTTCGATATTTGTTTGGTAGCTGTATGTGTCCTTATAATGGCTGCTATGTTATCGGGAATGGGTGAGACAAGCACTAAATAAAGGCCGTATCTAATTCATATTCTGCAATGGGCCAAATTGCACAATAATTGTACAAATTTGAAATCCCGGAGCTGTGGGATTTTCGATATCCTCGTTATACTACTACTTTCAGGCGCATCACAACCGTTAGTCATCAAAATGAAAGGGGTAAGTCAACTAATTATATCTTAACGTATTTGAAAGAATGAAAGACCTATGGAGATTGTAGGGTAATCTAGGTAAATATCCTACCAATGGTACAATAATGCTACCCTTGGCGTTTATTTCGTGTTTCAATGTTGCGACTTCACTCAAAAGTGTTTAAAATCTGAAGGCTGTGTTGTTTTGGAGAGCGAGGAAAGCAATTATTATTATTATTGTTAATATTATTATAGGTCTTTCTTCACCTCTGTTTGGTTGTGTTTCTGAGCCATGGTGGTCATCCTACACCCATCTCGTCAAGTTCTGACAGATTAGACGCAGGTAGGTTGGGATTGAACTCCATCTAATATGTAAAAGAAAAACGTGTTTTTTCTCTTTGATAAACATTGCATTGAAATTATTGTTTCATGGCGAAATTTTTGATAAGTAGTAATAACACAAATTTTTCAAATTTCAGATGAGCTGAAAAAGCTTTTAGCACTGAAAAAAGAATTAACAATTGATGCTGGAGGGGACCAGGAGAAAAGAGATGAAGGTAGGTAGCATGCCAATGTAATAATAACCATGTTGCAATTCTTTTCACAGCATTTCTGTGCCATGTGTTCCATTCTGGCGGCATCCATATACTAGGAGCTACCTATCTGCACTTTTTTTACAAAGTTTAAGATATTTGCACATACATGTGTGATTGTTCTTTCAGTTGCGAATGTCGTAGCACTGCTGGAGAATGAACTTGAAAGGAACCAAGAGCTAGAAAGACAAGCCGAGTATAAGCGCTATTTGGATTCCCTGAAAGAAGGAGGTAGGGTTGATTGTTAACACAGTAACATGAAAGCAATTTTTTAAGTTCAATGATTCAAACCCTATAATCTCTGACTATGTATTGCAGCGCTGTGTCTAGTTAACAATTCAAAGCGAAGGCAAATGCCACCACAAAAAGTTGCCGGGTTGATTTATGCGTGTCCGGCACGAAGAGTTTTCTTTTATTGTATTTTCCAAAAATGTTACAGAGCGATGGCGAGTGCCGGGAATGATAGATCTAGATTTAAGGTTGGTTGGTAAATCGCGGAAAAGTACTGTTAACCCCGGGATAAATCAATTTTGGCGCGAAAATCCTCTTTTGTGTCCTTTTAATTGACATAACTTACAAAATCTCATCACATTTGTCTTAAGTACATGAATTTTACCGCTCGACAACGACCCAAATAGCGGCCAGACGTTTTCTTACGAGATGGAAAACGATTTGCTTTATTCCAGACCTCCACGAAGGCGACATATTAGTTGACAAGGAGCTGCTAGCAATGCTTAGAGATGACGTCAGTGATGCACCAGCGGAGAAGAGACAGATGACGTCACGGCCTAATAGGAAGTGGAGAAAGTCTGGTAATGATGTCATCATTCCCTATACCATGGCTGCCGGTAAGTTAATTCTGCCGGGTGAATGTGGCTTGAATAATTATAGGTAAATCCACTGTATAAAGTTAACATACGAATGTACATGTAAATACATAGCCAGTAGTGCCAAGTTAGTATTTAAGATAATCATACGCCCACTATACACCTTACAGAACGACAAGTGTGTGTTTTGTGGGTCTTCATTGTTCTTGGATCTACTTAATTTTGTAAGAACTACTCGGCTAACACCTCAAAATCGCCCGATCCATTCCTTTTGTTGCAATTGCAGGTGGTTCAGCTTCTTATGCGTTCCAATTAGCGATTAACAGTCTGAGGATGTTAACTTGCATCAAATTTCAAGCCAGGACAAATCAGATGGACTATATTAAAGTAACTGGAAGTGGTAGCAGGTAATCGTCATAGATGCTATTTACAGCCACATCAAAATCGCTCAACTTGAAAAACGGAGAATTTTGCATACTTTAAGAAAATTGGACGTGTTATCAATGTGTTGAGAGTGTACAGATGCATTATGTTCTGTTTTAATTAAAAAAGACAATATCCAGAAATTGCATTATTAGGATAATCTAATAACGACATAAAGATTCAAGGAATAACACATACTAAACTGTAGGCTATATGTATACATGTATGGCACCAGAATTTGAATCACGATACTTGTTTTTTGTTTTCAGTTGCTTTTCGTCCTATGGTAAACAAGGTGGCATGCAGACACTGAATCTTGGGAACGGATGCTTCAGCAAAGGCACTGTGCTGCACGAAATACTTCATGCGGTTGGATTTTTCCACGAACAAAGTCGACCTGACAGAGATAATTACGTCACCATCAATTATAGAAATATCAAATCCGGTAAGTAAAAGAAGTAAGCATGCAGTTTGTATTTCTTATGATATTATAAAAAAATTATATTTTAAAATCCGTATGGCTAGCTGGTTTGAATATACTCTTGGTTGATAAAAATAAGTGGCGAAAATCTGACACGGAAGGTCAAATAATAAGCACAACTTTGGTACTTGGGGAGCACGGTTTCATAGAGAAAGGTTACCATCTTTCAGTGTTTTTTTTTTTTTTTTTTTTTATATTTTAGGAATGTCGAGCCAATTTGCAAAGAAACGATCTTGGGAAGTAACAACCATGGGCCAACCGTACGACTTCCAGTCTCTGATGCACTACAGAAATACTGAATTCAGCGCCAACGGACAGAAAACGATACAGGCAAAAGCCAACCCATCCATGTCACTCGGGAATGACGACTTGTCTGCAACTGATGTGGACAAGATTAATTTGTTCTACGGATGTCCACAAGCTGCATGGAGAAGTAAGTTATGTAATATTTGAAAGTATTTTTGTATTCTTCTGTTAGGATACCTATGTTAATCTGTCGAACGTGAGTAAGCACGATAAATCCTCCATGCTACTCTACGAAAAACACGTCATCTTCTTATCTTCCATTTTGTAAGTCCGATATTTCTTTTTATCATTTCGTTATGCACATTTTATGCAATTTCATTTCAGTGGACGACTTTGTGATTCAAGTAAAGACCAGTTCTTCTTGGTTTTCTGGCACCGATGCCAAGGTTTATATGGAATTGTTCTGGGCAAATGGCGTGAATTCTGGAGAATTCCCAGTCCAGGGAGAATTTGAGAGGAAGTCGTAAGTACATAATCGCACTCAGTTTCGTTTTGTTGAATGAAAATTGTAGTGGTAATCAAATTATTTTGACATGTATTCTCAACAAGAGGGCCACAAAAAATCATTTACATAAATCACCGTGCATATCTGTATAAAGCTAATAATAATGATAAAAATCATAATAGCTTTCAGTATAATAATAATAATTATTATTATTATTATTATTATTATTATTATTATTATTATTATTATTGTTGTTGATGTTGTTGGGATGATCTTGTCTTCTCAAGCGTAATGATGTTCTGCTAATAAGTTGCCGACCAATGACTAATAATGTTTTTCAAATTCTTCAAAATTATTAATTACAAAGTCATGAACTGCAATAATTATTTGCACCCAGCGTGGATACCATGGATCTGTATTTGCCGAACGAGAGCAATCTGAGTAAGATAAATATTCGTCAAGATGGCACTGGTTTTGGCTCCGATTGGAAACTAGACAGGGTAAGGGCAAACAAGTCTTAAAGTTGAAGTGGGCAAAATATTTGTATCAAACCAGGCAAGTGTTGTAACAGAATACAACATTTGGCCTCAGTATACGTTTAAAACTAAAAAACTGCAAAAGTTGTGAAAAAAAAGGTCCAAGTCAGACAACTAGTATGACCTGAGGCGTCGAACGAAAGTCAAATGATGATCCAGAAAAAACTTTTTCATACAGTCTTATGAGAGTGTGAAAAAGATTCAGTTGACTTTGACCATTATTAACTTATTTTATTAAAAGTATATGCACGAATATTTTTTAATAATTCCTAAGACCGCATTAGAAAATGAATGTATTGCACACTTGAAAGGGACAACTCATCTTTGTATGAGATCAATATTTCACAATAAATACATTGTAAGCAACTAATAAAAATAATAAAATATTTTTATCACCAAAACGGCTGTTGTCGCAATTATTCTGGTATCTGTGCTTGCCATCGGACCCCCGTTACCTCCATAGATGGCTACCCTCTGTAATAATCCCTTAAGAGACGCGCAAAATGATATTTTTAATATGTCAATTTATGAAATTCTCTTTATGTTTTGTTTTCAGGTGACAATAGAAGATAAAACCCGCAGTACAAGATACGAGTGTTATTGCAACTGCTGGTTAAAGAACACTCTTGCCAAGACCGTCTCCTGTAGACGACTTTAATCGGCATGGAGGCCACCCCAATAGAACACCAATATTGTCCACCCCGGCCAATTTTCACTGTGATCGCTATACCTTTTGGAGAGTAGGCCTACCCGTATCCGCGATAAAGTGGGCCAAGTCATCTTTACCGCCCCAAATGAAGAGATATTATCTCCTCGGTGGCCTTTCATTCATAAGTTAAATTGACAACGATTTTTAAAAATCAGTCACTACATGCTCTGCAATTAAATTGATCGATTGATTTTACATGCAAGCGTTTACCTGTACTGATGCTGTAAAATTCATTTTCCGTCCCACATACAGGCCTACAATGTAGGCCTACTTTAGAAATCTCAAAGGCACAATATACATGTTTTAACTCAAATTACTTAAATTAGTTTTGTTCAAAAAGTAATATGACCCTTAATTGTATCATTTTTTTTACATTGAATGTGGATAAGATATTAAACGCGCCAATGGACGCTAAGCAAGTAATAAGATCGCCAGGGACGAAGTGGGATGCCTGCATAGGCAATTGACCTCACTAAAATTATGTTTCATTTGTGGAATAAACAACCTTGAAGTTTACTATTTTATGTATTTTCAATTTGTTCAATAAAGTCTCATTTAACTTTTTCATTCGTTTTGACAGCCATGGTTGCAGACAATGTGATAGTTGAGACCGTGTTCATGCCACTTTCCGGTGCAACTATCACAATGATTCACAAAGGCAAAATGCATTTAAATGCATTTTAAAAATGTCTACATTATCACTGTTATGTTTTTGTATTTATTCTTCATCCATATTCAAATATCAAATTATGTACACACTTTTTCAATTGTCCAACCCTTGCCCTGACCAGTGACCTGTCAATCATGGCTTGTCCTTAGAATGATGGAAATTATTATAATTATTATTATTAATGTCATTATTTCGTTTGCATTACTCACATCATCGTGAAATACACGTTTCATGTATTTTACGATGATATTTAAAAGTGTTTATGTACTAATTGTTATTTTATTAATATTCAATATATGTACAAGAATCACCACGATTACAATCATCTTGAAGCTATAAAATACACCCTAAGGTGCGTGATGTGAGCCTTTATTCGCGAAGAACAACAATAAATGAAACATAGATTTGCTAAGTCTATCTTCAAATAGGCAAAGATGGATGGTGTCAATTTTTATTTCGTCAGCAGTCATTGTTTGAATAATGAAATAGAGCAAATAAAGAGCATGGGTGCCTTTATCTTTTACTGTAGCCATTATCTTTTGTTATTCATTTATTTAGCGTTATGTACCTACCGGTATCTTTCACTTGGTAATCATAATTATTGTCACTAGTAGTAGTAGTAATAATAGTAGTAGTAGTAGTAGAATTTATTTTGTGGTTTACAAAGTTTTTTCAACCTCCCTGTCTGAGTCTAGTCTACTTTGTTGAAATCGAGACTTCCAAGATAATGGCAGTTATCGGGCACGTGCCCTCTGTGTACGAGCGCCTGTTTGCTGTTTACTAACCGGTCTATTAACCTGACATTTATGTGAAACAGGTAAACATTTACATTCTTTACTGCTTAGGACGCTTGTGGCGAGGCATGTACTCGTGCAAAGTCCATTTTATGAATGTGACCCCACAACCAAGGTGTAAATACGAGATACAACTAATACAAGGCTGTAATCGCGTTGTCACACGTGACGTACCAAATTCATTTTGTTTACTTTTTAAGGAGATGGATTGATTAATTAATAGTATGTCTTTTTGTTTTCACCTGCCTTCAATATGAATATAAACGACTATTACCACTTATAACTCATAACGTTATCTTTGACATTTTACACAGTCTAAGCAATGTTGCATTGGATTTGGTGGAGAAAGATGACAGGATTCATCTGTAGTTCATCTAGAGTTATATATGTATGAATAGATGTTTATAGTGCGACGCGCGCCTCCGCCTACTGAGTCGATGCAGAGGTAAAAAGTATATGTCGTTTGATGCATCTTGCAATTTATCAGACAAATATGAGCAATATCACACACTCGCACACACCTGTACACTGTGGTACGCAGAGCGATGAAAACGGGAACAGGGAGACTTTAACCCGCCAAATCAACTTACACCAACAGCCAGGCGGCGAGTGGTTCAATAACTACTGCATGGTAAGCTTATGAATGCAGTCAGACGGCTCATTATTTTCTCGCTTAGAAAGAATAATTGGTACACATGTTACACATATCACTATCCGAGGAAGCTGGCACGAGTAGGCCTATAGGCCTGATCAGAACTGTGCAGAATACAATAAAGTGCAGTGAATAGAAAGAAATTGAAAAAAGATCAAAATGTCATTTGTAAATGTTACTTCTTCAAAATTATGTACGAGATCCGAATGTATTTGCGTTCCTCCCGCGCTCCAGTTCTTGGCTCGAAACTATCAATATTTTTACTTTATTTTTTAAAAAAAATAATTTCCACTAACTGGTTCCACATTTTATTATTTTTTCATATCTTCATTTGCTCTCTTTGCACAAGCTACGTAGACCCATGGTTTCAATGGGAATAAGCCCTCACACACACACACACACACATTGAAATGCCCAATATGCTTCAAGGATATATCCCCTCTTGTCGTGAATCATGACACAACCCACCTTTGATAACACATACACGCACAAAAGACGACAAGGACAGAATATCCATTTTATCCATTTTATGTTTTTTCTGCGTCGGCACGTACTTCCTCTTTCTCCCAGAAAAAAAGTTTGTTCTATGACCCCATGTGACGAGGTACACACGTGCATCTGTACTCCACACGCTTAATGAAAAGAAATAAAGTAGCAGATTTATCGGTGACTAATAACTTGATAAAGAAACTTTTGACCGATGAACCTTCTGAAATAGGAAGATGAACCCAGAGAGCAGGGAGGGGGGTGGAGTTTCTGCCTCTCCCGCACTTTTTCAAAAGGAAACTAAAAGGCGACAATGGCACTCTTTAAATCGGGATGTTTCCAAACCCATCTGAAAGAGCAATCTTTTCCATCAGCAAATGATCACTGATAATCTACATGGGCAAACCAACTGACAGATTACTTATGAGGCCAAGAGGAGGAGTTAAGTGTAATTGCTCTGCGTGCCTCCACTTCCTCTGAATGAAGCTTACGCACGATGCCCGACCTCTAACCCTGCGGCGGTGGGACGTGCCTTTTCAACTCTCACCCGAGTGCGAGCAGACGCTTTTGTTGACAACCGGGACAAGTTTTGAATCGTAGACAGGTTATGAGTGGGGGAAAGGTCATTTCTCTGGCAAACCACAACATAAAGCCAAGTTCTCGCCATTTAAGTTCATCATTGAGACGTTCAACTTCACTAGGGACGGAATCTTCCTTTCAATTTCGAGGTGTTCAAGAAAGACTGGAGGCATCTACAATGATGACCTCCTCGTTTTGTTCTTTGGTGTTATTGAAATACAGTTTGATATTTACCGTGTTATTGTTAGTAACTGTCAAAATAGCACCATGTGAAGGCGGCAGTGTGGAGGACTATCACAGGAGGTATGGAGAACGTGCCCGAGCCGCTTGGCTGGCAGCGACGCAGCATAGGCGAGATATGAGACGTCTTGGTGGCGCTTCCCACCGTCGGTCGGATGTCTCTCGGGATCTGCAGGTCCACCCCACCTCCCACCACCGTCACTCCAGGGGGGTCCACGAATCAGCCGACGAGTACCTGAGTCACCAGTCCTCGGGGAGACATCGCCGCCACGTGGACGGATCGGGACGCGGGTCGAACACAGCCAGGGGAGGAAAGTATGGACACGCGCTGTTATTTACCGGGGACGCTCAAGTTTTGCGATTGAAGCCCAGCGGTCGAAATGTTGCGTTTGATATTCCAAAGAACGATTTTACGGTGGAATTTTGGCTGAAACCCGAGGGCGGCCAACTGGACGAGGTCCCCATTGTCGGTGAGTGAAAATATAATTGCATTTGTCACATTTTTAATCTGCAAGTTTCATTAAGAATTTACAATGTATACGTAAATGTCATGTTATGTGGTATGTGGTTTTGTGCTGCAAGTATGTTTTGTGCATTCATCATGCTATACATGTGTATATGTATATCATCATACTGCTGCATAATTACTTACATATAAGTTAAATTTCATCACAGTCTACCTCCTTTCGTATTATATTGTACTGGTATTGTATTTCTGTGTAATACCAGTGGCGGATTTATTGGGATGTCAGGGGGGGGTGCTGATCCCCCCTTCCATTTCTGAAAAAAAACCACCAAAGGTCCGCCCTTGAAATTATAATTTTGACCAGCTGAATCATAGATCCTAACTGTACCAACGGCACCGTTCGCCCTCTAAAATACCAAAAGTTTTCGGGGTCCTTCAGGGAGCCCCGTACCCCATGCAAAGGGGGGGGGGCGGGTTCGAGCTTTGCATCCGCGGACTCCCCCTTCAAATAACCCTGGATCCGCCCCTGAATACATTGTAATTAATCACCACGGCAGTGGTATATTTGATTGCAATAAAAACTATCTAAAATCACGAAAAAAAATCGCATTTATTTACCTCCTTTCGTCCCAAAATTGGTGTATATCTGTGCTATTTGAGGTGGCATTTTTATTTTGATGCTAGTCTACCATATTGTAAGAGAAACAAATATGATTACCCCTATTATCTAAATTTTCCATTTTTGAAATTGTACGGTCCGTCTCCTTACTTGATTGGGTGATAGTTGGCTACGTCTGTTGACTCGTCTATCATATTCAACTGTCACATTTTGTGGAAGTTACTAACGAATGAAAATTGCCTTTTAATTTTGAAAGCGCAAAATTATCAAGAGGGTGTTTGGTTTTACGCACCCCTTGTTTTGCGAGCGAGAACTCACCTTTTTTAATTTCGTTTTTAAAACAATTTGATATAAGTTTGTACATGCCCGTGCTCCATTTAGCGTGTCATTATCTGTGTATATCTTTTCAGGGTAATTTGTAATATTTTGTCTTAAAGAGCTGTTTTTAGTGCCCTTTTGTCGGGTCGCGTTCACAGCTTTTTACTGTGATATTTACACAACTCTGTTGAAAAACGCCCACATTCCTCGCAATATCGTAATCATATTGATGCACTTACTGAAACAAGTTGTCTGAATTAACTAAATAAATTATTAGTAGAAATGTGATTTTATTAATTTTGCGATCAGTTTGCAATAAGGGTTGCCCGTTCAACGGTATTTTTTAAAACAATTTCTTCTGAATAACATGTCCAACCCTGTGCAAATCATTTAAATAGAAAATGCGTCTAATTCGACATAAAACAGAACATACCCCGACATATCGCAAGAAAAATGTGTAAATGTACAAACTGGTTCAGAAAAGTCAAAACATACGTGTAAGATCCTGTTGATAGTTTATTGTCTGGCTAAAGCCGCTCAATGCCAGTTTCATAAAATAGTTACTGCGTTCCGTTGGGTGCTTGCAATATACGATGATTGCATTAGCTCTGTTATTGTTTTTTTTCCGCGAATTTCCAAAAAAGGAATTGTAGACTGCATCTTTCGAGGTGAAATTTGATTTTTCACAAATAACATTTTCTCTTCAAATTCGATTTAATTCTTATATACACACACACCATTTATTTAAGCAAGACCATGGTATCTATGATCAGTTTAGTTTTGTGGTTAAGAATTTGCTGTTTTGTTTTTGTATATTTCATCTAAGAAACCTGTTAACATGTAACCAGTCGTTAGGCTTTCACATATGAACCTGTGCTGTTTGTACATTGCTCGATGTTAGTCCCAGCGTCAAAATACACATTAAACGTTTTTCATATAGTTATAAACAAGGCACTTTTCTTTCTCCTATTGCCGCCCCTCCATCTCCACCCTCAGGACAAAAATCACTCCCGACAGATTGCGAGTGCGATATGTTGAGTTTTCTCGTCTGTCTGCGCTGTCTGTCTGTCGGTCTGTTATTTGGACAAATAATCTCTTTATGGGGGAATATGTATATCATGATTGGAAGGGCTAGACACAAGGGCAAATTAGCTAAATTTTGAAAGAAATTTATTTGAGCCGTCGAATACCATGGCTTATAAAACTAAGAACAAGAATCAAATGTATGGAATTGACATTTATCAAAAAAGAGAAATTTTTATTCTTATTTACACATTGGCCCAATGGTCGTAGAACTTTATAAGTGCAAGGCACGCGAAAGGATTGCTGAAGTTGTTAAGGGCGCTGATAAACGACCACTTGTTTACGTGTCCTGAGGATGTAGTAATCAGAGTAATTGCCGATTTAACCGCGTGGGATGGTCGGTAAACACGCGGAACTTGCTGGTCAGTGATCTGCTCGAGTAGAACTGTCTGTATGGCAAAGCAGTGATATTCCTACACACACACACACACGCACACACAAACAAACTCACACACACACAAGCACACACACACACACACAGAGAGAGAGAGAGAGAGAGAGAATTATGAGGTATATGATATTTGGTTCGTTCATCTCTGGCATTTTCTATCAACTTCACACACTCCCCATTTCTTTCTGCTTGTTTTTTTTCCTCCGATTTAACAAAATCAACCTCTCTTTGTAAGGATACATGTGTGACTTGTTCATGAAGCACATGTAACATGTAATGCCTTTAAAAATCAGGTGGACTTTGTTCCATGCTGACACCATACACAGTGAATGAAATTCTAAGTCTGTTCTCAGTTTGTGTCCAAACATAAACATACACGAGTCCATCTTAGGGCGTGTTGAACCTTGCAACTCAACAGAATTGAAAAGAAACGAGTAATAAATGCGGACTTTGATCGGAACTGCCACAATTTGGCACTGCTTATGTTTACATCTTTTTCACATTTGTAGATGTTAATTATATACTCGCGTAAGTGTTATTCAATCAAAGGATTTATCACGAGCCAGCCTCAAAAGAATCGATGGGAAATGAATGATATCGCAAAATTTTGAAAAAAAAGGAAAAATGAATACGCTCATTGTCTGGCCGTTTTGAAAATATGGGGATCCCAGGGTCTTATCCACCCCTATTCATTACAAAGCGTTAGACGCGGGCGCAGAAAAAGAGAGAGAAAGAGAGAGTGAGAGAGGAGGCGAGAGAAATGCTTTCGTCTCAGTCGATCCCTCACACAAGAATTAAATCAAGTGTAACGCACTTAGGAAAATAATGCTGCCCGGTCAATGGTTCAAATATCCCTGGGTTAAAACTCTGATAACTTAATACTTTTGAATCCACACTCTTTGGTCTCAATATTTTCTGGTTAAAAGAAGTCATCATCTCGTTTTCAAATAACCGAAAAGAGAACAACGCTTAAACGGCACATACGAGGAGGTAGTGGGTGTGGTGGAAGAGGACAAGACTTTTGCCAAAGGCACCAAGGAAGTTATCCAACAATTCTGACTTGCAAAGTAAACAAGGGCAATTTAAAACGGCACCTAAATTCTTTAGAAAAATGGGTAGCGGGATTGTAATGTCAGTACTGCCATTTATCGCAAGGGCGCTTTGTTACTATCTATACTAAAAGTCTCCTCTGTGGACTTGCTTGACTTTCACGCACATGTACGTGTGATCCCCCTCCCCCATTGATTTAGTTTAATTAAGTTTTAATGAATGTATCGGACAAATATAAATTATATTTAATAAATTAATGATACTCATAAATGTGAATAAAGCATTATTTCTACATATTTTCCGATAAATAAGATTATGGATTAAAATTCTTCCAATATAAAGATGGAAGCCTTGATGAAATGATGTTCTGCGCAACGTATTAAAAGAGGTAAAAAGAAAAAGAAGAAAATCACAAATTGATAAATCACATATTTATAAAGCAGTGAAAAAGATAAATAAATCATTTTGTCCATAAATGCCAAATAAAAAATGTGAATGAGTTAAAAGTGCTTTTCTCTCACGATATCTACTCTTATTCTTACTCCGTGTCTACCGCGAGCGTATCCTGATTTACGGATAAACTGCGGTTTTGAATGGAAGCCTGCAGCAATTCTTGCTCCCCGTAGATAAATCTTAGCATTCAAGTTCCTGAGGATGTTTGATTTTTATTACAGCTAGCCCGATGTCTGCTGGAGGTTTATTAACAACTCCGTGATGTGATAGGCCGGGGAAGTGGCGTGATTCTGGGACCATTTTTGAAACATTTTATGGATATGTATTTTTGTAGAGTAGTCGAACTAATATATGGATGTTGAAATTGGCCTTAATGTTACAGAAGTCTGTCTGCCTCTTTATAATCTGTACAGGAAAGTCTAGCTGAGAGGATAGGTGTTCTAGAGAGAGAGAAAGAGAGAAAGCAGGTTTAAAAGTTAATCAGTACTCTTGAAAAAATAATGAAATTACAATATATAGTCACCATTTCCCTTTTTGTTGAAAAGCTCCGATCATATTTGAAAAACACGCTAACATTTTTTCATGTCTCTATTTACAAAGCATTACTGTTCCTATATGTTATCTAAACAAATCTGCTGAGCTTCCTCCTTCTTTCTTAACCAGTAACATATAGGTCGTCCGGTACAGCACCTGTTTCACACCAAACACCACCAGACATTGGCCACAATCCAAACTCACAAGCACGCGTACAATAGCGGTCAGGTAACTGCAGATAATTTGAACAAAACTTGGCCAAGTGCGGCGATAACATTAAATCACACGACTTCAGCGTTACCAGATGATCGCATACTTATAATACGTAGCATACCCCTGGCGTCACGATTGTACAATATCAACGCAACTTTCGATTTAGAGCTCAATTTCGTTCAAGCAATTACGATGATGTCCTTCCACCTCTTTTGTAAATTCTCATCTCTAAAGTTACTGCTCTGATGAACGAAAAGAGCTTAGTCATGCACCAGTGACTATTTTTCTCAATTAATGACACTTCTGTTCAGGTTCATATACGGGTTTCTGTTATTGTAATACTCTCTTTTTTTTTTTTAAACTTCTATATCATTTAATTATTTTTGCAATTTACTGACAGAGGCTATCAAAGACAATTTTTCTAGATATCTTATTATTGTCTGATTTCAAAAATTATATCTTATATTCCACTACTTTTCTCTTAAGGTGCCTTCACAAATAAATTATCGTGCAAAGTAGTTCGAACTAAGTCCGGGGGTACTCTCGCTGAATGCAGTCAGATAAAAAGAGTAAAAAGCCTCCTCATGGCGTTGAGTAGAAAAAAATCTGGTGATTATACGGGTGTGTTGGAAACAAGAGGAGGCGTGTTAATATGACTGAATTTGACGAGAGTCCCAGCAGAGTTACGTGTACGTGGTACGAAAGTTTCTGGATCGAACAGAAGAATATTCAATTATTTGAGCGGTGTGGGTTTTGAAAGTTTCTGGGTCGAATATAAGAATGTTCAGTTGTGTGAACGGTGTGAATTTTGACCATATCCGAGCAGCGAAAGGAAAATGTCTGGATAATGTGTACTTACTAATAATAATTAGTAATGATCAATACTTTTGAAGAACCGACATTGGGTTTTATTGGATTTATGTTCTATCTTCCTATGATTGTGTCATAACTAATGAAGATGAAGAGTTGTTGTCCTTCTAACCGGCACACATATTTTATTTAAAAACTTTTCTTTTGACAGGCGTGTTTGATACCTGTGTCACAGAAACTGGTCAACGACACCCAGGAACCTGGCAAATAGGGATAAAAGCTACGCGGAAAAACGAAAGGAAAGATGCGCGCATCTTCTTCTCGCTTTATACCGAGCGATCTCGCAAAGGCACATTATTAACATCGTCCAGAAATTATATTCCCGAGAAGTGGGTCCATGTTGCTGCTGTTTATGCCAACCATAAAATGAAATTTTATCTAGATGGCGCCAAAGTGGCTACTGATACAACTCAGAGAGGGGATATTTTCAGTGAACCATATCATCGCTGCAAACAATTTGAAATTGGCGGAGACGCTATTGCGAAGCGATATTTCCGAGGATCATTAGACGAAATACGCCTCTGGAGAAAAGGGCTGCATCACAGCGAAATAGTTCGTCAAATGTTTGAGGGAAAGACAACCGCACGACACCAAAACCTCGTTATATCGTCCAACTTCAACACCCTTACAGGATGGGAACTAGAAGACGGCCACAACGAACCACTCAGGGTATATTCCACCATTGATGATCACCGGTTCGACATGGCACTGACAACGCCACCTTGTGGTCGAACGGTCTGCGATGACCCAGATGTAGTCCGGAGTTACGTAGCGCACCCAGAACTGCGCGCACCGAAAGAACTTCGATACCGTTTAATCAACGTTTACGATGATGATGGCACAAACCCATCCGTTTCCTCTTCTCAGATACTCGCACAACATGCAATGTTACAAGATGCATTTCTACGTTATGACATTTCATGGACGTATGAGGTAAAAGAAGTAAAAAGCAGTTCGATGAGAAAGAGAAAAGTCTTAAGAGAGTGCGATCCAGCGAAAATTGGGGACAATAAATGTGATCGTAACTGTAACTTCACCACGACAGGCTACGATGGAGGGGATTGTTTGTCTTTGCCATGTGACCAAGAACAAATAGGTAATTTAATTTTGTGAATAACAATGGCACAAAACGCGTGTACTTTTGTTTCAGATTGATGAAATTTAGATCATCCGAGATAGCCGAAGTATCAAGCGAGATTTCGCAGAATTGAGCGTGGTGCAAAACGAAAAAACAAACAAACAAATAAACAAACAAACAAAAGAAAGCTGACAGAATGCACCAATGGGTAGGGTCTTATTTCTCTGCTTGGTTTTTCTAAAAAAATGTTTAATTACTGACTATTACAGGAATACAACTTCACTGTGATTTGTGTATCACTATTGTTTTGCTTTTAAAGATGACAATCGGATATTTTCAGTGCATAGAATTTCACCCTCAATGTTAACCCCACCTCGCTCGGATTCTTGCACGTTTGACGGCATGGCTTCAATACAGCCTCGTTTTAGGCTATCACGGATGATGCCCACACACACATACAAAGTGCACACACACACAGAGAGAGAGAGAGAGAGAGAGAGAGAGAGAGAGAGAATTAGATTTAAAATTATGCGATTCTTATAACGCTTTCTTAAGGGTGAAACATCCATTGCAGTTTTCAAATCTAATTCATATTTTTTTTACAAAGGGAACCATTATTGTGACCTGAACTGTAACCAGTACCGCTATGGCTGGGACGGGGGTGACTGCTGTGAGACCGGTGACAGAGGACATTGCATAGACCCCGAGTCGCCACACAGGTGAGAACAACACGTGTCTTAGTCGATCTCGTTCAACGGCGTTCCATAACGTATGACAGCGCGAAGACGTGGTGTAGCCGTTGAAATAATCTTTTGAAGGTGTCTGTATAGATTTTGGCGTTAGATTGAGAGACTTGCCCTTGAAATTTGATCAACATGGAAAGTAGATAAAAATCGTCAATCTTATTTCCAAATAAAACAAATTCAAAAACTACGTATTTCACCTTTTCGAGTCACAGCAAAAATGCCTTTGTATGAAATTAAACAGATCATATCAGAGGTTCTATAGGACTATCATAAAATTGTATGTTTCAGAACCTACCTGACCTTGTCTGAATACAAAGCCATGTTAAATATATCCAGCAAATCACACCTGAACGTGTTCGTCCCAGAGTTGATTGCAGCCAGTATCCTTGGACAGGCCACATACCCCTGGGAGAAAGGGGCTTTAGAAGAACAAGGTACAGGTATAAGGGCTGCCAGTGCTTTTGGGTGAGGTTTTATGGGAACAATTCTGTAAGCACGTATTGGCAGGCACTAGTATGATGTCTTTGGAAGTAAAGGTTAGCACATGTTGTTAGGGCTTTAAGTAAGGCCTTTTAAGAACAAGCCAAGCATATATAGGATTGGCGCTAAAATGTTTTTGAAGTAACATTTTACTTGTACAAGTGAATTGGCACGTTTCTGTACTAGGTTGATTCATCGATGAAAATAAGCAAAACTAGAAAAGCACCTAGAGAACGCAGACATCGCCAAGACAAACAATTAACTAATAATTAACCATTACTTAATCATTGAACCAACACCAAAATATAATCCTTTTAAAGTTAGCCCATGCCGACATATCCTAAAAATTTCATCAAAATCCGTCCGTAACTTTTTGAGTTAAATTGGTGGCGAACTAACAAACAAAACACGACCTCCTGGGCGGAGGTAATTAATAATGTTATAATTGGATAGTAAGTCAAATGCGTTTGCCTCTAAAAGACATTGAGACATGTTTGAAAATACGAGAAGACGTAATGTAGAAGAAAAGAAATTATAATGTGAGTGGAACATAATGGAAAATAATGTCTTCCTTACTGAATTGCAGATTCAAACGCTTCCAGGTCGTCGAATGTGTCCCTTTGTAAACGTTTATATGCCAATGTTCTGTGTTTTAGGGGGAGTCGTTATCGATGCTAGCCGGTATGGACGTCCAGGCTTTATGTCCACCCTAGTCCACGAGGTAGGACACGTCCTGGGTCTCCTTCACGTGCATCATGGCGTCTCTGACCTCCGATGTGATGACCAGTGCGCCGAGTCACGCCCTTCTTTGGAGCTCGGGGATTTGTGTTCAGATACAAACCCTACTCCGATGAATTCCAAATGCCGAGACCCGGATGAAGTTACGTGCTCAGGGACAGTTTACAAAAACACGCCGTACCGAAACTACATGAGTTACGCAGGTATATGAAACTTTGTATGGCATGGCAACTTGTCACTGAGTCTGGAATAAACAGTATACCCGAAACAATGACAAAATGGTTGGAATATAGGTTTGCTTCAGAAATATCGGGCAACTGTCGAATTACATGTCATACTCAAAATACACAAAATGGCTGTTCGTTATGTTGATATCTAACTTGAACATTCGACTTTTGGCTTGGGTCTTAAAGTTATTGAACCACGTGGACACGTGGTCATTTTTCGACTTGTTTATTGTCCAACGTTCGATCCATCAATTTCTTTACTTTGTCTTTGTGTTTTATAGAAGGAGACAATTGTACGGATCATTTCACTCCTCAGCAGGTGGCCCGTCTTCACTGTTACGCCGATCTGAGGTACGGGACCTGGATGACTGGGAGGGAACCTTCACCAATACCAATTGCACCAAGGGTAAGTCCAAACTGGACTAAATATGTCCGTTGTTTGACCAAAACGTAAACACAACAGACTCTGCGGAGATGGACCTTTCATGCTGGCATTCAAACATGAAACGCTAAACTCTTGAAATACTGAAAATTACTTGAATTTTTTTCACCATCGAAATAGGTTTCAACTGCAAACATACACAAACTGAGGAATTTGCCCATTCAAAATCAGTAATGCAAAGATAAATAACTGATTATTGTGTACTGAAATCACAATAAGAACATTTGACATTCGTCTAGATTTCTACTCCAGATACTTAACACTGCCGCAGACACGGTGACTTTGGCGTGGATTCCTCCTCTCAACACCCAGAACGAGGACGATGTGAATCAGTTCTGTTCTCTGTGTCACCAGGACGACTCTCTGGGCCAGTACGCCACCTCTGCGACCTCTTCCAACCCTGGGAATATGACTGTCATGGTCACACCGGACGAGGTCTTAGGTGGGTTAACGATTTTTAATCGATTTTTCTCAGTTGTGATCGAAGACCAACAAGCCGTGCTCTGATTTTGACCAGCGAACAGACAAACCCGTTGCCATCATTGTAACTTATTGGGACAAAATAGTTTGGGAAAAGAATGAATATTGATTAAATTCAATTAAAATTTCTGAGTGTTCACACTTTTTCAACATATGAATGTATCAAGCAGACGATTAATATTTTTTTCTAAACAAACATGTTCTTACAGGAGCCCCAGATGCTGACAGGTGCACTCCTAGTCAAGGTATTTGGTTCTCTGAGCAGGATTTCTGTGATATGGATTGCTTCATAGACGTCGGCTTTAGTGTACCGGTTATTCCCACTAGGTAGGTTATACGTGTTCATGTGTGATGTCGGAGAGAGGGAAAGAGAGGGTAAATCGTTTTACAAGACTACATTCTCAAGATGTGTCTAATTGTTGTTGATTAAATGTACATGTAACTATCAATGTTCATATATATCGGGAAATAGAAAAGTGATTAATTTGCAAACATTTATTGTTTAAAGCAAGCATGCCTGATATACATGTATCAATGACATTAATTTCATCATTTCGATCACACAATTTGACGTAATAATTAAACATCTTACATATAGTACTTTTGGGTCTAAAACACTTGATGCATTGGTTCCTCTTAAATTGCGAAAGGAAGCCAATATCCAAAATTTTCCTCCCAAAGTAGTTACTAACTCTTTAGTAAGGCGTGACCTAGAACTATGGTCAGTGCACAGAAACAAACACATTTAATGCATTTTGATAATGAAATATATGCATTCACACTGGACAGGTTGTTGTTGTGGGTGACGTGGAACACCGTGGACGCCATAGCGGACGTTGAGCTCCACTTCATAGATGGCACCACCGTATCCTTGGGTCCAATAACAGTGTTCTGTGATATGCCATTCACAACTCACCTTGACGTCAACCAAAAAGTGAACAAGGTATGTGCATTTTGTTGACAAACCATTTGGATACATATATGTGATTAAATTTTTGTACACAAACGTCTAGAACAATGGAGAAGTTGTTTTAACTGATCAAACCGACAATTATTTGGTAAGAATTGTTGTCCTCTTTTTATTTGATTTTAAAATGTCCTTTAAATGATTTACTAAAGCTGTATGAATGCAATATCTAAGTTGATATATACGTTACAGTTACATACCCACTGCAACATGTATATTTAACCTTATATTCTGTGTAAATGATGAAACCGAAATCTTAAAATAAATTATGAATATTCTGTCTTAGAACAGGCAGAAGTTTTGAAAATAAGAAAGCTTGTACACATACCCGATATGCACAGTATCGCTGTTGTGATAACAACGTTCTAGGTATGCACTATAACGCACAACCTGACGATTTAGGATTCTTTAATGTCAATTTGTTGTGAAGCAGTGTTACTTTTATGATGGCGCCGTGCAATGGTGTATAGATCCATAACACCAACTGGGCCTACTATCATATATGTCATTAAAAACCAGAGAGCGTAAAGTTTGGACGATATGCGCAATAGTTCCGACTAAAATATTGTAATCCTGCGATGTGTGTTATCTCACTCGCAAGGGTTGTCCTTTCGATTTCCTCATAATTTCTGTCTTAGACTTGATTAAACCGCCAACGTTACACTCTGCTGCAAATAGCGACAGTAATGAGAGGCGTGACCGACATTAGCAGGGAGTGTGTACTCCAGCTTCTCTTACTCCCACTAATTCCAGATGGAAGTTGCTCTGAAAGTTAAAAAAAATACCGCTGTTGTCTACCTTGGCAATAAATATAAGGTTTGGGAGATAACATAACGTAGAATTCTATGTAACAGTTACTTAATTACTGTTATAATGAAAAGCCTTTTCATAATATGATGAGAACAATATGACCATATAGTTTTCATCATATTATGAAAAGGCTTTTCTGACAAGCACACTTCGCACTGCTCCACACATAACACAAATCTGACACACTTATTACCGATTGCATATCAGAGCAACGCTCAACTAGCGCAACCACTGCCAGGCAATGAAAATCATTTGAAGATAAATTCAATATATATTAATGTAAAATAAAATATAGCGCGTCTAATTTGACAGATGATTTTATTAGCCGATTTTACGCAGAGTACGTCCACTTACCGAGTTTAAACTTTACAAAGCGTTCAGTTTTACCGGTGACCCCAAGTGGTTTGGCCTCTCCATTCCACTTAGTATCGTAATGTAATGTCACCTCCTCCGCCATCGTGGAGTGACACTCGGAGTAGCAGGTGTCTTCACAGCCGTAATTTAACCGACCCGTGCATGAGTAGCTCCACGAGAAGCAAATCTAAAATAGAATGGATATTTTCCGATATTTTTTTAGGCTCTTAGATTTTTTTAAACGATCCATAGAGTCGTTACGGTTTCGCATATAAATGCGTTCTTCTAGTCTTTCAAATGGACAGAATTGCCCCATATCGTGACCCCCGACATTTATCGACGAATAAAAAATTGCCGAGGGCCTGTGTAGAGATATAAAATATCGTAATCTGAAAGTTGTAAAAATGTTTTCCTACTGCAGTTAACTGATACAGTGTATGTAATAAACTGGAAAAACACTGAAAGAGAATTTTCTACGGCAATTTTCTATACTGTTGCTAGGAAACAGACAGACAGATGGTTAATTAATCATTAACTTTAATTAACAGATCACCTCTATCTCATTGTTTGTTACTCGGTCCCCTTCCGACAGTTCTTGAATTTTTTATTAAAATGCGCCCACAAATTTTTTCTTAATGTAGCCAACAGACAGACGGGCAAAGCGACAAGCACACAAACAGACAAACAGAACCAAAAACATAACCTTCTTGGCGGAGATAACTCACCCCATTTCCTATAAACCTTATATGTAAAGGAGTATCAATGTGTAGGGTACTCAGATCTGTCGACCTGTTGGCTTCAAGAAATATTTTTCCGAATTTGGTTCCGCATGTTTCTTCATCGCACGACGTGAAAGATGAGGTCAAGGATGGCTTGTTAACGACGCATGACTTTTCACAATCGAACAAAGTCACTGAAGTGCTCTTCTTTGGTCCATAGAGATGACGGCGGTCGGACGAAGGGGCGAGATTTGGAGGACATGCTTCATCGAAAAAAATAAAAAGAAAAAGAAAGAGTGTGTTGCAAAAATGATGGAATATTATTCGTTTGGATTAAGTGTGTGTGTGTGTGTGTGAGAGAGAGAGAGAGAGAGAGAGAGAGAGAGAGAGAATAGAATTCGGATATTTATTTTGATTGACTTTTAATCAATATAACATGTAATAACTGCAATTTCTTTATATGTCATTAACAAAAGACGGCGTTTCACCTCCATGACCATAACAAAATAACGCGAGCTGAAGTGTTAAATAATAGCATATAAAATTGAATACATAGTTTTTTTTTTTCGAGAATTCTTGATGAATAATATTTATGAATAGTATTGGCGTTATTTTTTCACTTCTTAGAGAATCACCGAGGCTAGTAGATTTTCACTTAAAATAGTGTCACAAATGCCCGTTTAAGGCTGTAATATACCTAGATAGGTTATGAATCTTTTTTGGTTACATTATATTTTTTTAAAAGTTTCTGACAGCTTGTTTCTTTTAGTACTTGTCTCATACTACTTAAGAACTGTTTTGGCCAATTTTAGGACAAAATGTGTGTTAACTGTTGCTGCATATATTCAAATCCAGCAAAATGCGCTGGACCGGAAAGCGTGACGGTTTTTTAAATCGTTTTTTAACATACGTACACTCACCTAATGTGGACGCTGTGTGAAGGTACACGGAGTTAATAAGTAGAATGTAAACTATGCTACATTGCATTTTGTCGAGCTGTTGAAAATTTAAATGAATAAATTGGCCAAGATGCAACGTTTCTCGCCTAAAATATGAAAATAAAACTAAATGAAACTTTTCAATTTGTGCTTTAAAAATCCGTTGCTCTCTATCGTAAATATAAACGCCTTCTTAACATTATATTGTTGTTTTCCCTTTCCAATCTGGACGAAAGAGTGAATTTGTGACAATTTTTAATTCGCAAAATGTCATATATTTACTAGTACATGTGATCAAAATGATTTAAGATAAACGAATACTTGCCTAAACGTCAACAATGTGCTTTCAAAAGGACAAATCCTTGCTCGATCCTTAATCGTACGCTCAGGGGTTTGAGGCGCGCAGAGAGTTGAAAATAAACGGAAATCGAGGGCTATCTAGGGGTCGTTCACACGTTTCCCCCCAAGCTTTCCCTGTATTGCGATTGGACTGGTTCGGTTCAGATTATAATAATAATAATCTGTATTGAGCACTAAAATGTGTACAAGTTACATTTTACAGGCTCTCTATTCTAATCATAACAACTTTATAACAAATATACAAATCTATACATTATCGTAGCGGACAAATTATGCACAAGTCAATGAGTACGCCGTGAAGGGACCTCAGCATGCGGTGATTCAGTAAACTTTCTACAACCTACATTTGTAATTACTGCCATGCTGTCCAAAGATGGTGACATTTATCTGATATAAACGAAAAGTGTGCAATATTAAGCCAACCATGCGTACACTTGTGACTGCAATTAGTCAAAGTTGTTGCTCAAGCATGCCGAATTACGGATTTATACGCAATGTGATAAAAAAATGATCGCGCGGTCCTCTTAGGCCGATTCAGGACCGGTTCAAAGCTTAGTTGGATGGCACTGCGAGTGAACTAGATCTTAGCAACCCCTCTCACATCTGAATCCCGTTGAAAGACACGAAGGCTCAATGTACCTATTTCTCAAATACATCACTGTCACTTCTGTTTCAAAAATGTGAAGTATATAGTATTTTTGTCTTTGGCCTTTGTCAGTGTGATACCGTATTTGGGTCCGGTCTATTAAACAATCACCTGGACTGTGATTTAAAAGGCTATATGGTCCTTTAAATTGTTGCTGGGACTGTAAAGTAAAGGTCATAAAATACTGTGTCGCCTTGCTTGACTCCTTTTTAGACGGAAGGACTCTTCTTGATAAACAAGATACTTGATCTGCACATCGGATCGGATTTACGATCAATGATGCCGTTGTCCAGTTGATATTTGTAATAAATCACATGTTTTATAACACGAGGGATACAATCACAATACTTAATGTCCGACCTTTTAAAGAGATGACTTTTGTAATTATACGTTAGAAAGTTTTTTTTGTCTGATGGAATATTCAAGGCCGATGAGCTGTTAACGAAAATATTCAAAAAAATGTTTTCACGGACAAACTCGATACTTTAAAATTAGCATTTTATATTCTTTCTGCTAGGAAAGACTGCAAACAGAAATTTGACAATCCAAACAAAAATTAAAAACAAGTGTCGATTTATGAAGTTGTAAAGATAATGAAATCGTAATATATGCACAGCAGCTTTGAAATCATCATTTTATTTCTGGGTACTTCCGTGTCAGTCTACTCGAGTTTTACATGCCTCCCCCCCTTTCATGAATTTCATAAAGTTGAAGTTGTTCTTACTCTGAACCATTTCTATCTATTTTGATCCAGGATGGATATGTTGTCAACATAGCAACGTTTATACATTTAGCCCTTATCATTCCCTACTTTATGTTTATCAGGTCCAATATTTTTATTTATTTGGCGACGACTGCTTATTTTCCTGGGTCAACTCACTCCTATAATTTCGGAGCTTTTAAGACCCGTTCTCGACTAAAGTTCTTTCGTAAAACGGGGTCTGGGTTTATTTCACCATTATCAAAAAGTCCCATTATAATATATTTTCTGTTGCATAATCCCCCGGCATTTTGTCACTCAGGTTCGTATCTACACCAGCAAGCCGTGGGTCGGCATAGATGCCGTTGAGCTCGTCTCTAAGCCAAACCATCCCAACTGTACTCGCTGCAGGCCTCTCAAATACAAAGTATATCGTGAGCCCAGCTTCCCCGACGGAGCCCCGGCAGCAGTAGATGAATGTAAATTAATTGACAGGTGAGGAAAGGTAATATTATAAGTTGAGTTTATAGGTTAAGTTTTAAAAATAGAAGTTTTTATCTGTACATTTATATTGCAACTGTATGGTCACAGTGCCATGGATATTAGGGAAGGTCCAATTTAAGGGTAAATGGCAAAACAACATGAAAATTATAGGTGAAGGTGCTTCATATGTCTAAGTGGACAAAGGGGCCTACTGTCATAAATTAAGTTGACGAGTTTCGAAATGATAATGATATGGCACAAATACGTGCTCAGAATACAACGAAGGTTATATGAAGCATGCTGCATGTATATATATTTATAAATATTTACTGAAAAAAGCCTATATTTAAACTGATAGATCGGTTGCTTGGGCAATTTCCGTCTTACCCGACCAATGACAGTCCCGAATTAGCTGTCAGCAAGGTACATGTAATGCCCAAGTATAACTTTGATAACCCAAATGATGACTGCCTGACATTGTACCGTATTGGGTCGGTCACTCCGACCTACACGTATTCCTTGGTTGACCCACTTCTCTTTGTACGATGTAGATCAATCCAACTCCGCGGGGACTCTCGCTGAATGCAATCAGATTGAGAGATTCACACCCCTCTTGTTTCATACCTACTCGTATAATGACCAGCTTTCCTGCATTCTACTCAACTCCAGGAGGAACCTGTTTGTTTGCCAATCTGATTGCATTCAGGGATAGTTCATTTGGAGTAGGATCGATCTTCGTAAAACGATAGCTTCATTGTGATAAATGTCACTCGATCCTACCGAAACTCACCAAAGTATCTCAGATGCGTGTTTGAGGAAAGGATGGAGATGCGTAAAAAGGTAAAAAAATTTGGTTTCACGACCAAAATTTGTTTTAGGGCATATAGATTGAATACCCCCCCCCCCTCCCCACACACACACACACACGCACATGTGCGATTCACCCATTTTGCCTTAAAGAATTTATACTACCAAATTTAAAATGGAAAGCCTCTCTCTGCATATAGAAAATATTCCATGAGTCTTTTTTTATCGGATTTCCGACCAGGAGTGTGGCAGCTGACACGAACTACACGTACCGCATCCAGGCTATAGTGGACGGCAAGGGCAGCGCGCTGTCCCCGGCGATTAGCTATGTCCATGGGAGTCCGTTTTGCGGAGATGGTCATCTGTAAGTTGTCTTCTACACCAGTATATTTTGTAGCTGGCTGTGATACCATTTCAGATTCATTAATGTTTGGTTTCTTTTCTCTGTGAATTGTCTCGAAACCGAAAAAAAAAACTATAATTCAGTTTAATTTCAGTATTCCATAACATACAAAAAATGGACAAACTAAGACCACAAAAAGTCATGCGATTGTGTAATATATATTGTTTAGATGCATCTTGTTTTCTTTTTTGTTAAGATATTATGAGTGTTAATCATAAACTTGGAATACATTCCCAGGGATTCAAACGAACAGTGCGATGACGGAAATGCCGCTGATGGTGATGGCTGTTCCATTGACTGCATGACAGAGGAGTTCTTTAAATGCAGAGGTAATACTGAAACTAATATGTCTAATATACATGTAATATTGGTCAAGTTGGAAGCGGAATTTCTGTCGATATTTCAATAATTTAATACGTGAAGATACAGCCATATGGAACCGTATAAAATATATTAAGTGACAGCATGGTACAGGTGACCGAAAATAATAAGAAAGTCAAAATAGTTTGATTTAAACCCCCATGTTTGAAGGTGCCCCTAGTCTGTGTTATCGCCATGACGGCGACGGTGTGTGTGAGGAGTTCGAGAAGCAAATAAGTGTGGAAGACTGCGGCTACTACACCCCGCCCGGACACTTTGACCAGTGGGCAGCCGGAGCAGTTGCTAACCCCGTCTACCAGCGGAGGTCATGTCCAGAGTCGGTGGTCATTGGGCCACCCACACACCCGCAGGTATTTTATTGATGAAAGTCTAGATAATTTTAGTACCACCTTCATAATATTATTACTTAACAAGTGCTCTTTATGGCCAAAAACTTTTATGGTGTTTTGATCAGACGCGTATAAGTATGGCCTTATCAGTTTGTTTAAAGCGGTTTTTTTTAATTTGCATCTCACGTTACAGAAATGCCTGCATGCAATATAAGAATCTTCACATTCTACAATAAATATGTATTAGCTAATCCAACATCTTGCTAAGGGCGACGTTAAGATGATAGAAGTGCCCTGCGAATCGGGGCAAAGAGATGTACATGTATAAAGCAGTCGACGAAGACAATTTTAGTACATTATAATTTGTAGGGCACAGGGATGAGGTTGGTTATGTCTCATTCTTTGATTTCGCTTGTAATACTGTTTATATGGGGTTGGGGATGGGGCACCATAGAAGATGAGAAAGGGTCAAGTAAATATTTAAAAAAAAATTTAATGACAATTCATGAGACACACCTGCACATTTAAAAATACAAATATCGTCAAAATGCTTTGGGCAACGTAGACATCTATGCAACTTTCTCTTAAAATGACATTTATGTTTTCTTATTAGTTGCTGTATCCATAATGTAATATCCATAATCAGGCCGGACCTGATCTGGACAGCCATATCGCCGATTATTTTGGCGGTAACAGTCGTTCATAGGATCCAATGTTTTGCAGGTGTGCGGTCCAGAAATAGACCCTGTTCACTCGTGGTACCCATGCGGCGGTTACGGCACCGGGGAACAGTTCTGGCTCAAGGTGTCCTTCCAGCGTCCTGCCATAGCGTCCATGGTCATAGTGTACATAGGTTCTGATGGCCTTATGGAGTACTCCCGCGAGGTGACCACCATAAATGTCGAGCTAATTGATGAGAATGGGGAACTGCACCCTGTCGGGCACAAAGAGGTGGAACTCCGTTGTAGGGACAATCCTGTCGAAATTGGGGTGCAACATGATTTAAGTAAACCATTCTTTAAAACAAAAGGTATGTTGATTAGGGCAATTATATAATGTCATGGGAATGTTTTAGTGATCGTTGATTCTCAGAAACCTAATAGGCCTATATGAATTTTTTTTTCTTACAGCAAATTTGTGATGTCGTTTAGATGGTCTTTTATTCAACTATCAAACGGGCCCATTTTTTTACCAAAAATTTCGGATAAGGCTTCCAAATGGGTTATTCTACAATTTTGAATCTCTTTTGACTTCTTAGGTGTTTTAATAAAGTTTACGTCCCCAAATGTGGCAATAGCAGCTGTTCGCCTTCGGTCTTCCAAACATTTGGACCCCATTACAATCAGCCAATGCACGGATCAAGAGCTGTACAACCCTAGCACTGGACGTTGCTCAGCTTACACCTGTACACTCCCTGTATGCGGACAATATACTGTCGAAAACGCAGAGGTACACTGCACCGGGACTGAAGATGGCGACACCTGTGATGTGACTTGCCATGACGGGTAATTGAAACATGATAACACATGGTTAAATATATCTGCTTTTGGCAAAATTTAAGGTGTTTGGGAGTATTTCATTTCAGAGGCTGTATAAAAAGGAAGGCATATATTTATCTAGTAAAATTACTTGACGCATCAAACAGTGCCTTCAATCTTTTATTCCTTTTCACCGAAGAGATGGAAATGATCAAGCGATGGATGAAATATAATGTATTTAGTTTGGTTCTCAAATATTTACTTGGCTAAGAATAACGTTCTTATATCAATATGAGAATCTATTCATGTGTTTTTTGTTTCCTCAGTTATACTCTTAGCCGTTCCCACCAAGAAGATATCGTGTGTGTGGCCGGCGTTTGGACAGGGCGGGACCTCATGTGTGTCCCCATACAATGCGGGGAGCCACGAATTCGGTTTGCCACCAGCGTCTGTCCTGATGGTACCAGTTTTGGGAACCAGTGCATCTTTAACTGCAACCCACCAGCTTTGTTAAGAGGTGGGTGTTTTGTAAATAGCATGGCATTGTACGTTAGTTACAAAGGGAAATACGAAAGGATGATTTAAGTATAGAGCCTGTGGTACAAATAAAACTTGATAAACATACTAAGTTGCATGTGTACATACTAGGAATGACATGAGATTAATTCCTCTCTACAGGTACAGATAACACAGTCACGTGCGACTCTGATGGCCTTTGGTCTCTTCCCGTGGCTTACTGCCAGGTAAAGTGTCCGCGCCCACCCAGCCCGACTAACGCCATGCTGGCCACAGTTCAGTGCAAGGAAAACGAACTGGACCCCGGGACCAAATGCAAATTCAGGTGTCAGAGAGGGTACCATGTCACCTCCATGGCGAAATCCAGGTAGGTCGATCTATTGGAAGTTCTGAGAAGCAAAACAAATATTTGGAAATATTTATTGCAACTCATTAAATATGTTTAAGAATTTTAAGCTCATCCCCTATTCAGTTATGAATGTTCGCGACAATAACACACGTTCAAAAAGAATTTTATTTTAATTTGATCCGGACCACTCGATCTTTTAAAAATAGGAGTGTTCAATCATATGACCTTTTTAACTGGTCCTCTGATATAACCAATCTTATTCTTTGAAGGAGGACGTTTCACAAGACCTGCATGGGAGACGGCAGTTGGTTTGGAGCGGATTGTGATAAAGTCACGTGCGATCCCCCGGGTTTACAATATTATGGCCTTTATGCCTGCACTGACCGCTACGACTCTGGCTCGTCTTGCACCATGAAATGTCCAGATGAAGAGGTAACTTGCAGTGTTTTATTACATCTTTAAATGGCATTTCATGGCCACTTAAATTTGAATTGAATTAGACAATTTTAGGGAACAAACATTTTTGGGTCCTTTGAATTTGCTCTATCGTCTCTTATTCATTCAATACATGTGAGATAAACTACATGGATGGTTGGAAATGTTGTGGTTGATGTGTATGTCTGTGGTAGCCAAATGATATCTTATCTTCAACTGACTAACGTGTCTTAACTGCACGGTTATTTCAGGAAAAAAACTTTTAACCTATTTCAGCATCAAATTAACACGATCTTGAACTGTCTTATTGTTTTGTCTTGATGTTACTTATACATTAGAATACTCACAAATATTCTGTCGAATCTCGGTCGCTCTGCATTAATTGTGTCAACTCCACTGGAAGTTGTAAGTGAAATGCCTACTGTTTTTAATTAACGGATGTTTAATCAGGGATATTAACACTTTGTCAAGCAGTTCGATCAGGTATAATGAAATTATCAATTCCCGAAGACTCAAATAGTCATGAAGTTATGGTGATATCGTTTCAAGAGTACTGTTTGAATTGCAGTTTTTTCGATGCCTAAAGATGAACTGATTCGCACCAACCAACATGATAAAAATTAATTCCCCATATTTTTATATATGAATTACATTCATAAGCTGACTTGACTATTCCCAGGCGTTATATATTACAGCTGCATTTGCTTATGTATCATGATCGAAAGTTTTTACAAAAGTTTTAAATTAGTATCATAGCAATTACACATGTGAAAATATGAGTTGTTCTAAGCGTAAGGGGATCAACTTTCCTCTATTTTCTAAGACTGTTGAGATACAAAGTAAGACAACAACTCGTTTGACAGATGTTTTTTCCACTAAATTTATCAGCCAAGACCTTCATGGACGGGACGTACATCCAGACTAGTCTCCACGTTTCTGGGATATTTTTCTCGACGGTCCCATGTAGTAAGTTGCAAGTCCTAAGGATTTTTATGCTAGCGGTAGTTGGATGTTTGCTTGTCTCTTGTATTGTAATTGCTTTTACGTAGTTTTATTTTGCGGTCGCTGGTTCAGCTACGACTTATCAGTATAGCGCAGAGGACAGCATGCTCCCACAGATTATGTGAACGTACTGTAGATGTAACACTTCTTGATTGCCGTCATGCATGTTCTACCGGTATATTTTTTAGAGCTCTCATCTCTCACTTGAATTTGTCTATCGGAAAATAACCTCTGAATGGATTACTTTGACTTGTAACAGGCGATTTAACTTAAACAGTTGTTCTGACTGATATTAGTGCTTGATTCACGACTGTGGTGGCTGTTGTGCGCATGGCCGATTTTTAATACTTTTACCATTTTCCTATATTTTCCCATATACTTTGTAAGCAGGGATCAAAGTCAGCATATTTCAGGAAATAATGAGGGTTTAATATAAATTTTCAAGAACACTACTATAGTAGTACAGCACGTTGTTTAACTACAGCGTTTTGCGGTATTGTCTTGTTTTTTTCTGTATAGGTATTGATGTACATATTTCATGCTGGTAAATGCATATTTAATAGACAGCTTAATAGTATGCCTAGTTGACGTCATCAGCCAGGTCTGTAGCCAGGGGGGTGGGGGGGGGGTCGAAAATTCCAGAGGTCTCCTCTAGGTAAAACTATATCTAGGTGCACGAAGGTTTCATAAGGGAAAAGGTCCACTTTTTGTAGAAAAAAGACCCCCCCCCCCCTTTTGAAATTGCTGGCTACGGGTCTGTCAGCCGTGCATGAACATCAGAGATAGCATGTGATATTTTTTCTAAAGAAGTTAAAAATGGAATTGTACGATAAGTGCCAACTTCAAAACTACAGTCTAATTTTCGATCTAGATGACGTCCACTATAACATGCCAGAATACTGGACATTGGGACAAGGATTTTGCCCCTTGTACGACCATTGCCGGTCACTGCCCAATGCCTGTAGATGACCAGCTGGACATTTTCTGTAACGGGACCTCAGTTGGTAAGTATTAAAAATTGCGGTCCGCTCTACATACGTCTCATTACTTATTGCATTTATTTCTATGAGAGAATTATGTTTTGTATCTTTAATTGAATATCCTCAATTTTGACGGTGCTTGCAAAGATCGCCCATTCTTGTTTATGATAAATTTTGTTTTAATGTACTGTATGATAACACCCCAAGCATCCTTATTTACAATATCGATTTGCATTTATGGCCTGCTTGTATGGAGTCAAATATCTTACAGGTTCCACGTGCAACGTGTCATGTAAAGGGCTGTACCACGACCCTGTGCTCCTGGGTAAGCCACAGCGCCATCTGGAGGGATATATTGGTGAGAGAAATGTCGTTCGGACGTTAACGTGCACTGGAGGGTTGACATGGCAACCTGAGATTACCACTATTAGGTGTATGGAGCAGTGTATTTTGGTAAGTGTTTATGTGTTCAGTACTTGCAATGGCCCTTTGTCAGCCGGGACTAAACCTTATTAAAGATTTTTTTAGTTATGATTGCCTAATTGTGTCCTTGGGCGAAAAATTATTTTCTACTCGTATCCGTTGAAAAGGAATGTGCCGGGAAATGATATCTGAACAAGAAACTGTGATTTACCTGCCTTTGAAAGGCCCTCCTTACGCCTTTAAATGGTCTTAATACTTACATCATTCGTTAGTTTTAATTACAGTTCTTGAATTACGTCTTGGTTCAAAAACATGTAGCAATTTACTTTCGATTTCAGTTCAGTGTTGGTAACGGATACTGTGATCCAGAAAACAACCGAGAGCACTGCAATTGGGACGGCGGAGACTGTTGTCCGTCCACTGTCGAAGGCGGGTTTGTCATGAACCGTCCCTTGCTCTGCGGCGACTTGTGTCGATGCCTTGACCCGCGCGCCAAAGAGAACAGACAGTCATTAGACGCAAGCAAGAGACAACGAGCGAGCTTTGCTAATATGAGAAGCTTGGGAATGCGAGGATATTGATCTGTATTCCATTTAGATGTAATATTTGTGTACTTGCACGATCATTTATTTTGAAGTTAAATGTTTTATAAATAAGCACATTAATTCTCTTAAGTGATCAGAGGATCTTTGTAAGATATAATGGTAAAGAAATATCCATTTAAAAGGAAAATTATCTAAAAAGAGATAAAATTCGTATTATGTGGTATTTTGTGCTATAAACTTGCCCACTTTGTCTTTAGATGTGAGTTATAAAATTTGAAAATATACAGTTCGCAGTCAAAAAATGCATGTTACCTTAACCAACCAAGGCCAGTTAATGACAATAAAAAATGATATGTAACCGAACGGAATTTTGACTACGAACTGAGAATTTATAACGATTTTATATATATATATATCAGTCATATTTTATTACATGTTATCGCGGTTTTAAAGAATAACGTACGTTGATACTTTGTTGTCGTTTATTACAGTTAATTGTAATATTATTTTTATCCTTCGTTGGGTTAAAATTGCAGTTTAATTGTTTAAAAGTACATGTATTTAGAAGTAGATTTTAACCGTTTTTAGTTCTTCAAAGGAATATTGCAAGATTCTTATGAAACTAGAATCTCTATATGCCAAACAATGCAAAGAAGGTCAGCAATTATAAACCGGTGCAACTAGGTTTTAAACGTTCGATGTTATTATCAAGCGTTAAAATGTATAATTTTACTAGTTGTTATCTCTTGGATATGTACTGATAATAAAAGGTCTTATTTTAACAAGGGTAATAATAGTTGTCAATCAAAGGATAAATAGATTGATAATTTTAAGTGTGTTTATGGCCTTTAGACATAAAAGTGGGCTTTAAAGACCAACTATTTTAGTTTTCTGTGACATAAGTTATGTAGTGAGTAATTCATATAATATATTGTATATTTCATAAAAAGAAAGACGTGGCTAATATCTCAGTCCTGTAGCCGTTGTGCTTTAGTGAAATTGATGGTTATTATTCAAGTACGTTGGTAACTAGAGGAGGCATGTTATTCAGTTAAGCTGGTTGCTCTCAGAAAGAGTTCCCACAGGGTTGGGTCGACCTTTGTATACCGATGGTGTTTTAACTTTTTTTTTTTTTTTTTTTGTGAAGCCGACCAGAGAACTGGCTTGTCCCTGTCACCCGCCCCCTCCACTATACTTCACGTTCACTAGCACCATTAGATACAAACACACAAGGTGATCATTTATAACTTGCACTTTTTTTATTTTAAAGGCATACAGTGCTTGGTTAAGCCTAGATATATCATTAAATAAATTTTGCTGGAAATTTCAGCATTTTTCTTATCACTGAGGTATAAAAAACCGTTGAGAAAATTATGATCTTTTATTAAAGCAACTGTATACCCAGCTTTTGATATCACGAGTGAAATTCATCAGTCATTTGGAGAGTGACTCAAAAATGACAAACTTGGAACACAAATGTTTGGGCCAAATATATATGTACATGTATAGTTAAAATTTTGGTGTATGATCCTGGGATTTGCTTGAATTCTGTCAGAAAATCCAGATCATTTTTATCCTTTTATTCATTAAGATTACACGGTACAAATATCTTAACTTGAAAAAGCTTCTTATTAACAAATGTAAAGCAAAGGATGGATTCTATAGATTATGATTCTATAGATTATATATGTAATGTGAAGGCGGTAGGCTCAAGTAAAAAAAACTTCTTTAACCCACACATTTTTCAGAAAAGGGAATACATCAACATTATTTAGACACAAATGTTTATCTTGAAGCGATAAAATATGAAGTTGATATTCAAATAACGTGTATTTAAGTTTTTTTTTAAAAGTTAAAACAAATCTACAGTGTGCCTCTGAGATGCGTGTGTCTAAAATAACTGCATGGGACGGAAACATCTTTTGAGCATAAACACATACATGAATAGTATAAAAGTTAAAAGCCATCGCACTATGAAATTGCAAAATTTAAACGGATTGAATAGGAAAAACACAAACACTGCTACTTAGGAATAAATTGCGTAAGGGCACTAAAGATAAAATACCTCTAACAGAGCGTGTCATGCACATGGTCTTGGGAAACCATTTGTAACCAAGCGACTGGAAAACACAATCTGACATGTTCCGAGTCTCAGCAGGACCACCTAACACAATTGAGACAAACAAACCTTTGCGAACTTTTTAGTTTTTAGTTTTTAATTTTAGACATCAGCTAATACAATTTGCTTGACGGTTATTCCATAAGACCACTACCCTAAAATGTATAGCGATCACAGTGAAAACTGAGCCTGGGTGGACAATATCGGTGGTCTATTGGGGTGGTCTCCAGGCTGCTTAAAGTCGGTTACAGACGATGGACTTAGCAAGAGTGTTGTCCAGCCAGCAGTCACAATAACACTCATATCTTGTACTTCGGGTTTTATCTTCTATTGTCACCTGAAAACAAAACAAAAAATTAACTTTATTAATTGGCATTTTACAAATATCATTTTGCACGTCTCTGAATGGATTAATACCGAAGGTAGTCATCTATGGAGGTCACGGGGTCCGACGGCAAGCACTGATTCCCTTTTGGTGGTAAAACAGAATTTATAATATTTCTGTTACTTCTTTATAATGTATTTTTTGTGAAATATTGATCTTTGTTTTGATAGGTATTTTTCCACTTATCTTTTAGAATTGTTTGCCCTTACCCTATCTAGTTTCCAATCGGAGCCAAAACCAGTGCCATCTTGACGAATATTTATCTTACTCAGATTGCTCTCGTTCGGCAAATACAGCTCCATGGTATCCACGCTGGGTGCAAATAATTATTGAAATTAATAACTTTGCAATAAATAAATAAATTAATTAATTAATTGATTGATTTTAGAGAATTTGAAAAACGAACGGTACATTATTGGTCATTGATCGGCAACTTATACTCACATCATTACACTAGAGAAAGCCAAGATCATCCCAATAATAATAATAATAATAATAATAATAATAATAACAATTATTATTATTATTATTATTATTATTATTATTAGCCTTATAGAGATTTGCACGGTGATTTTTTTTATCCGTGGTCCTCTTGTTAAGAAAACATGTCAAATCAATCTGATTACCACTACAATTTTCATTCAACAAAACGAAACTGAGTGCGATTTTGTACTTACGACCACCTCTCAAATTCTCCCTGGACTGGGAATTCTCCAGAATTCACGCCATCTGCCCAGAACAATTCCATATATACCTTGGCATCGGTGCCAGAAAACCAAGACGAACTGGTCTTTACTTGAATCACAAAGTCGTCCACTGAAATGGAATTGCATAAAATGTGAACGAAATGGCAGAAAGAAATATCGAATTTACATAATAGATTAGAAGATAGCGTGTTTTTTTTTTCTCAGAGTAGCAGAGACGATTTGTGTATACTCGCATCTGACTATGGACATCTTAATAGAAGAATACAAAAATGCTTTCCAATATTATATCATTTACTTTTCCATCGAGCCTGTGGGCATCCATAGAACAAATTAATCTTGTCGACATCAGTTGCAGACAAGTCGTCATTCCCGAGTGTCATGGATGGGTTGGCTTTTGCCTGTATCGTTTTCTGTCCGTTGGCGCTGAATTCAGTATTTCTGTAGTGCATCAGAGACTGGAAGTCGTACGGTTGGCCCTTGGTTGTTACTTCCCAAGATCGTTTCTTTGCAAATTGACTTGACATTCCTAAAATTTGAAAAAAAATGAAAGAAGGGAACTTTTCTTTATAAAACCGCGCTCCACGAGTACGAAAATTAACGCTGTGCTTATTACATGAGCTTCTGTGTCAGATTTTCGCCACTTAAATTTATCAACCAAGAATATATTCACACCAGCTGGCAAAACGGTTTTTAAAATATAATATTGCATGATATGATAAGAAATACAAACTGCACGCTTACTTCTTTTACTTACCGGATTTGATATTTCTATAATTGATGGTGACGTAATTATCTCTGTCAGGTCGACTTTGTTCGTGGAAAAATCCAATTGCATGAAGTATTTCGTGCAGCACAGTGCCTTTGCTGTAGCATCCGTTCCCAAGATTCAGTGTCTGCATGCCACCTTGGCGACCATAGGGTGAAAAGCAACTGAAAGCGTAAAGAAAGCATCGTGATTCAAATTCTGGTACCATATACTATTTCTTGAAACGTTAGGTTGAATCCTATGTTATTCTAATAATGCAGTTTCTGGATATTTACGTGTGCGTTTACGTGCAGCGTTTCAGCTACAATGTATGTATGAGACTGCAATGCTTTATGTGTATACATACAACAGACATAATACACTTCTACACTTCTCTGTAAACACCTTCAATGTTCTTAAATTATGCAAAATTCTCAGTTTTTAAGTTGAGCAATTTTCATATGGACAGTTAATTTTGCCTATGTTGATTACCTGCTACCATCCCCTGTTACTTTAATATAGTCCCTGTGATTTGTTCTGTGTTGAAATTTGACGCAAGTTAACATGCTCAGACTGTTAATCGCCAACTGGAACGCAGAAGAAGCTGAACCACCTGCAACGAAAGGAATGGATTGGGCGATTCTGAGGTGTTAATCGAGTAGTTTTAACAACATTAGTTAGGCCAAAGAACAAAGAAACCCCACAAAACACACACTTGTCGTTCTGTAAGGTGTATAGTAGGCGCATGATAATCTTAAATACCATCCTGGTACTACAGGCTATATAAGAACAATTGTATGTTAACTTTATAAAAGGGATTTACCTATAATTATTATAGCCCCATTTCCCCGACATAGTTAACTTACCAGCAGCCATGGTATAAGGAATGATGACATCATTACCAGACTTTCTCCACTTCCTGTTAGCCCTTGACGTCATCTGTCTCTTCTCCGCTGGTGCATCACTGACGTCATCTCTAAGCATTGCTAGCAGCTCCTTGTCAACTAATATGTCGCCTTCGTGGAAGTCTATAAAAAAACAAATCATTTTACATCTCGTAAGAAAATGTCTGGCCGCTATTTGGGTCGTTGTCGAGAGGGAAAATATATGTGCTTTTTCGCTTTGAACTGTTACCTAGACACAGTTCCACAATACATAGTCAGAGATTTCAGTTTTTGGATCGTTGTACTTCAAATTTTCATTCATGTTACTGTGCTAACATTCAACCCTACCTCCTTCTTTCAGGGAATCCAAATAGCGCTTATACTCGGCTTGTCTTTCTAGCTCTTGGTCCTTAGCAACTTCATTCCTCAGCAGCGCTACGACATTTGCAACTGAAAAAACAATGTATACATGTATATGTGTGTGTGTGTGTGTGTGTGTGTGTGAAAAAGCTATTAAGACAAAAAACATGTGCGTATCTTCTACCTACTGTTATTAAACACTAGCTACTATAATTACATATTTCAAAATTGTTATGATTGCATTGTCTGCCACATACCTTCATCGCTTGATTTTTCTTTCAGTGTTTGAATGCCATTTGCAAAATTTTCTCTCAGTGCTAAAAGTTTTCCCAACTCATCTGAAAAAAAAGGATTTGACGTTGACGATGACAGGGACATAATGAAAAGCATGTGATATACGACTTCACAAAAATCATTTACAAAACACTTTATATTCATTTGAAATTCATTGATGAGACAAGAAATTGCATAACAAAGAACTTTGAATAATAAAACATTAGAAGGCAATTTTTATTCCATGGAGTTCAATCCCGACCTACCTTCAGCTAACCCTTCAGACCTTGTGTCCGAGATGGCTTTAGGATGACCACCATGGACCAGAAACACAACCAAACAGAGGTGAAGGAAAACCTTTAAAATAAACCCATGCAATACATGAATGATGATAATTATGATTATAATAATTGCTTTGTTCGCCTTACAAAACAACACGAGCTTCGGCTTTCTATTTCTTAAATGAAGTTTCGACATTTAAAGCTAGCATTATTGCACGGTAAACATTTCCTGAGGTAACTTTACAATCTGAGTCTCCATAGGTTCTCCGTTCTTTCAAATACGTAAAGAAATAATAACTTGACTAACCTCTTTCATTTTGATGACTAGTGCCTCTGTGGCAAAATGGTATACCTGAAAATAGCACAGCGTTACGGCTCTAGGTGACATATTTATGTATACTTATTTTTGAATAATTTCAAATTTGTAAAATTATCAAGTGTAAATACCGTTGATATATTATTTTTGAAAGTAGGGGAGAGCGGGGTGGGTTGGAACGCGGGTAAGTTGGAACATTGGCTTTATTTCTTAAATCACAAGACCGATCATGTGCTCCTTCAGTATAAAAATGTCACGTGGCATGGTCATTCATCCGGTAAACTTGTGGAAGTTTCGAAAATGCAGTAAAAGTTTTATGCGAAAAAAACTTATTTTCGCTACTCGAAGTAAGTTTTCATATTTTTGACATTCATCGTGCTGTAAACTAAAGTACATGTATAAGGATTATATCAATGAAATTGTGCAAAGCGTTTAGGACCACCTTGATGTTCAAAAAGCTGTTGTTTTTTTTAATCACTTCCCACGTGTTAAAGAAATACAGTGTCATAAGTAGGCCATGACGTCATGGGGGCTGGTCGGAACATTTGACATGGGGCCAGTTGGAACACTGTCAGGGGTGTTCCAACCCACCCCGCACGGTGTTTTTCATTTTTTTAAACCTCTCTAAATGTTTTAATTTCAACTTTGAAGAGAGTAGTAACGTAGTAACCCAGTACAACTCCAACTGGAGACGAAATCTAGCTGATAGAACATCTCCAAGATGCCGGAATGTACATGCGTGTAGAAGATACAAGGGGGGATGGTCACTGCTTGTTAAATGCAGTTGCTAGCTGTTTGGTCGAAAATTGTCTGCATGCCCACTGTTGCTTTTTGCGATAAATTGCTTTTAGATGTGGAAGGAAATGTCGATTATTACTCTGCTTTTCGCGGCAAAATGAAAATATTCTAGCTGAGAGCCTATGTTATGGATAAACTATACAACACCAATTCTGCCGATATTGTTTTAGATGCTTTGTGTAATGGGTTGGGGGTTGCTGTTAATGTTTAGTGAACGAGGGCACAAAATCCGCCAGAAAAGACAAACATTCACCTCGTAACTTAGGCATAGATTCAGTTGAAATCTCAGTTGCCCTCACCGGAAGAGGTGCTACAGCACACTAAGGCTTTTAGATCGATCTAGATTACTGTCACTAGATTACTGTCAGATAATCCGGCTTAAATGTCCGTCCCGCCTACTACAAGCTGTAAGGGGGTAATTAACTTTGGTGTCCGCTCGGCTGACAGCTATTTAGCGTGAACCCCCAGGGAGTTAGGTCGATCTAAAGTAGATCGATCTAATCTCTGGAAATGGGGTCTAAAGCGCACTTAAGAAAAGCCCAAAACAGCTCAAGTCCAGCAATAATTAGACCGGTTCCAAAGGCTCACCGTCGCAGTCCAAAGATTAAAAGAAGAAAACGATGCAGTGCAGTACTAACTGACACACCTGAAAATGAGCTACTCGAAAAAGAAAAGGCCAAGCCCAACAAAATTAAAAAGGACAAGCGCAACAAAAATAAAAAAACAGTTAAAGATTTCTAGTCGACAGAGAAAATCAAGAAAAAGGAAATTAAAGATGACCAACGATTCTGAGTCAGAAAAAGAGTGGCCATCTCTGGTTTGTGGGGAGCCGTTCATTAACAGCCGACCAAAAGAGAAATGGGTTAAATGCATTGTTTGTCTAAAGTGGTCACATGAAAACTGTACTAAGGTTGACCAAGTGTACATGCTGAGTATGTCAGAACTGCGATTTTGATTCTGAGTTGTTGAGTTGAAAGAGATACAGTTTTCATTTGTAGGTCTAACATACTGTTGTTGATAGGTTGAGTTATGTGAGTTCAATTTCTTTTCTCTTAAACTACACCACTTTTGTTATCATTATGAAATGACGTGTACCTGGATATGGTTTATACATCGAAAAGACTATTTGAAAGCAAACTGTAAACGTAAAAAATGCTTACAAACTATGGAGATACGAATACAAAGTAACACGCACTTGTTGGGAAATTAATATAGATACACCTACTCTTAAAATGAATTATTTTTTGAATTTATATGCAAGCTTTCCAACTCGCCCTCTTGTTCCAACTCACCCCACTGCCTGTTCCAACTTACCCCGCGGTTTTAGGAGGCAACTTTGAGCATTTATTACTCTAAAATAAAAAGACCTACTTGATGTTTTATTTCATAGATGAGTGCGGCATTTAATTTTCCCCTATCAGATTTTTTATTTTTGTCCCCAAAGCTTTGACTGCTGAGATATCGCAAAAAAGGTGAAAACTGTTCCAACCAACCCCGCTCTCCCCTACATGTCTGTTGCATGGCTTTCTTTACACGGTGTTTATGTGACAAAAGTGACAATTTTTACTACAGGGATTTCTACAGCACTATCAGGCCCGTAGCCAGCAATTTCAAAAGGGGGGTTCTTTTTCTGAAAAAGTGAACCTTTTTCAATAAAAACTTCATGAACCTAGATCAAATTTTACCCAGAGTGGACCTTTTACCACCAAGAAGGGCGGTTCTTTCGAACCCTCCGACCCCCCCCCCCTCCCCCGGCTACGGGCCTGGCTATGCTGCCGAACGCCAGGCTTTCTTGGTGTTTCACACACAGTTCTACGTCACATAATAAAATCAACTTGGACCTCTATTTCTATGAATATGTAATGGTGATTTTGATCAATGCGTTCAGACCAAAATATCGATGTCCCTGGATCGATACCTCAAATCAAATATATTCAAAGTTAAAACTTGAATATTTGCTACTATTTTCCTCTCAAATAAGACCAGTAAATGTGTACATGTCTCAGAGATCCAGACTCACCTGATTGTCTTCTCAGCACTGCTAAATATGTAAAAATTCTGATTAAACCATGTACAAGATGGCCGCAATGTTGGCTGGTTGGTATTTACTATAAAAGTATTACGTAATGTCCATAATATCATGGGCCCTCTTTCCCTGTCCATTTTACCCCTCTATTGTTGTATATTGTTTACGTTACCAAGGGGTCATTGTGTGACTGGAATATTACTGGCCACGATAACATCGCATATGGCGTAAGACGTGATACTTAACGGGTCAACATTCTCTATCTATGAATTGTTAATTCCTTAACATTTTAAGTGCCCATTAAAGCAATTATTAGTACATGCCTTTTTTCCTTTGAGAACTAAAATGCTGAAGGTTTTCTATGGAGTGTCAGAATGTGAGACGTCATATCATACGTTCACACAATTTCTGCAAATTAAAATTACTTAAAATGATGGTGCGTTTTGGACCAGTATGATTTGAGAAAAAAAACGACTCTTGGTGAAATCACTCGTGTGCCCATTAAATATAAAACACCGGTAATCGACTATATACACGCATACAGCCAGAATATTGGAGAAAAATTACATGGACATAATTAAACACTACAAAACTCTGGTTCCTGTGCAATAAACATGGAGAAATAAATACTCGGGACTGGCTTTCTTCTCAAAAAACTCTGGAACAATAAAAAATGACCATGCACAATCAGGTTGGTGGTTTATGTTTCATGTTGGCATTTACTGAACAAGAGTCCAAAGAACTGTATCTAATACAACTCTTTGATAAGTTTAAGTTTAGTTTTATCAAGAAGTTACAACAGTTACTGTTGTAACTCCTCGGTTTTATAATCTATCAGTCTTCATAAATGCTGCGCTTAGCCGTTTCGAGACTCCCATGCATTAGTTGATTAGCGAAACCTAGTAACACGATGTAAGGTAGCGTTCTGACGCAAGGACTGATCAGAGTAACCGTTTAGTTTGCGACTTTGTCCGGAGAGTCATGTAGAATTTCCTGGTGAGATCTGTCGAAAACAGGGCGGAACTTGGGGACAGGAGTGACCGTTTTCCTGCAGCTTCTAACCGCCGCATATATGGCGGAGGCAGGTTTTATAGAAAACCGTTTTTCACCTCTTTTTCGGTCTTCACAAGATCATGGCATAAATTCAGGAAAGTCAGCATCTTTTCATGACAAGATGTCACAACTAGGCTTTACACAAGACGGGATTTTGTGAACGCTCTGCACCTCATTATTAGTTGTGCAACGTTCAGTCTTCAAACTTTAAATAAAATTGAAAAATAGTTTTATTCATAATAAAAACAATTTATTATTCAAACCAAGCACTTTTCATATAATTTTGATACTGTAACCTCAAAAAATTGCAGTTCAGTTTAAACAGCTTTATCAATAAAACAAAGATAACTTATTTTCTAATTTAATGCTTTCAAAGGTCGAACAGTGTATAAACTTTCAGTAAATCGTTTGAGTTTTTTTCTATTGGAGAACTGACTTCTGAAAAAATGCAATTGCATGAGTAAGGCAGTTAGCACACTCAAAATCATACCATAATTAAGTCAATCCAGTCGTAAACTTTAATAAATATATTCACAATGTCAATTCATTACAATTCCTGTCGAAAATTGAGAGCCGCATTTTTCCACAAAAATAATTTAAGAAGTTAATTTGCAGTAAATTTTCATTCATCCACCATATAAGCCATCTGTGAGCCGACATCCACTGTCTTCCCATTCTCCTGTACACTAACAGTCTGTGTTTCCAGATTTATCCTGTAGACGGCATTGTCAGGCACTACAATTTTATTTTTCATTGGCTGGTCCATTACAGGTATTTGTCGTGGTCCTAAGTTTGGATCTTCGTACCTCATTATTTTCACTTTTTTGGCATCTGAAAAAAAAAAGGCGTACATATATTGTCTGCCAATACAAAGCTTACTGTATTATGGCAGCAATTATTGTACCACCAGCGTTAGCGCTGGCGGTACACATGGTTTCGGTCCCGTCCGGATCGTTCCGCCGGCTCCGCCGGCTCCGTTGGCTCCGCCGGCTCCGCCGGACGGCTACCGTTACCGCTTCTCCTCNTACGAATGCGCTTGCTCCAGCTGGTGGTACAATATTCGGAGGCGGTATCGCCTCTCTGATCCTCTAGTTTTATATTCTTTGCAAAAGCAAATATGCCATTATTTTTCACTTGTACCATATTACATTCCATATATCCAAATTCAATATTATGAAAATGGTTGAGGGAATGTTCATTTTCTCTCTTTATCATTTTAACAAAACATACCGATTTTGTGTTTAAATTCACAGCCTACCTTTAATCAGTCTGTCCATCTTGGTTACCCTAAGTGCTATCTTGCTGGTTGTATCATTGTCCAGAATGGGGATGGTCATCTGAAAGTGACCGCTACATGGCTGGGGGTTTACCAAATTCATGGCCACTGAGGGCTGGAAAAGGGATAAATAAAACTAATAATATTAATAACTTCAAAGATTTGTCTAGTCTCTAGTGTAAAATGACCTGACATTTTAAAAAAATCTTTAGAAATTTGATTTAGTCTGATTAATAATTGCCGATGTCTCATAACAAAAGTTTTTTTTTACAAAATTTTCATTAAATATACGTCATTTGTCATTTTCATATATGATATACCAATTCTCAAAGAAATCAATAAATAAAAACATTAAGGTAAGCTATCTTAGCCTTTGCATAACATTTCATTTCAATTACTATCACCCTTAATTAACAATGACTCCATGCTTTCTTCCTTACAGTGAGAACTATGGGACATTTACCTGAGAATAGTAAACCAGGAACGGTTTTCCTGGACAGTTCTCTTCCTTTATCTTGTTCTCACTTGCCTCTGTAGAAAACTTCACTTCCAGGCCTTCCAGCTGTAAATATTACAAATGCCTATAAGTACAATCCTTTCAATATATTTTGTTATAAAACCTACCCAATACTAATTACTCTAAAGATTTCAACAACAAAAACGACAGCAAAAAATCTCTACCTCCAGAGTGGACACTAGATAGGTCAGGTTTGCCTCCAGCACGGCCTTCTCATCAAAATCCAGGGTCAAATTCATGGCTTCCACTCCCTTCTGTGCCACGCCCTCCTACAATTTGAATAGTTGTTGACAGCATTATTCAAATTTATTATTTTCCATTACATCATGGCATAGCAAACCTATTCAGTTTAGTTTACATACACCACTGGGTTGACAATGAAGAAAAATATAACATCTTGGTTGCAAACCTTAACCACAAAAACATGTACATGATGCAAGGACTTTACTAATGCTTGACACTTGGTGTCAAGGTACAGTTTTAGTTCAGAATCTGCATCTTATTACAATGCAAAGAAACTAGAACTGAAATATCAAGCTGTTACCAGATATACTTTGTCTAATTTTGTATAAATCTATGCAGGTTTTTCATACTGTGTTTATACATAAATTAAACTAATCAAACCAAAACTTCAGACTATCAATCAAACAATTAACCCACCTTGACCAGCTGTACAAAAGGCATCACTTTCTTCATGTACTTCTTCAGCTCAGGTTTGTTGCCGAATGCTGCAGCTATCTCCTTGTTCTCTGGGAACTGATTGCCATGGGCCTTGCAATAAAGAATGGTGAATTCACAATCATACTCAAACGAACCCATTACTGTTTGTCAAAAAGCAAAATTTTCGTTGAATATGTGACATTACTGATAAGTTCTCTCCTACCACAACTGAATGAGTGAGAGTGCTGCCTTTAATCAAATATCTAGAAAAGAAGGTGGAATATTAAAGCCAATGCTGAATAAACTGAAGCAACCCCAAAACCTAACATGGAGAATTACCCTTGATATAAAGTGTATAATCCCTGAGAGTAACCCTTGTTACAAAGTATGTTACCCCCAAATCGTACAGTGAGAGAAGACCATGTTACTTACTATGTGATCCCCATACCTTACCTTATAAAGCTGATTCAGAGTAGTGAGCACTGTATTCTGCCAAGGAGGGTATGTCTTGGCAATCCAGATGGTTCCATGGGTGGGTTTACTGGGTGGAGGGGATGCTTTCTGTAGTACATATTGATAGACACTTTTAGGATACCTCTTTGTTGCTTAACACTGATGCAAGGTTTTTTTTTTAGAAAAATTGCAAGTTAGTTGAGATTGTTTTTAAATCCCATTGCTTCACACTTTCAAAAGTGAAACAAGCACTTAATGGTATCAATTATATCTGTTTAATGCTATCTTGTAGTGATTAATAAACAATTTTCTAATCAACTAGTACAACATTTTTAAAAGCTATACAAAATTTTTATATAATAGTTCTTTATAACTATACCATCCATTTAAAAAACTAGCAGCAATTCACTACCTTTCCCTTTCCTAGTGTCATGTAAGCCTTCAGCCTCAGTCTGAACTCTCTAGTAGAGTCGTACAGATATTGTGCCTGTTTCAACAGCATTTCATCCACAGCCTCAACTGCTGGCCATTGTGCCTGCATGATGCTGCCTTCCTGCAAGGGAGACGTAATATGTTTACATGTATAAACACATATCAGATGCCTTGTACAGAAGGAATCCCCCTAATCAAAATGAATAGTTTGCTGCAAACTATACTTTACTAGTTTGAGGCAAACAGTCTCAAGGAGTACACAAGAAAAATATTACTACAGATAGGAACTACAACTGACCATTATACTTGTATAATATAACTACATGTGCCATCCTAAATCAAAGACAAAAGTTCTATCAATTTGATGCTGCTTTAATATTACATATACATATATATTATACTTAGAGATACTTAAAGAAATTGCACACAGCCAAAAACCACATATTTCAGACAAATACTTTTCTTCCTTAACTAGCACTATTGGGTTGAGAAACAACCCTGCTTACAGGAATTAAATATTTACTTACCTTTCCAAGGAGCCCCCAGATGTATTCACAGAGATGGGGACATATGGGGCAGAGCAGTAATGCCTGTGTCTCTATGAACCTCAGTACCAGGTCCCTGTGCATATCTCCCATGGTGCACTCTCTGTATCGGTCTCTTATACTCTACAAGAAGAAAATATTCAATTATTAAAGCATTTGATATTTTTTTTCCTTTTGTACATAAAAAAAATGGTAAAACTAAGATGAATGTTGTATTAGTTTTATCAAACATCATTCATCAAAACACTTCTTTACACAGCTATGGCATAATACCAATTTGAAATTTGCTCAGAATTTTAAGTCATAAAACCAGTTATATGCTCTATTGCAAGCTTTAATCAATACAACCATATGAACATCCTGAAAATCCCATTTATAATCAGATTAGTCCAATATTACTTCTTCTAAAAAGCCTTGTAGGATCAAACAGTACTAATGTCATTCATAATCTTTTAAACTGATGACAAAAATTTTGAATTCAAAATAATGTTAACTTGACTGAAACACACCTGGTATTCAAAGAATCCAGACTTGACCACTTCCTTAAACAACATATTCTCATAGTTCTGCTCTGTCAGCAAAATGGCACTGTTCATCTCACTGGAAAAATCAATTCAATCCTATTTCTTAATACATCTTCAAAAAAACCTGGCAAGTTCAACTTTTGGACTAGTAAATTCCTAATCATACTGTTATCAGTCACAAATTTCATGCCAAACTTCATTTGCATGATCATTTCATGATTCGATTTAAAACCTTGTTCCAAATCAATAGAGCATTTCTGATTCAAACACATCTTTCCTTCTCAAAATGTTTGCATCCTTTTTTATTGTTCAAATGTGCACAACCTGTTCAAAAAACATATTAGTAACCAGTTAACTTTGTTTATATTTGATGAAACACTATCCTTACATTTGATTTGGCTGGAATAATTATAGCAACTTTGACAAACTTACTTGATAAAAGCCTTGTCATTAAAACTATCCATAGGTCCAGTTCTCATCTTGTCAGCAGTGGACAACATCTCCTTCACCCACTCCAAGAACGTGTATAGGCGTAGCAGACCTGCATCCGCCATTGCTTCAACAAAGTTTGCATCTTCAAGGGTGTCGCCAGCATCTGCCAGAGCCAAGCGCATACCTAGGACAGGAATCCAAGGCAAAAGTTTAGCCAAAATATCTCAAAAAAATAAAATCTGCTCATCATCATTGGCTGTCACATCAGTTGGTATCATATGATCTTTGTAAAATCTAAGGACAGTTGTTTAAAAATAGTTGGCATTAACAGAAGCAACAACAGTTATATGAAGTGAAGGACTAAAAATTAAACTGTTATTTTATGCCATGCAAATACCTAAATATTTTAAACTAAGATTCCATTTAATTCAAGGTACAAAAATCTTGATCTATAGTGTCTTAAATATATACCAAGATTATTTGCTGATGTGAATGTAAACTTAAAACACTTCCAAAATGCTGGAAGACCAATCATAAGTTAATCAAGCATACTACTCAAAAATAATCATTGAAAGAGCATCATGAACTTTTGGAAAACAGTGTTTTACAACTATGCATAAAAAAGATTCCAATAGATGGAGTCTAGGTAGTTGTTTGTAGTGAAAGAAATAAAAACATGTCCTAGCTGTAACAAAGCAGTGAACACCCAAGACAACAGACCAAAATTTGACTCAAGCATATAGGAAAATAAAACAACACAAATTTTCCTTTGTGACGAACAATCTTGACTAATATGACAACAAGGTTAGTGGTTTATATTTGTGAATTCTACTATTTATCAAAACATGAAAAGCAACAGACTGACAGGTATATTACGACAACTGAAAATTGGACAATTCTGGGTCTAGAACAGAGTAATATTGGCTTCCTCACACTGATAAAGTTTATAACAAAGGTCTGTGATCAAACAAACACAAATTATTAAATGGAAACAAAGAACTATCCTAGTCAGAGAAATATGTCAATCAAATGGTCTTCCATTTTCACAAATTGTTAGGAAAAAAGCCAGTGCATCAAACCACGCAACCCCTTACCATCTGCTGAGAATTTTGCAATGGCATCATACAATGTCAAAAAGTTGCCAGTTTGTTTTGACATCTAGAAAAAATTGGACATAGAATATTCCATTACGACACTGATAACTAATAAGCTACCTATGTAGAGTCACCAAGAACAGCCATGCCCAAAGATCAACTGGGTTTTAGCACCATCTTCACAATTTATTTGTAATGATAAGTAAGCAAAAAACAATAAGATCTTCAAAATTGGACTTGATTGAATAGTGTTAAGTCCAACTGGTTAAAGTAAGTTCAACATGGATATTCATTTTATCAACAAAATTTTCTTAAGGATATTTCACTGTAGTTCTAACCTTAAGTAGTTGATCTTTGGTTAGTAGTTGATCTTTGGTATATATGCTGGTATTAAAATACTGGTTCCTCAACATAAGAATCCCTTCCTGTTTCATGCTCCATCCTGCCACCTTAACCACAGCATTACTATTTGTCAATGGCCAGCTTTCTCACTGTTGGCACTTTGGTTCCTGTTCTCCATTGTAATAAATATTTTTCATTTCAAAGCTTTATTTTATTGCATACCATGCCAAACTTCTTTTGCCTTCAGATATCAAACAAATATACCATATATATTTTGCTCTCAGAAACCAAAGATCAAATTGCCAAAGAGTAATGCATGGAGTACATGTTATGTAATTTCTCCATTATCTGTATGCATACCATCGGCAGAGAATTTGCCTATTGCCTGCATTAGTGTCAAGAAATTCCCTGTAGATTTGGACATCTGTAATACAACCACTTGCATCAACAGCAAATTAAACTTAACATTTTTATCTTTTTTACAAATAGGTGTACAATCTAATATGAAAGCTTTTACCAAATGTTACCATCAAAACAGAATTTACAAAAGACACAAAACTTTGAAGGTAAGTATCAAACTCTTTTTATGAAACTCTTTTTGTAATGACACATAAGAAGTTGAAATAAGAGTATGGTCTGTACCTTTTCAGAGTTCAGCAGCAGGTGCCCATTTGCCCTGAACCCAGCTGGCCATTTTGACCTGAAAATGAAAGTGAAACTAGAACCCTTCTTTGGCATATAAGATGTCTAATAAATGTTTTATTTACTACAGGTCTGACAGATGAGAATGCAAATTTATTTACTGTTGTATTTAAAAATATGATGTAAATTGTTTAAATACTCTTCACACTTTGGAAAGGAAAAAAAACTACTAGCGAAAAAAATCATATAACCATAAATTGCATATACAAAATAATTTTCTGCTGTAAGAATGACAAACAAAACATGTCCCTCTTTGTGTAATTCCATATTCTCACCAAGTAGAGAGTACAAAATGGTTTGGAGAGGGTTAATGTGGCACAGGCTACCAAGTCAATGTTCACTAAACACAAAACTATGACCTGACTTTGTGTGCACCAAAAGTAAATCTGTTGATCTTTGCCTGGAGGAATCATTTTATACAGAAGTTATTCTTCTTACAGTCCATCCATCTCTTTAAGATCAACTTTTCACTCTCGTTTCTACCTACTTGTCATCAGGCCAGATAGCACAGTGGTTGTAGATGTAATATGTAATATGGTTTGGGATCAGATCTTTGCCAGACACCCTGACGTTCACAGGGTACCAATACTCAAACTCTCCCCTCAGCTTGTCCAGGGCAGCCTTCGGAATCTGGCAGTTCTTCGGCATTGGTGCCGTCTTGAAAAATATGTAGTCCCAGACTTCTGGGGTCATCTGCTCTGGCCTGGAACAGAGACAGAGATAAAAAATAGAGAAGTCACATTTAAACATTAATGAGATTTTGGCATAGCCTAGAGCATTGTTAATACCAGGATTATGCCTTTCAGATTTATTTCATTGAACCTTTACATTCATGCAGTCTTGTTGATATAAAGTTTTAAAGATAGATGTCATGGAATCTAAACAAGCTCAGATGAGCTTTTTGTTAGGTATTCAAGAAGCATCTGTCATTAAATCTAACTGATAACTAGCCTTGTTTAAAATCTTATGTTTGAGAATGTACGGAATCAGATCAACTATTTCCTAGTTGTGAGTGCCTAACAATATCTGAGAGTGCATCAGAGGTTCCTTAGATGAGTTTCTTCAAAGACATCAGATTTAACATTTCCATCATCTGCACTCTAAACACACCGAAAACATGAATCTGATCATTTAACAAAAAGAGAAAAGCAAGCTCAAAACACCCAGCTCTGTACAGTATTAATTGAGTATCAATTTTCTATTTCACCAATAACATCGCAGTTACTTCATGTTGAGAGTTCTCTTCTAGATTTGACTACTTAATTGTATGCAGAGACATTTGTGCCTTGTCTAAGTTATTCAACCATGTAATATTACTATTCTATCTATGCCCCTTACCTAATGTCAAAACTTCTCTTCGCCTGCCCCCTTCCAACATACGATAAGCATACTTTCCAAGATTTGACAATCAATTATTTGTGTATCAAGTTACACAAACCAAAACATACAATATCAGTTTTTCTGTCAGCCATTACCTAATGTTCAGAGGGCCGTTCCCACTGCCGTCAATGATTCCTCCCTGCAGGAGATGGGCCACAGTGTAGTAAGCATTGTAAATAGTGGAGTCAGACAGAGACTCTATCAGATACTGTGGGTCCCAGGGAAGCTTGGTGCCTGAAATATTACAGTATAGACTTAATCATTTTTAAATTAGTTCTTTTTTTTTATTCAACAGCTTCTAATAGGACAAAGTACAGTTGCATATTTCAATTTTTTCCCTACTGCTAGACTTGATCACAGAGTCGAGACTGTCAAAACTTTTGGGTGTCATAGTAAATGGCTTTTGACCAGACATAATAACCAAAGTTCAGTATAGTATATATAATTACGTATCTTATGGAAAGTGTACAAATATTCTTCTGTGAAAATGTTGACACATATGTTCCTCTTTGTGTGATTTTATATTCTCACTAGGCAGAGAGTACAAAATGGTTTGGAGAGGATTAATATGGCACAGGCTACCAAGTCAATGTTCACTGAACAGAATAATGACCTGACTTTGTGTGCACCAAGATTTTAGTATTTAACCAATTTTCAAAAGTCATTTTATATATATATCAAAACAATTATATTCAAAAATACTCAAAAACTTCCATTTCAATATCTAGGTATCAATTTTTATTTTAAAACTTATGACAAGTAATTTAATACTGAAAATATGCCAAAATCAACCCAAGTAAACTTGGGAAATAATAAAACTAAAAGCCTCTCATCCAATCTTAGCATGTTGATAAAGAACTCACAGGTTCCTCATTTTTCACATTTTACACAGTGAAAGAGACATTATACATCTGAGATCTTAATGAGAATAGATCCTGATACAGGAGACTACCTACCAAGGCCATAGGACCTGGAACATGCATGTTCATGCAGCCAGCTGAGGGTGGCACTCAGGCCATGGCGGACCTCATCAGAGTAAGTATTCATGTAACTCAGGCACTCTGCAGCCTGCTTTTTCCAGCCTTCTTCCCCATAGTCCAAGTACCTGGTGTGTAATATAGTATTGTTTGTAAAAAATATTGCACTGCACAACATTTGAAAATATTGGATTGTTGACTTTAACTATATTCCATGTAGTCACTTTATGCAGTCAGCTACCCAACTTTCAAACTTTGTTTTTTTTCCTGAAATAGGCCTATGGTAGGACAAAGGAAATGTTCCACTTACCACTGATCACAGAGAGCCACCACACATTCATCCCCAGACCTTGAGATCACCTGCTTCTCTGGCTCCATGTAGATTGCTGCCTCATTCTGAAACAGAGCAAAAATACAAAATGCAGCAATGCTGGTATAAATTGGCTAATGAATAAAACAGTTACCTTAATTCGTATTATAAAAACAGACATCGTAAGTCACAACATTAGATACTGTTACAAATGCAGGTATTTCTTTTTGTATGACAATTTTCAAAATAACATTTATGTTTTTGTCATAGAAACAGCTTTGCAGCTTATTCCAATTAGTCTTGTTACAATATATTTTAATTTGAGGTATTTCTATTTGGTACTTATGCTCCCCCATTTATTTCATTTATTGGGAACATTTGGTCTCCAGTTCACTTGACATTTTTCTCTCAAAGAAAACTTTTAATTAAAAATTTGATTAAAATTGTTTGATTTCGTTAAGTCATAACAAGTGCTATCCTTACTTTCTCCACCATGATCTTCTGAATTGATTTCTTTACATCCTGCACTTTCTGTCCCTTAAATCCTTCCACCAGCATGACCTACAAAAGACATCACATCAAACAGCTTAGTGTTATAATGCAAATCACATAGGTTTTGTATTAATATCAAATCAATCTGTTAGCTAAAATTCATTTATAAAATCTAAATTACAAACCACTATGTAATATTAATTATGTTCCTATCTGTGATAATTCAAATGTAACACAGAATAAAACTACATAATATGTTCCTCTTTGTTTAATTCCATATTCTCACTAAGCAGAGAGTACAAAATGGTTTGGAGAGGTTTAATATGGCACAGGCTACCAAGTCAATGTTCACTGAACACAGAACAATGACCTGACTTTGTGTGCAATGACTTGTCCAATTACAGTGCACTATACAAAATTAATTAAGGTGAATAGTTTTAGTCATCTTCCCACTGTCCATTATCTGCAACCTTTTGCAAAGCAATAAATTTGAAAGAAAGGATAGAGTAGTATGCATATTAGTCAATTATTTTCTTTTACACCACAGTGAAGAGACTTGACTATAGGGGATAAAAAAAAAAAAAAAAAACTCAGTAGCTGAAAAGCACTTATCAGCTTTCTGACACTGGGTGACAGGCTTCAACTTACCCCTTCATAAAATCCTTTGAGATACACTTTCTCCTTGGCTTCTGTCAGCTTGTCCTTGTCATTCTGACTCTGAATCTTCAGTTCATCACACACTGTCACTGCAGACAGGTTGCCAAACCCAGGGATGTCTATGATAGGCACCTGGAGGGAGAAATGGAACCCATACATTTGTATGTAGTTGTGTCTGTGCATGCCTTCATGTAAATAAAACAAAACAGTTCTGGTAGAATATTTCATTTTGAGGGTATTCCAGTATATTTTCCATCTTTCTTAGCTCAATTGTAGTTTTGTTTTTCATATATTCAGAAAAGATAGCCTTTAGGCTACATTTTGAATGTATGCTCTTTTTCCATTTAAATATTCTTTACAAAGACTTACAGGTTCAAAAGGCAGGACCATCTCATCCTTAATCCCATATTTTTCTCTGAATGGCTGAAATAAAAAAAAAATTAAAAGAAACATATACACCTAAAGATTTTAATATCAACTGGCTACACGTGGGTGTGTTTGCCAAAATCTGATTGCCACAAAGTTTATACAAGTCTCTTCTCCTTAGTGTAATTTTATACTTTCAATATACAAAGAAAACAAAATAGTTCAGAACAGGTTCTTATATCATAAGCAACCAATTTAGTGTTCACTAAAACAGAAAAAAAAATCATGGTTGAAAAAAATCAATATTTGACAATCAGTCATAAATTGTTTAAAAATAAAAAATTATTTGGTTGTAACCTGCTTTTTCTTAAGATCTCTCAGAGCGGCATAGTCATCTGGGGCATCACTAGGTACACTAGTTACCACTCCTGTGCCTGCAAATATAGAATGAAAAGTTTTCTTAACACAACCAGTGAAAAGCTACACTTTTTCAGCTTACTGTTTGTGTTTATGCTCTTCCTCAGACTGATGTTGATACAAATATAAATGATAGCCATGTGACATGATAAAGATAATCATAATGTTATTGATCAATGTAAAGAACACATAGCAAGTCCAAAATACTGAACTGATATGAATCCTCGAAAACCAACTACTTTAACAATGTGTTAACAACTGTTCACTCAGCAACTGTGTATATCCGATAAAAAAATTATTCATCAGCTAAACTTTTTACTGGGGTGAACTTCAGCTAAAAGAATGATGCAAGGCATAATCACACTAAAGACTGCAAAAGAGGGCTTTCAAGAGACTTACCTTTATCCTCCTTTATGGTCAACATGGGCAGAGTGTAGATCACTTTGAAAGATGTCAGGGGGGCATGGAGGGCAGCTCCCATAAAATCCTGGAAAATTTGTAGATACAAAGTAGCTAAAGAAATAAATAGCATCACTTTTATTAACAAACTAAATTTGAAAAAACTGAAAAAAAAAAAGAATTTGTGACAAGATTATCTGATTACAATCCTTCTGATACCATGCTACGTTATAAAACATTTAAATTCATTATAAGAAGAAAGATGTTAAATAAATAAAGTTGCGGTTGTATAAATGTCCCAGGAAGTTCACTTTACCATGCCTTTCAGTTCCATCACAACATCCACCTTCCCATCATTCTTAGTGAAACCTTGGTAACTCATGTTCCTGGCTGCTCTCCTGGTGCACACAAAGATCTCCCCATTAGCCATCTCCGTGGCAACATAAGTTAGGTCTGGGTGGATCCAGCAATTGGTCTGACCAAACATGGTCTCTGGTCTTAGTGTGGCAGCAACCAGGTACACAGACTTGCCTTCTAGGGGCCTGAGATGATGGGGAAGAGGGAAATATTAGATCTGGTCCAATTAAAATGTCAAATGAGTCTCATGCAAAAAGGAAAGAGATGACCACATTGTGAGTACTGAGCAATTCACTGTCACAGTTACTTTTTATTTCAAACACTGTTGGTTAAAATTATAACCATCCTGTCTGTACTGAAAGACTGACTAGTCCTGCAGGAGGCACCTACTTTAGCTTGGCTGGGTATGGCGCCATCAGCTTCATCTTGATAATAGTGTACTCCTGGGGACCAACACCCTGAAATCAAAATAATATTTGATGCTCATGAATGCAAAATTTACATTCATAGTCACTGTTTGACTTTCAGGTTAACAAAATACATCACTCAAACTTTAGGAGTACAGTATATTTCACTGAAAATTCCCCCTTTAAAAATTCAACAACCCAATTAAGGGTTTAATCAGCGAGCTGTCAAGCTGTCATTTGAAGAGCCAATCTGAGCAGAAGACAGCATATTTTATGGATGGATGTCTTGTTAAAATTCTTATACACACAAAAAAGATGTGAACCACACCCACCTCTCCAGTACTCCTGTCATGGTCCATACAGGGCTGGCCATCTTTAGGAGAGAATATTGTGTACCTGGAAAGATGGCATGATAGAATACTTAGAACATTGATTCCTTTATTTCAATGCAGTGTTCATTTTTTTTCTTAAATCCAAGTTTACACAAAATATGCAACTGGATACTAAGTGAGCAAGTTTCAAATAAATCTCTCTTAACCCCTAGAAAGTCAATAAATATGAAACACAGATTTTTCTGGCATGAGTTTTCACAAAGAATCTATAGATAATACCTAATAATCTCTGCCCTTACATATATCTCTTTACTCACCTCTTTCCAAATTTCACCTTGTCCCTGGCCTTCAGTCTGAGGAAAGACCAACTCACAAAGGAATCATAAAATGGATTGACATCCGTGGTGATGAAACTTCTTCTCCAGTCCACCTGGAAGTTCAGATATCATCAAAATGTAGTCAAATTATGAGGAGAATCATGTACCTTCAACAGACGGACATGCAGAACACCATATAATCTAAATGGTTTTCTTAGAATACTTAACAATCTTTACTTTGTATGTATTTTCAAGTGTTATAATTTCATTATTAAACTAAGGTTCACCATTTTCAGAATATTGTCCAGGGCAAAATTTAGGAATTCACCATGAACACCCAAACCTTCTCTGTAACTATCAGTCACAATTTTACCTTCAGACCCATAGAGCAGAGGTCTTTCATAGCCAGAGGTGGGAAGAAGTAGAGCCAGTGCATGGGGTCAGCAAACTTCTTGATCTCTTCATCCACTAGCCCCAGGGACATCATGATCTGCCACTGGTACTTGCTGGACCCAGTCTTAGCTGCAAGCTTACTCTGTTATTGAGAAAAAGCATACAACAGAAATTAAATAACTTAAGTGATAGAGAAATGAAATTTATCATTCTTTAGCAAATACTGTGTTTTAGCCAAATAACAATATTTCACCAGATTAAAAAATCTCTTTTTTCCTCTCACTGAAGTCATATTTTTCTTATCAATAGTAGATTTTTGGAAATGGCAAAAAAATCTTCTGGTAGTATGAGCCCAAAACACCTGCCTCAGCTTTAAACTTAATCTTGCATACACAACTTATGTCCAATATGTATAGTATTTATCATTATCAACCACAGTCTTTAATTCTGTAACCATAGAAGTCTATGCTGTAACATGTCTCTCCATACGATGTTTTTAAATTACTACCATTCTTCAAGAATATCAAATAAAAGCTCAAATGAACTTCCCATTTAATTTACAGCTTCATTCCTTGAATGCATTTTTCCAGATATCAGTTCAGAATAATCATATTCAATATAGTGTCCATTTATGAAAATAACAACACATTATATATGTACTTTGCACCTTCTCTTTCAAGAATTCTCATGGACTAGGTACGTATTTGGTGGGATGCTCACAACTCACCTTCTTCCCTTTAGATTTATCCTCAATCTTGAGCTCCTTCTCCTGCTTCTTGTCCTTGTTTTCTTCATCTTCATCTACCTCAGGAAATCTTGGAGGGTAGCCAAAGTCTTCCATTTCTCTTTTCAGCTTATCTGCACATGCCTGAAAATATATGAAAACAATACCAAATTCCAATTATAGGTACCATATATGAGAATTTAATGCCAAATTTACTGCCACCTATTCAACAGTGCTAGAAAAGGCAGAGGAATTCTATTTTTTATATATTTTGTCACCAAAATGATGCCGTAGACGGAAAGATAATTTCACAAATAAAATAGTCTGTTGTAATGATGCCAAATGTATTTATGATAATCAGATCCAAATATCTTTTTAACAAGTGTAACAATGTTCTCATGTATCTCCATATACTTATTATATGTTTCTATTAGCAGAAACATACAGGGATCATGGAGATCACTTTATATAGCACAGTTACTCCTTGTGTCTGCTTTTGTAAGTTACAGCAATTTAGGAGAACTGTGCAGTCCTTCAAATTAATTTAATTGATTGATATTTTTTGACAATGAAGTGGGGAGTACTCTCTGTTAATTCTGGGTCTAGTATATCTAAAGCAAATACAATATTTGCAGTTTAGATACACCTCTTAGAAAGAAAAAATAGTGAAGATAGTTTACTTTGCCCAAAAAATCCAAATATATCATTTACTGTCAATATACAATGTACTTGATGACACCAAGTCACTTAGCCTGAGCAGAAGAATGAAACTAAGTGAAGAAAGTTTCATAACATCTATCATGTGATTTAATGAAAAAAAATGTACCACTGGCTTCAAAAAGACAATACCTTGATGGGCATCCCTGTACAGTGAAAAGCAAAAGGAAACAAACATCTTTTCCCCTTCAACTTTTGGTATCCCACTGCAAACTGAAATACAAATAATCATAGAGAAAACTGAAATGCCAAATATCATAATATAAACTGAAATACAAATTACTAAGGAGTTGACAGAAAGACTACTTCTTTAATACAATTTTCTTATTTCTCTATACTCAAATACCTTTCATAAGTCAGAGTTCTATTTGGGATGTGCTCAATCTTTACAAAAACACTGATGACAATGTTCACACACTAAATTATAATCTTGGATCGTTGTGGATGTTTACCTCACATTTAGAGATGGTGAAGGTGTGACCCAGGTGAAGACGTCCATTCATGTAAGGATAGGGAAAGGTGACGAAGTAGGTGTCCTTCCTGAAGTGAAATACAAATCATCTCACCATCAATAAAGCACTGAATCATGCCTGCCTTTAAAAAGGTAGAATATGGGACATTACATTTTAACTGATATTCTTTTTTATTGAAATTTTCAGTTTATTATCATCAGACATTGCTGAATTGTGAATTATTCGGTCAGTTTTAGAGCTTCATAATTTATGACAAGTTTTGTTGATAACAATATCTGACAACATAATGGTTATTCACTTTCCCTAAAAATAAATAAATAAATAACAGAATAACGAACACTATGTAGTGGCTGGCCGGGACTGTCCCGGGCTCGGTAGCTCAGTCGGTAAGAGCGGTCGCACAGTTTGTGAGAGTCCCGGGTTCGAGTCCCGGTCGAGCCTTGGTGTTTTCTCCCCCCAAATCGCTACAATGGTGGCAGCGGTGGGATGTTGGACTCGCGTCTTTTGGCATTTAGTGGGGAGGAGTGTACTGGCTGGCCGGGACTGTCCCGGGCTCGGTAGCTCAGTCGGTAAGAGCGGTCGCACGGTTTGCGAGAGTCCCGGGTTCGAGTCTCGGTCGAGCCTTGGTGTTTTCTCCCCCCAAATCGCTACAACTACTTTGACAACACACGAAAATTTCTTACTTGCTCTCCGATGACCCTGGTTCTGGGGCATCTATCTCAAATGCTTTCTCCCTAGCCCATCTCTCTTGCATCTGTTTCTCTATCTCTCGGATTTCAGTCAGCTTAGCTGTGCTCTTCCTTTCCACGCTCACCATTTTCACCTGGAATCTGGATAAATAACGAACGTTATGACTAAATATCATGGCTTTCTTCGTCCCAAATAATACAGTAAGAAGTAAAAAACAAATTTAAACGTTCATACTTACTTTTAAGCATACGCTTGTCAGCGTGCCGAATATTTTAGTTTCTTTTTTGTGTCTTTTATCTACTTTTCTGTTGCAATATTGGACAGGCCATGTGCAAAACCGGAAATCGTAGCGGTGTCGTAAGGAAGTACTTGAGAAAGGTAGCGACACTACATTTGACTTTTGTTCTAGTTTTAATTATGCCAACAATGGAAAAGTTATATATTATCTTTCCAACGTATTGATTTCGTGCCTAAAATATAATTGAAAGATTAGGATACACGTAGAAAATTGGATTTACGACATATACAATATGGCTGCGCCCGTTCGGTACCACGATTTTTCGAGATATTCATTGTAAAGTTGATATGTTTAGAAGATAATTCAAAACAGCATGGCTCATTTTGATGAAAGTAGTGGAATTGTTCCAATGAAGACACCCTGGGGCCGATGGTGGCAAACAATAGATGAAATATATGTAGAAATAGTGGTTCCAGACGGTACAAATAGTAAAGACATTAAATGTGACATCAAGCCTAAGAAAATTAAAGTTTCGGTGAAAGGAGACACGGTTATAGATGTAAGTTATAACCCCTACAGTCTAGTAGATATATTCTAATCTGGAGAGTATTTATGAACTTTTACACAGTACCTACACTCATATCCGTTAACCACTTTCATTTCATTAATTTACTTTCACTCTCAGATTACATGTACATGTAATTCATTTGCAATACTTACCCATTACTGAAATTTCACATCTTTACAATCAAACCAGTGAACCTCCAGACTGAACCTTCTGACTGTCAAGACGCATCCTCATAATTCAATTTTTATACATTCAAGCTTTTTCTTTTCTAGTTCTTTATAAATTTTCTTCCCAATTGGCTTTCTCGATTTTGAAAATGAAATGGAAGTTAATTATTTTTAGTAATTGAGCATTGTTACGGCATGTGTTTCTGCGCAAACCTGAAACTGTCACAGTCTGTTGGCTTGTTGTTTTTAACCACCCTGATATGCAGTTCACTTTATAAATGCCTGTACTGAGTATGAGACATTTAATTAAATTGCCTAGATATTTAATTTGTGTGTGTTTAGTAGACACTTATCTTTATTGTTGTATCAAGTTTACTAGAGCATATTTTTTTCTCTTTAGGGAGAGTTTGTATCTCCTATTCATGCTGATGAAAGTGTTTGGACTTTGGGTAGGTTCAGCAGTACTAGCACCATGTCAGATTTTGTTACATACTCAGTACCCCCTGAAATGGCATCCTGAAGACCAATGGCACCAAAACTGATTTATCCTACATTTTGGGACATAAATTTTTGCATGCAATCAGCTGTATTTACCAATAGAAAAACTTTCTTAAGTGGATTGTTGGTATGTTTTCAGTGTACATTAAACAATCTAGTGCATTATCCGAGGCTCTTAAGTGTTCAGCCTTATATGTGCCTTTCCAAATTTAGTAAGTTACATATGAATACAAATCTTTATTGCTACTAACTACCTTATATAAGACAGTGGTTAGTAATTGCTTATCAGGAAAATAAATATTTTTTAATATGTACATTTGATGGCTCCGTAATTCATTGGTTTAGAGGACAAGAAGCTGGTGGAGATGTGCCTGCCTAAGGACAAAGCTACTGCAGCTAATTGTTGGACTTCGTTACTAGTGGGGCAGTATGAAGCAGATCCCTTCACATATGACCAGATGGAAAAGAAAATGACTTTACAGAGGTTCCAGTATGAGGTAATGTCAATTTATATCTAATAGTATCCTTTCAACTGATATTAGGATACAGAAATAGAATTGCATGTTACACATCAGCAAGCCATTTTTCCTGATAAGTCAATTAAAATTATTGTCAATTCAGATATGTAGAAAACAATGAAAATGTACCTTATAGGGTGTAGATCAACTTCACGTCATAAAATTCTTCTTTAAATGATTAGATTTGGCAGCCCTGAGCATATGCACTGAATTTTCTTTTTCAGAATCCTGGCTTTGACTTCAGCAATGCAGACATATCAGGACAGTACTCAGGTGGAGGTCCAGAACTTCCCTCTCACAGCTGATATACTGAGGCAGCTTAGCAAAAATAATAAATATCTAGAAATGTGCTTTAAGATCAAAACATGAAATGAGGGGACAGCATTGCAGTGGAACATTGAGGTGCTTCACAGCCTCCCTCCCCCCTTTTGGCATGTTGATTTAAACAAGATAAACTTATTAAAGCTTCTGACATGACCTTTAAAAAAGTAATTTGCTTATAAGTAACTATATAATCTTAAGATGTCAGCTTTATTTTAAACCACTGGTCATAATAATTTTGCATACTTTCATTGAACTGCATGCTCTTAAGCTGTCAGTCTTGGAAAACATACCAGTATAGTTGTATCATTCAGATATGATGTACAATGTATAATCATGCTTTATGGCTTATGGAAGATAAACTGTCATATTTATCATTTAGTTTATGCCCAACATTTTTGCCCAATTTACTGAAAGATTCTCTTTTACTCTCAGCAATTTAATAATTGAGTTCATGGGTAAAATGCAAAGATTTATCTTTATCTTATCTATATTATCTTTATCGTGAAATAATACGTGGGAAATGTTTCCCTCCATTTTTTGCATTTATTTGATGAAGAAACAAGTTCCCTTTAACCTAAAACAAACAATCAAGTTCTTTTCTTTGTAGTCCTTTGTTTTAAATCTGGGAATGTTAGTGGTGTTTCCAGAACAGCAAACTTTTGTTCTATTTTCTGCAGACCAATGGTTGCTTTTTGTGATGTTACTTTACAGCCTAGGGACCTGCTGTGCTGAATTATCCTGGAGGAGAGAAAAAATGGTTTTAAATCATGAAAAAACTATATTATTGATCAGACTAAAACATGGGTGAAATTCACATATTAATCAAACAAAGCAAAGTTGTAATAAAATGCTTACAGCTTAAATGTTTATAGGTAACAATTTTTGTTTATGTTAGTATTAAACATTTGACTTAACCTTACTCTTGGAAATGATGTTACATTTGCTTTTTAATTAAACTTAAGATAAGCTACCATCTCATTTTACCTTGCCCACAAAAATGTTCTTGTGTTTCTCTGTCAATTTAAAACTTTTGGCAAGCTATGTATTATAGATTCAATTTCTCCACTACGCTGTCAGTACCCTACCTGGCCTGACCCATTTTAATGTCCTTCTGTAAAGCTGTCAGCTCCAAGTTGAACTCGTCTATGATCAGCCCAAGCACCAACATGTAGGAGACAACTTTATCCTTTAACCTGGCAGGCATACACCTCACTGTTTTCCTGCCATCACTGGATGTAGCTTTCAGAGTGTATTTGTCTAACAATGCCCTCCTGACTGTCTCTGGGATATCCTGGGGAAGAATATCTGAAAAATGAAAATAGCTACAAATTGTGTGTCCAAAAGTAAAGGCAGACCATATTATCAAACTCCTATAACAAACAGCACCTTGTCTCTTACATCTTATGTAAGGTTTACTGAAAAAAAGTTGATGAAAATATACACTTGTTCTATAAAAACTTATGCACTTAAACCCATAGTAGTCTGTAAAAGTCATAGTTCTGTATGTCTTACCTTTACGTTTTAGGTCTGGAGCCCGTAACATATACGTCTTTATGAGGTAGCTCGTGTAAAGAAGTAACCTGGCTTTTTTGCTTCTGGCCGCCTCCTGTATGGGGAGAACTGATAAGTGCTGTAACACATAGCCAGGGTACCTGGAATAGGGAAAATAGCATTACTTTTAACAATTAAATGAATGCAACTATTGATTTTTAATTTGTTGAATAACTAACTAGCAGTGCTGAAAACAAAGTCTGAAAAACTGCTATGGTAAAAAAATTTAACTGGCTCAAAAATTATGGAGATATTGATGAAACAAATTCAAACCTTTCACCATATTCAATATAAAAATGTCCTTTTCACTTACAGGTTGAATGAAGAAAGTAATGAAAATGTTTTGAATGTCAGTCATTCATCGTCCTCCTACTCTAAATCAAAGAAACACAACTATTACAGAGAATTTACAACGAAGACATGTCACAAATTCAAATTCAGCACACATACACTTCGTCTTTCTTCCACTGAGCAATCTGTTCTTTTGTGGCATTCATAAGCGGCTTGACCACATGGTGTAGGGCCTCCATCTCTGCAGGACTAATAACTGGACATTGGTCAAGGTACATAAATACCTGAGATGTCATCTGCTGTTAGTTTCATTCTGATTCCACGACTGTGATACTGTTGTATTAAGAAGTATTTTGCCAAGCTATGTGAAATATAGTGTGACAAATCACTTAAAATGGGTTTATTCACAAAAAACCAGTAAATACACTTGGGGTTAAATGCTGAATTGTCTTTTATATCCAGTTTAACCTAAAGCCATTTGCTAATATTTAGAATATGTATACAACAACATCCACTTTGAATGTTTGCATAAGTGTATGCAAGTGCAACTGTGTACATACATAAGGATACTATCATCCAGCTTATAGACATCTTCAGGTTTGGAAGCATCTTTATCAAAGGGTGGTATTCCAGAGGGAGAATCATCAACTATTTTTGGGACTGAAGATATTGCAAATGAGAAAATGAATACCTCGAATAAATGCTGAATATTTGTGAAATTTTACATTAAAACGACTAACAAGAAAAGAAACATAAGCTTGCTGTTTTACCTTGCTTTAAGAAGCTTTAATTCCTTGAATTGTAAAGGGAAATTTGTGGGCCTCAACTTGTACTGTCTTATGTCCACTTACCACTGGTAACCTGCGCAGCAGTGGGCAGTGAGAGGGTGTGGTCCACTGCTGCTCCCACAGCCACCTCCAGGGCCTCGCCCTTGATCTGGTTCCTTATTCTGGAGTCCATGGCCTTCCTCTTCTTATTACTGCCAAATGCTTTGGTAAGGAGGTCATTCTGATAATGAATTGAACATTTCATATTAGCAGTAAAAAGAAACTAACCACTTCACATTTAATATAGTCCTTTATAACCTCTCTTCTCAGAGATGCATTGCCATTAACAGATAATTTGTACCGTCTTTAACATTTTACTGCCATCATTTTGTTGTTCAAATGACAAAATATGTTAAAAAAAGTTAAAAGTAGTGTTCTTGTTTACCTTTATATATTTGTACACATTTATTAAATTAATAAATTCTACACTATTTATTTTGAGCTTAAACATTATACAAATTGCCCTTTTAATTTATTATATTGAAATGGGCATAAAAGTTTGGTGTTTACCTTTTCCATAAAACTTAATTCTTTATCTTCTGCTTTATCAGGTGCATCAGTTTCATCTAAAAACATATTTTAGGAGTATAATTAAGATAAAATTAATTCTCTAGATAAAAAACTCAACTTTGTCATTATGATCATGTTATACATTATACACCATTATCAACACTGCCAATAAGCAGTTCTAATAATCAGTGATTTTAAATTTATTTATATTTGAAAAACAAAAGAACAATGTACTCAACCTTTATCAAATCTTGGTCTCATGTGAAAAAGCTGTGCATCCATCACCTTCATTTTACCACTATCTTTGTCCAATATTCCCACTAGATATCTAATTATGTAAGACATGTTATAAATTAAAAAATTAAAGACATGAAATTTTCATTAGGGTGCTTAATAATTAATTTTCAAAATTATGTTTCTTTTTTTAAAGTTATATGTAATTTGCAACTACATATATAAACACTTAGTTGATGCTTGACTTGGTATTAGCACAATGAAGCCAATTAGATAAACTGTAAATCTCTGAAATAACCTTTTTCCATTTAATTTATTCTTCATTTGACTTAAAAGCACTTACAAGCAATATAAACATATAATACAATTCTTACTTGCACATCCTTCCTGTCCTTGGAGCTTGTATGTCAAGATTCTGACCTATGTATTCCATTGTGTCCGTTTCAGCAACCTGCAATAAATAAAAAATAAGAGACTAAAACGATATCCATAGGTCTCCAATCCTTAACTTATACCACTCTTTTTTATGTCATAATCATTTTATGACATAGATCACAGTACAGTAATACTGAAGCAATACTTAATTAAAAACGTTCTGATTTTATTTTCATAGTAAGAGAGACAATTTTGCTTTAACCATTACATTACATTACTGATACTTTATCACTTATTTAGGGGGTGAAAAACAAAAGTGGCAACTTTTTACTCATTTTTTAAAAAAGCATGTGAAAAAAATGGACGTCACATGGTGTCATTAAACTTTGAATAACTGTTGACCAAAATGAGTTATATACTAGTTCAAAAATTCAAACGGTTTATACACACTCAAATATGTAGCTATTTGTTTGTCAAATTTCAAGTCTCTAGCTAAATTAGAAATAATTATTTGTGGACCTTAATCAAAGCATAACTCCCCGACCCACACTCCCAATTCCACCTCACCTGCAAGGCCCATGAACTAGTACATACCAATGTTCTTTTCATTGATTTCTTAGGATCTGCCTCATCTTTGCCCCTGTAGTACCCAAATCTTATGTTGTCAGTGCCTCCTTTCAGCCGACCATTGGCAAAAGTTGCTAAAAACGAAGTACATGTAGTTTTTAGCAATTTCATACCAATTTTATAAAATGGACACATATAAAAGCATGTTTATTGACATTTCTGAATTATCTAATTTTAATTGTGTAACTCTATATAATTGATTCAAAGCTAGCACCTAAAATCCCTTCATTCTTTGACGTGCTTGGGAGATACTTAATCGTCGCTGCCATCTTAGCGCCTTGCCATGGAAGATGTTTGTGTTCACTTTTCTCTCCACGTGTTTTTCTACTTCCGGAATCTCGCACTTTACTGTTGTGTTGCTCCATATTTGAAAAGAGAAAATTTTATTATTAAAAATATAAAAATTGATAATTCTTTGAAAGTAAAATGGTTATAAGATGTAGACTATATGAGTACATCAACTACCATAATGGTAGATGATTTCCAAAGTGCGAAGTGATACTTGACCTATTTTCAAGCAACAACAACTTGAGAAAGCATGGCAGCTGACTTCAAGTAAGAATTAAGTCTTCAAACAACCACTGCCCGATGGCTCATACATGATCTTCTGGCTTCAAAGTAGAAGATTTATATTTTGATTTAGTTTTTAATTGACCCAGATAAATACAGCCATCAGCCTCATTCCCTTTTCCTTCTCATATGCTAGTACTAGTATAACAGGCCAATATTAATGCCTGTCAATGTCATAATGTAACTCGTTCATTCTTCTACACAGTGATATGGACAAATTTTATTGGGGTAGAAGCTGTATATTGATAACTTAAGCAGCAGTAGAATAAAGTTGTTTTAAAAATAAAATTCCCAAAAACCTCCGCCGAAGCACAATACGAATAAAAAGCAGCTAATAAATTGCAGAAAATCAAAAATACATTTTATTTATCTCAAATGAGACATTTAATGATGTGATATTTTTCAGGACAGCCCAGCCTGTTGAATATTATAGAAAGTTTTTGGTAAGTATTTGGAAAGATGTCAGAAAAATAAGATGTAAAATTCTAAAATGAAATACAGTAGAAGTTAAAATATTCACAAATTTGGGGATTGTGGAGTCATTTTCAGTCAATAAAAATGTTAATGCCCTTCATAGTTGCTGTAATTGTTATATTATTATTATCACTTATTAGAGTCATTGCCATTGTGATAACTGTGTATTAAGAACATGGTATATCCCTGGCATAGCAGCTTAGCCATACATAAATATCCTATGATGCTCAATAAATTACATCAAACAGAATACAATGTACATCGCTAAAAACACTGACCTCCCCCAGAGATCCCATCATTGTTATATTTTATATTTTGAATACATGACATTTTTATAAATCGTCCTGGAATTATGAGGGTATGATTAAATTATAATGGCAGTAGTTATTTTAAATTTCATGTACATAGGAATAATGGTACTTTTTATTGCAGGAAAAAGATGTCAGACCTGATGGACGTGAACTGGGGGAAATACGTCCAACAATGATCAACATAGGTAATATTGGAATTATCAGTATTTCTAATATAGACTATAATTCAGTTAAGTATTACAAGAAAAGATTTAAGTGTACAAAGGACATGACAGACATATTGCTTAGATATTTTGTTATCAAAATTAAATACAGTGACACCTTTTGCAGTGGAATGTACCGTATAGCTAAAAAAAAACACGACTATTGGTACGCGTATGATCGATAACTGATTTAATTCTCGTAAGATTACCGTCCGCCCCCTTCCTTATGAATAGGTATTACTTTATTAATACAATGCAACCGTCGTGTAGCCGCATGTTAGAAGACAATGTTTGATTACGCACAGCAGTAGGAGGCCGCTACCCCTTCCCAGCAAGGAGTCAACACAGCAGCTCNTTATGATCAGCCCAAGCACCAACATGTAGGAGACAACTTTATCCTTTAACCTGGCAGGCATACACCTCACTGTTTTCCTGCCATCACTGGATGTAGCTTTCAGAGTGTATTTGTCTAACAATGCCCTCCTGACTGTCTCTGGGATATCCTGGGGAAGAATATCTGAAAAATGAAAATAGCTACAAATTGTGTGTCCAAAAGTAAATATTATCAAACTCCTATAACAAACAGCACCTTGTCTCTTACATCTTATGTAAGGTTTACTGAAAAAAAGTTGATGAAAATATACACTTGTTCTATAAAAACTTATGCACTTAAACCCATAGTAGTCTGTAAAAGTCATAGTTCTGTATGTCTTACCTTTACGTTTTAGGTCTGGAGCCCGTAACATATACGTCTTTATGAGGTAGCTCATGTAAAGAAGTAACCTGGCTTTTTTGCTTCTGGCCGCCTCCTGTATGGGGAGAACTGATAAGTGCTGTAACACATAGCCAGGGTACCTGGAATAGGGAAAATAGCATTACTTTTAACAATTAAATGAATGCAACTATTGATTTTTAATTTGTTGAATAACTAACAAGCAGTGCTGAAAACAAAGTCTGAAAAACTGCTATGGTAAAAAAATTTAACTGGCTCAAAAATTATGGAGATATTGATGAAACAAATTCAAACCTTTCACCATATTCAATATAAAAATGTCCTTTTCACTTACAGGTTGAATGAAGAAAGTAATGAAAATGTTTTGAATGTCAGTCATTCATCGTCCTCCTACTCTAAATCAAAGAAACACAACTATTACAGAGAATTTACAACGAAGACATGTCACAAATTCAAATTCAGCACACATACACTTCGTCTTTCTTCCACTGAGCAATCTGTTCTTTTGTGGCATTCATAAGCGGCTTGACCACATGGTGTAGGGCCTCCATCTCTGCAGGACTAATAACTGGACATTGGTCAAGGTACATAAATACCTGAGATGTCATCTGCTGTTAGTTTCATTCTGATTCCACGACTGTGATACTGTTGTATTAAGAAGTATTTTGCCAAGCTATGTGAAATATAGTGTGACAAATCACTTAAAATGGGTTTATTCACAAAAAAAAAAAAAACAGTAAATACACTTGGGGTTAAATGCTGAATTGTCTTTTATATCCAGTTTAACCTAAAGCCATTTGCTAATATTTAGAATATGTATAAAACAACATCCACTTTGAATGTTTGCGTAAGTGTATGCAAGTGTAACTGTGTGTACATACATAAGGATACTATCATCCAGCTTATAGACATCTTCAGGTTTGGAAGCATCTTTATCAAAGGGTGGTATTCCAGAGGGAGAATCATCAACTATTTTTGGGACTGAAGATATTGCAAATGAGAAAATGAATACCTCGAATAAATGCTGAATATTTGTGAAATTTTGCATTAAAACAACTAACAAGAAAAGAAACATAAGCTTGCTGTTTTACCTTGCTTTAAGAAGCTTTAAATCTTTTATTTCCTTGAATTTTAAAGGGAAATTTGTGGGCCTCAACTTGTACTGTCTTATGTTCACTTACCACTGGTAACCTGTGCAGCAGTGGGCAGTGAGAGGGTGTGGTCTACTGCTGCCCCCACAGCCACCTCCAGGGCCTCGCCCTTGATCTGGTTCCTTATTCTGGAGTCCATGGCCTTCCTCTTCTTATTACTGCCAAATGCTTTGGTAAGGAGGTCATTCTGATAATGAATTGAACATTTCATATTAGCAGTAAAAAGAAACTAACCACTTCACATTTTATATAGTCCTTTATAACCTCTCTTCTCAGAGATGCATTGCCATTAACAGATAATTTGTACCATCTTTAACATTTTACTGCCATCATTTTGTTCAAATGACAAAATATGTTAAAAAAAGTTGAAAGTAGTGTTCTTGTTTACCTTTATATATTTGTACACATTTATTAAATTAATAAGTTCTACACTATTTATTTTGAGCTTAAACATTATAGAAATTGCCCTTTTAATTTATTATATTGAAATGGGCATAAAAGTTTGGTGTTTACCTTTTCCATAAAACTTAATTCTTTATCTTCTGCTTTATCGGGTGCATCAGTTTCATCTAAAAACATATTTTAGGAGTATAATTAAAATAAAATTAATTCTCTAGATAAAAAACTCAACTTTGCTCTTTTGATCATGTTGTACATTATACACCATTATCAACACTGCCAGTTCTAATAATCAGTGATCTAAAATTTATTAATATAAGAAATATTTGAAAAACAAAAGAACAATGTACTCAACCTTTATCAAATCTTGGTCTCATGTGAAAAAGCTGTGCATCCATCACCTTCATTTTACCACTATCTTTGTCCAATATTCCCACTAGATATCTAATTATGTAAGACATGTTAAAAATTAAAAAATTAAAGACATGAAATTTTCATTAGGGTGCTAAATTATTAATTTTCAAAATTATATTTCTTTTTTTAAGTTATATGTAATTTGCAACTACATAAACACTTAGTTGATGCTTGACTTGGTATTAGCACAATGAAGCCGATTAGATAAACCGTAGATCTCTGAAATAACCTTTTTCCATTTAATTTATTCTTCATTTGACTTAAAAGCACTTACAAGTAATAAACATGTAATAAAATTCTTACTTGCACATCCTTCCTGTCCTTGGAGCTTGTATGTCAAGATTCTGACCTATGTATTCCATTGTGTCCGTTTCAGCAACCTGCAATAAATAATAAATAAGAGACTAAAACGATATCCATAGGTCTCCAATCCTTAACTTATACCACTCTTTTTTATGTCATAATCATTTTATGACATAGATCACAGCTAGTACAGTAATACCGAAGCAATACTTAATTAAAAACATTCTGATTTTATTTTCATATTAAGAGAGAAAATTTTGCTTTAACCATTACATTACATTACTGATACTTTATCACTTATTTAGGGGGTGAAAAACAAAAGTGGCAACTTTTTACTCATTTTTTAAAAAAGCATGTGAAAAAAATGGACGTCACATGGTGTCATTAAACTTTGATTTAGTTCAATAATTCAAACCGTTTATTCACACTCAAATATGTAGCTATTTGTTTGACAAATTTCAAGTCTCTAGCTAAATTAGAAATAATTATTTGTGGACCTTAATCAAAGCATATAACTCCCCGACCCACACTCCCTAATTCCACCTCACCTGCAAGGCCCATGAACTAGTACATACCAATGTTCTTTTCATTGATTTCTTAGGATCTGCCTCATCTTTGCCCCTGTAGTACCCAAATCTTATGTTGTCAGTGCCTCCTTTCAGCCGACCATTGGCAAAAGTTGCTAAAAACGAAGTACATGTAGTTTTTAGCAATTTCATACCAATTTTATAAAATGGACACATATAAAAGCATGTTTATTGACATTTCTGAATTAGCTAATTTTAATTGTGTAACTCTATATAATTGATTCAAAGCTAGCACCTAAAATCCCTTCATTCTTTGACGTGCTTGGGAGATACTTAATCGTCGCTGCCATCTTAGCGCCTTGCCATGGAAGATGTTTGTGTTCACTTTTCTCTCCACGTGTTTTTCTACTTCCGGAATCTCGCACTTTACTGTTGTGTTGCTCCATATTTGAAAAGAGAAAATTTTATTATTAAAAATATAAAAATTGATAATTCTTTGAAAGTAAAATGGTTTATAAGATGTAGACTATATGAGTACATCAACTACCATAATGGTAGATGATTTCCAAAGTGCGAAGTGATACTTGACCTATTTTCAAGCAACAACAACTTGAGAAAGCATGGCAGCTGACTTCAAGTAAGAACTAAGTCTTCAAACAACCACTGCCCGATGGCTCATACATGATCTTCTGGCTTCAAAGTAGAAGATTTATATTTTGATTTAGTTTTTAATTGACCCAGATAAATACAGCCATCAGCCTCATTCCCTTTTCCTTCTCATATGCTAGTACTAGTATAACAGGCCAATATTAATGCCTGTCAATGTCATAATGTAACTCGTTCATTCTTCTACACAGTGATATGGACACATTTTATTGGGGTAGAAGCTGTATATTGATAACTTAAGCAGCAGTAGAATAAAGTTGTTTTAAAAATAAAATTCCCAAAAACCTCCGCCGAAGCACAATACGAATAAAAACCAGCTAATAAATTGCAGAAAATCAAAAATACATTTTATTTATCTCAAATGAGACATTTAATGATGTGATATTTTTCAGGACAGCCCAGCCTGTTGAATATTATAGAAAGTTTGTGGTAAGTATTTGGAAAGATGTCAGAAAAATAAGATGTAAAATTCTAAAATGAAATACAGTAGAAGTTAAAATATTCACAAATTTGGGGATTGTGGAGTCATTTTCAGTCAATAAAAATGTTAATGCCCTTCATAGTTGCTGTAATTGTTATATTATTATTATCACTTATTAGAGTCATTGCCATTGTGATAACTGTGTATTAAGAACATGGTATATCCCTGGCATATAGCAGCTTAGCCATACATAAATATCCTATGATGCTCAATAAATTACATCAAACAGAATACAATGTACATCTCTAAAAACACTGACCTCCCCCAGAGATCCCATCATTGTTATATTTTATATTTTGAATACATGACATTTTTATAAATCGTCCTGGAATTATGAGGGTATGATTAAATTATAATGGCAGTAGTTATTTTAAATTTCATGTACATAAGAATAATGGTACTTTTTATTGCAGGAAAAAGATGTCAGACCTGATGGACGTGAACTGGGGGAAATACGTCCAACAATGATCAACATAGGTAATATTGGAATTATCAGTATTTCTAATATAGACTATAATTCAGTTAAGTATTACAAGAAAAGATTTAAGTGTACAAAGGACATGACAGACATATTGCTTAGATATTTTGTTATCAAAATTAAATACAGTGACACCTTTTGCAGTGGAATGTATTTTTCATTTTTATTTAGAGCAATAAAGTGCAGGAATTAATGTAATATCTCAGACAAGTTTGAATAGAAAGATTTCATGAAGAGAAAGACAGCACCAGAAGGTATATTCAGCATGAGGCACAAGTAATGGATTTCTGCATTTTCTTATCTCTCATGATATTAACCAGTGTTCCTTTCTACTTCTTATCCACACTTTGTTATACGGTTTTGTTTTAGGTTCTATTTCTACAGCAGAGGGATCTGCCCTAGTGAAATTGGGGAATACCACAGTGCTTTGTGGTGTCAAAGCTGTAAGTAAATGACTGGGATATCAAAAAAAAGAGAAAGAGATAAATAGGAAAAAGTTCACTGAATGGAAAGATGGTCTTCTTGAATCATTTCAATATATAAACTATATCAATAATTAAAATCCCATGTTGTACTTTTGATGAGTTTTAACTGTGTAAAATGATTATCTTTATTCTAAGCTGTACTTTCAAAGTAGAATGAAAAGTTTAGGGCAAAAATTGACATTGTGTGCAACATTTGTATCATAAGTACAGCATAATATTTATTTAAATTTTAGGAGGTGACAAACCCAAAGAGTGAAGAACCAGATAAAGGGATAATAGGTAAAACAGAATTGATTTGTCCTGATGTTATATAGCATATATCATTAATGATGATTTTGCATATAAACTGGTCTATACAAATCCTGTACATTCTTCTTTCCATCTGATAGCTGCATCTTGCAAATGCCTGAACTTCATATGAACCCAATTTGTTAACATCACAATATTAATTTAGCTCTTGATATGGAATTCCATGTGACAAACAGATGTTTTTATATCTGTTTTTGTTCTGCAAGGTATAAAATATTAAAATCACTAATTTTTCAGATAAAGATATGATCAGGTTAACTGGTAACGCAGTAAATTTTTATCTGCTACTTACATTCCAGTTCCCAATGTTGACCTCCCAGCGTTGTGTTCCCCTAGATTCCGTCCAGGCCCCCCAAGTGAGCAGGCCCAGGTGGTCAGCCAGTTTATGGTGGAAGTCATTCAAAAGTGAGATACAGAAAAGAAAACATGGTTTCAAACATATTTAAAGATGTGAAAATACAGTGTTAAATTATTCTGTTGTGAAATTTAAAGGTAGAGTCAAGGATTTGCATTTTATTCTGAAAAGAATCTTGAATACACCTTAAGGATGCTAGAATAAAGGAAAACTTTATGAATCTCAAGCACATATATAGTGCAAGTATTTAGATTATTTAGCATCGGACAAAATTTGATTTTTCTGAGATGATGTCTCTTTTAGAATATATTCTTTTAAAAAAAATTAACATTGTTTTCAGTTCTGGCTGTATAGATCCAAAGGATTTATGTATTAAAGCAGGAAAGGTTTGTTATTATACAATACAATATAAAGCAAGTTAGTTACCCTTCAAATTACCTTAACTTTTTAAAACCTAGTTCACTTAGTAGAAAAGTACTGATCACAACTTCTTGTGCAATATTATATATGCAACCAACAGAAAAATGTATGCAGGGAAACTTAATGTATTATTCGCAATCTTTGACGAGGGCTTTTATATAAAAATGGAAAAAAAGGGGGAAGGAGTTAGTTCAATTATTTAAGAAATGATGGCATCATTGAAATCTCTGTTACACTTCCAGCATGTGTGGGTTCTGTACTGTGACCTGGTTTGTCTGGACTATGATGGGAATGTGACTGATGCTTGTGTGCTGGCTTTAATGGCAGCCCTTAAAAATGGTGGGTAGCTTGGTTTCCTTCCATTGACCCTATTCATCGTGTCCTATTGAAGATTTGTTGATTTACAGTTAAGTTGTAACAACAGTATTTTTCACTAACATAACAGTCGTAACATATTTGACTTCTTTTCAATAAAAAATAATAATAACCAGCTTAACACACAACATCCTGTAATGATATATTTGTTTACAGTTTCCCTGCCCAAAGTGACACTCAATGAGGAGTCGGGTAACTTGGAGACACACATGCAGGAGAAGTGGGGGTTGAACATCCTGTGCCAGCCTGTTGCCACTACATTTGCCATATTTGATGAGTAAGTTAACAGGGTTGCCAATGTTAGTGTTGTAAAAGTGCACGTTTCTTAACAATACTAGTACTTCAAAGTAATGTAATCTCCCTGTTTTCTGTGTAAGTAGCCTGTGCTTATATTTTAAATCTTTTTGCAGTGATGAGTAAACATTAAGGCTGGATTCTGGAACAAACTGGAGTAATATGATCAGTGAATTAAATGAATCTTTGATTCTTATAAGAATTAATTGTTTTTGGACTGTTGTTATTCTTATTATTGTTTCGATCCAAAACTGTGTTTTCAGTTGCATTGTATTTGCTGATCCAACAGATGAAGAGGAAAACCTTGCCACGGGAAAAGTTACCATAGTTACAACAGAAGAAGACAAGATATGTTTTGTACACAAGCCAGGTATTTCATGTTTACATTTCCATGACAGAAACCTTTTTTCTGCAAATTTTGTTTTTGAGATTAATTGGTCAGTCAAAAATTAAGCAACAAACTTTTGTATTGAATTTTTTTTATTCTTTATTTTCTGTAGGGGGCAGTCCTCTCTCTGATGACAAACTACAGAATTGTTTACAGCGCTCATTCATACGAGCAAGAGAGGCCAGGAATCTAGTTGAAACGACTTTAGTCAATGTGGACAGGTGATATAAAATCGAAATTTGGCAGTAAATTATCAGCAGCACCTACAGAGAGCAGCAAGTTTGGCCTGCCTATTTTGCATGTCAAATGCTGTGATCGATTTTGTGAGATATACTGCAAAATTAATCTTGAATGGCATGCTCTGCTTTTATAAATGAAAAGCGAAACATTCAATGCTGAATAGTGGATGAATCCTAGACTGCAGTTAGTTAAACCTAGTGCTTGGAGTCTCATGGCAATCAACATTGGAATCTAAGATTTAAAAAACTGGAAAAGATATTTTGACATTTTTGACAATTACTCAAAGAAAGATTCCTATCAAAGAATTAGGCTTCGTTCACATGGAAAGTCTGTTTTCTAAAAATCTATTTTTTATTCGCGGTATATCTTGTGATCACGGTCTGTGCCCTGAATATCCCGTGGGGTAATTACTGGCAGCGCGGGCCAGTTACTTCCAAAGCTGTAAATAATTCTCGGCTGTGCTCGGAGGAAATTCTGATACCTTGACGCATGTGCAGTAGGAAGTTAGAAAGTTAATGGCGGTCGCGGTTGCTTTGAAAAATGTGTTTGTCGATTTTGTGCAACAACAAGACGAAGAAGATGAAGAAGCTAAACACATGACGGATGCGAGTGCAACCGTCATGATCCAATGGCAAGCGATGCGGCAACGGAGGATGAGATTTTATAGAATGCGAGCACAGCCGAGAATTAATTACAGCTTTGTATAAGTAACTGGCTCGCACTGCCAGTAATTACGCTGCGGGATATTCAGGGCACAGACTGTGATCATGAGATACCGCGAATAGAAAATAATTTTTAGAAAACAGACTTTCCATGTGAACGAAGCCTAATTCCACAGCCCCAAAAAAGTGATGGAAATGCAAAATCCATGTACATCAAAATAAGTTTAAATTGCTCAGTGTAAATTTCATATTTTACAGTATTTCTTTGGGTAAATAGTATTTTTCTCTGTCTAACCAATCTTTGATTCTCATTTCCGGACACCTGCCATAACTAATAGTATGTAACAATCTGGAAAATGAAGAAGTCCCTAACCCACGCTCAAGCCTGGGTTTTTTAAAGTTTGCCATAACTTAGAGCAGTGACTTCTTGGTTGTACACAGTTCAAAACTGTTTCAAGATGGTAACATGTGGCAAGTTTTGTCAGGTGATTAATTACTAGTGTTAAGATTATTTTTGGCAACATTTATTCGTGGCATTTTTCTGTAAAAATGATGTTTTTCCTTAGTTAAGTTAAACAAGAAGTGGTTTATGTACTTTTAAATAAAAAAAAAAAATTTAAAAATGATTTGTCTCCAAACATTTGTACAAATTGCCCAGATTGTTGCAAGTTTTAGAGAATTAATCCCCTTTGATCTTCATTCCATTTTTAAAATCTGAATTATGTACAGGGCAATGGGTTGTGTACTGAAAGTGGCCAAACCAAGGTATTGGTGTAACAACGTTACATATTATTATTATTAATTTGCTATGGGTTGTTATCATAATAACAATATATTTAAGTTCAAATTATTTGGTCAGTAGACTTTACAATAAGTACAATTATGTGCAGTATACACATTACAGTTTGATGCCTGGGCCCCTGTATCTCTAAAGCATCACGCATTGCGGCCGTGCGCAAGCGTCTCAATTCCATAACTCGCCCATACTCATCCCATATAAAACATTGTAGTCTCTATTTGATATAGCTATTCGCAATACGCGATGCTTTAGAGATACGAGGCCCTGGTCATTGCCATCTGTGTTGACAATCTTGTTTCCCAGGGGAGGATATTTAATTAGAATTTGTTTGCATTCACTTTTCTTTGGATTAAACTAGCCAAAATGTCAAATAAATTAAAAAGGTTAAAATTTACAACACTTTGTAAACTGAACTGAAATTATTATAAAGAAAGAAAATGTACAGCTTTTAGGCTCATTCTGCATTAAAAACCATTTAAAACACTTTTGCACAGTCCTTTATTGTTCTTTATCTGTTGATCTTATTACATACCTTTAAAGTAGGACTTATCTCACCATAATCTGTTTGTTAATGATGACTGTTTTTACTCAAAAACTAATTTAAAACAATATTTTTTCTTATTTGACAAAAGATTTGAGCACATCTCAATCTCTTTTCAACAAATGCAAGCGCCAATGGCAAACATTCAAAAGATGAGTAAAAACAAACTTCCACTCGACAGAGTCCAATGCCAACAAAAATTTACATCGTGATATATGATAAATATCATCAACAAACCATCAAAAGAGTTGGCATGAACATTGTCAGAATTCTGACTGAAACTGACAAGAAGAAAAAAAGCTTAAGAAAGATGTTTAAAATTACATCTTTAAATGCGAGGTTTTTTAAAGCAAAAATTTGTAGAACAACGAAGAATTAATTCAATGTGGCAATTATTCCATACTACACCAATTAAAATTTCACTGGCACAAAATATTTCCGAAAAAAGGATACAAAATTTATTGACAAAGACTAGATCTTGAAATTTCAAAATGTTGCACATCAGGGGAAAAGGTCTATTGCAACATTTTTCCTCTTTCAAGTTCTTAAAATTGATGTTATGTGATTCGAATTGTTAGATGTATGTATAAAATTAATCAAACTGACTCCTTATACTGCATAAAATTTTACTAGACGAACAACACTGCAAAACTGGTCTTCTACCAAGTACTGAAATTAAAAGTTCATTGCTTTATAAATTATTAATAAGAAGAATTATCTGGTACAGTAATGTATTTCGTGATTTCAAAACTTAATAAAAAGTAGTAATGAGGACAGCCTGCCCTTTTTTAAAATTCATTCAAAATTGATTTAATGGCAGTGCACAAAACATTTCTTAATGTGCTTTTCCACAGCTTCCCACACCTGACAAATAGATAAAGTTAAGTTGATTATGCAACAAATTTTAACTTTTACCAACTTGCACACACTTATGGACTTTTCTGATTGGAAGAATTAAATTACAGCGACCACCACACATAAAAATATAGTTATTTACTCAAGTAATTAAGTAAATGGACAAAAAGTGTGTTACAGATCAGCTGATCGGAGAATGAATGTATTTTTTTTAACTTAAAAGTGTTAAAGTTACATTTAAGACTAACACCCTTATATATTCTTATATGGTCTCTTTAGGATGTCACATCATGTGACATGCACATTTTGCTTTGTGTGCAATGACATATTTATAATATAAACATTGCACAAAATTCAACATGATTATTGGAATGTTTTAAAGCTTTAAGCTTAAAATATTATTATAATAATAGAATTTTTCAATATATAATTCACTTTTTTTTTTATAAATAATGGTGCCAACAAACAAAATAATTACACCTACTTCTACAACTATAACATCCTACCTAACTTCTACTAACTACATTTAACCAAACTACAACATAAATAATTACCTACTGATATTTACAAAGAGCCTAAATGTTGTTCACCAGGCAGCTTTTGATATACTACTAACTACTACTGAACTTTTTAAAAAATAATGCACAAAAATGAAACACCAGCCTTTGGTCTAATAGGTTAACCAGCCTTTGGTATAACTGGACTAAAAAAGCCATCATGGAAAATAAAATGGCTGTTATCAAGAATTAATTTTCTTCAGACATCCACAAAGATTCTTCTCTCCTAAAATAGAGTACCTTATAAATGTCCATCCAACAGAAAATTTCTAGAGATCATAACAAAGATAGCAGCACATGAAAAAGACATGAATCTTCATAAAAATTTAAAGTGAAGATTTTACATAAAAAAATGTAAGACATGTATCACAAATATGAACACACACGCACACTTGTGTTTGGGGAAATGTTGCATCTATAACTGAAGGTGTTTTTAAGATCGCTCAAGGATATAAAAATAATGCCCTTGAATCAAATTTATTTGGCTTGTACTGACAAACATTTACTACATTCAAACTAGGTTTCTAGGCCTGTTTTCTGAATACTTCACAATTCCATGTTCAATTTGTTGCTTTGTACTGGAAATGGAACACGTGAAACATTAAAATTGAATCTATATCTATCTCCTACAAAAACAAGAACTTTGAATATGCAAAGCACACAATACAAAAGACGAGGCCTCTTAAAGGATAAACACAGATAATAGCAGTAAATAATTGTAATAATAATAATAATGCCTTTACCACAATAATAACAAGAAAAAGAAAAATATATACAGTTATCAAAGCAAATACATCTAAACAACATGAAGCAGAAGAGAATAAATTTTACAGGGAGAAAGTAAGCACTGTAGATATAATCAACTTCCTTCACCTCAAATTTATTGTTATTAACAACGTCTATCATCACTCACCCAAAAAAAAAAGAACTATGACATCTCAAATTCATGCAAGTCTATTGTTGCAGGCCTTTAACATGCCACTTTCTTTTCTTGGTATACAAGTCAACCTGTGCTCCACGTGCTGGCAAAATATTTTGACACTTTGTCACATAGAAATTCACGCATTGGAAGAAAGAGACTTCATTTTTCAATTTATGGGAAAAAAACATTTTGAAACCAAATCACATGATGCACAGTTGTACTCCTCAATTCTATTCTATGCCACAAGTAGGCTTTCAAAGGCACACTACAGAAACAAATGGCCAAAGCCTTGCAGGTCACACAGACATTGGGTACTGGGCTTGCTGGTACTGTCCTTGCTGGAGGGGTGCAGGCGCATACATAACTGGAGGCTGGTAAGGAACAAACTGTTGTTGACTGGGAAAAACCTCACTGGAATAATAGACCGTCCCCTGGGGAAGAGGGGGGACTGGGCCAGCACTGGGGCTCCCAGGGGTGGGGTAGTACCCTGCAGTGGAAGAGAAAGGAGGCACAGATGAAGCAAAGCAGCAGTTACCGTCACCATAGGTGGCAGAGTAGTTAGGTGGAGCACCTGTTAAGTGAATAGTATATGTAGGAGCAGCTGTGAGCTGTTGGGCTGGGGTATTGTTATCACCACAGCTACTGGTAGTTCCACTTACAACAGCACCACTGGTGCTGACTGTACCATTTAAGCCACCTACACCATTCGAACTGCCCATGCTTTCCACATATGTGGCAGGCTGTGTGACTGCAGAAGTGGTGTTGCTGACAGCGGCACAATACCCCTGCCCTGCAGGCTCACTGCTACTATAAACCTGTCCTGGAATAAAGCACTGTGCATTGGGATTGAAAGAGATTTGTGAAGATTCTGAAGTTTCTGTTGGACTACCTACATACTCTGGTGACATGCTATTCATTGGTACAACTAATGGTGGACCTTCTAATTTCCAGTTATGCTGTTTTGAGGTTTCAGCCGATAAGATTCTTTGAAACCTAGGAGGAATATCTTTGATTGGTCTTAATAACCTATGTGTCACTCCATTAATTTTCTTAATAAATGCAGGCCGTCTAGGGCGATTAGTGAATGTAGGCTGACAATCGTTTGAACTGCCACTGGATGCATTGGAATGCTGGGAGAAACTATCACTGTGATTTGATTGGTTATCGCTACTCTCACTCTCCTGGCGCTCTGGAGAGAACTGATCACTATCATCTTTACTAGAAAAGATTTGATTCTTTTGTGAGCAATCTAAGCTAATATCAGAGACGCAACCACTATCATTTAAGGAGCAGCCAGGATTAGTGCAATCACTACAATTAGACCCATCCTCCTCGCTGCTCTGCGCCACACTGACTTCTTCCTTTTTATGCGTTAACTTTTTCTGAGAGGGTGGCCTGTCGTGATCAGGGGAGTCCTGTGAATCAGACTGACCATTGACCGGATTGGTCTCATCCTCCACCAGACTGGACTGGTCCAGTCGTCCAGCTTGTATGATCTGAGGGGGTCGCCCCTGGGTCAAAGTCGCCACTGGAGGGGGTGGCTGGTAACAGGTAACCTGGAATGCCTGCTGAGTGCAGTATGCAGCGTACTGCTGCTGGCTCTGCATCTGCACCATGGCTGCATGGAAGCGGTGATACTGAAGGAAAGGACAAGCTTAAGGGAGTCTAATAGGAACTTTTTGTGAAATAGATTTAAAGATCTATGGTATTCAACATACATGTAATAGTATAGGTGTATATTAATAAATGCAAATGTTAACACTGCTTACAATAGAACAGCTTGCTTAATGAGAGAGCATGAAAAAGTACTTTCAGACAGCTGAAAGACTTCAATATTATATAAAATATGTATCTACCTCAACTCCAAGATTGAAGAAAAAACGCAGAGTTGTGATATCTGAAAAAGATGAAGTATGCCTATTGATAACTTTTCTACCTACTGATAATTTTACATCATAATGTACAAGGTCATAAAATGCAAGAAAACAAATTTCTAGAGTAATTTCAATTTAGCATTCGATGGAGATCATGGACACATCTTTACAATGCATGTAAGAAAGCCATTTTAGGAGCAGTCAAACCTGATGACCTGACTCAATTTTCTGATAATTTTTTACTACAAGGAACTTTTTAACTGGTTCCAAGGGATGGTCTTCTTTGGATACGTACAGTATACGAAGGCAATTATTTGTAATAATTAGTGTCCTACTTGTATATAACCACTTTAAACTTACCATTCAGTGGCAAATCATTTCCCATCACATCCCTGGATGGTGAAGCTCCATAATTCACAGGTCCTGTCAGATTCTCCATGTGTGGGATCACAAAGGAGTAATAGTATGGGACAGACCAGGCTGGCGGGACCATCCCAGGGGGTGGAGGTATCTTCTGAGAGATAGGACTAGGGGGCAGAGGGGGTGGAGTGGAGACTGTTGGGCTGGCCACAGGGCTGGCAGCCTTGGAGAGGGCATGGTGAGACAGCTGTCGATGTACCTGGGGGATAGGCTGGGGTGGGGTGGGGCTGATGCCGTCTGAAATGAACAAAATCATGATTTCACTATTTTTGCTTTATATTTACGTATGCATGCTTAGCCTTAATATCAGATTTTTCTTGAATTGGTAGAGTTCCTCAGGTTATTCCATCCATTTCAAATTGCATATTAACAAAAATATCTTGCTGCTTCACCAGAGAAATTTGTCACTGACAAAAAATAACATGAAATTGACAAACCTCTAATTAAACTACCATTAAGTAATCAATACAACCGAAACTATTTAACCTAATATTATTGATAACACGTACTATACGTACTGAATATTTTTAGTCTATCAGCATTAGTGTAAGCTATATATAGTTATGTTATTTTACCTGCTCGGCAGCCCACACCACTGTCTGCTGTACTCTCCACTCCTGATGCCCCTCCAGTCATATCATGAGACAGAAAAGCTGAGTCTGAAATAAATAATAGAATATGTCTCAAATGCTCAAGTATCTTTCAAACGTAGAGGGGTTGATCTCTGTGACCTTGGAAATATTTATGTCAAGGTGACCAGTTAAGACAGGATTTTTTGATCCAAAGTTAGCTGGCTGGCAGTAACAGTTCACACCCGACTCAAGTTAATGCAGATAAATGTCAAGCTATATTCAGTGGTTAATCTTTAAAAAAATATACTCAGACATGCCCAAACAGTTTATACCATCTGCTTGTCCACTGCCATCATGGTGACCTTGGTGACCTTTGTCTTGGTTCCAGAAAGAGCATGGACCACTTCCATTACGGTCATGGACACTCTGAAACAAGTATATAATATATATACATACAAATGCAAATGCATGCGCTTTATTTGCAGCCACCACCCCCCTCCCCCCAAAAAAAAAAAAAAAAAAATTAAATTGTCATATTCACTATTAAGACCTACATGCATGAAGCTGAAGAAACAATGCAGCTGAAATTACATGCCTGAATGTAATCAGCAGTTTCAAAGCTAGGGGTTTATTCTTTCGATTCAATTTCCCAATCCGAGTTGTGGCATAGCACTTACATAATTCAAATTTCAAAGCTGACCTCATCTTACAAGTCAGGTTTTACTAACCCCCCCCCCCCCCCAGCCCATGGGTGAGCATTACACATAACTATAAAATAAATAAATGTTACTGACAGGAATATTTACCAGGTACATCAGTCATATATTAACATGCATCTTTGAATTCTTCACTTTGAAAAGAGAGTAAGTAAATAAATAATATGCTGTCAACAAATTGGCTAATTTATGACAAAATTATAACTGTGGATGTCCTTACTGGCAGAGCAGGGAAAGCATTGGGGTCCCGCTCCTGTAGCTCATATAGAGCAGCAGACTCTTCCATTGCTTTCTTCTCTAGGTCCTGCATTTGATGGCGATGCTGAACTGGCAATCTATGGAGAGAGCGCAAAACTGAGTAAAATACGAAATTCTTAAAACCAAACATTGACTCAGTGCTTATTGAAGCAAGGTCTTTTCAGAATTCTTAATCAGTTCTCATCCACCTAAATCTGTGCATTGTGATAGTTAAACCTCCACCATCTACATAAATGCATCACCATGGACAGCTATTGGTATTTGGACACAAAAACAAATGATTATTTACTATTATATACTATCAAACAAGTTGCCATGATGTATTTCTGAAAGCAAAATTACTGCCCATGCAGTCTTATACCATACAAAAACAGCATACTATGAGGCTAGGCATGTAAAATGAGAAGACGTTGAAACTAAGAAGACTAAAAATTTCATCAATATTATGGACCACGTACAACTGTTGTTGAGAAAGAGGACACAATTGCTATCAAATAATTAATATCATATGTACATGCATGGGGTCTCACTATGCCAAATCCTATTAAGGTACCTTGAATAAAGACATTAGATTACTGAAATGTTTAATTCATTGCACCTGTCTAGCACATCTGGTATCATATGTTGACGATTAGATATTACGTATTATAATATATAGGAGCTATACTGACATTGTGGACTAGTTACTTTCAAAAAATTTATTTCATAAAGATAAATCTAAAACTTTTTATTGAAGGCAAAATAGACAATTTCAGTTATAACAGTGACACAGGATAACAACACTTTGTAAACAAACCATATTATATAATCCAATATAAATCAAGTCTGGCATGAATCAGGTAAATTATTTGTGGAGTGTACCTTTTAGTTAAGGGTAAGCCTTTGTTAATAATTGATTCAAATTAAGATGATAAATCATTACATGAAACACAATTCAAATTTGAGTGGAAGATGCTGATCTGTAACATAAAGTGAAGTGGGTCTAAAAATGATCTTCCCTTAGATGTAATATGTTAATGATTCATGGAAATGAGTTAGTAAGGGAATAATGGGACTACTTAATTCACTTTTATTAAGTCACACTTGTAAGGATGTCAAATAAATCTCATGTTATTCAAATAAAAAAGAAAGGTAGTGGCAAGGATAATAACAATTAAGCTTTAAGGGTTTGTGTATATATTTAAGAATCATGCTTGATCACTTTTTTTTTAGAAACTAAAACAATTTTTGGTTAACATCTGAGTTACCTAAACCACGGAACCTCCAGTCCTTCTGGAGTTGTGGGCGGAAAGAAAGTACAAGATGGCGGCACAACATCCCGAAATGGGAGAAAACGGTCATCACCATGGCGAGGTTTGACATATTTAAGGCTTTGGGTAAACAAATTAGAAACATGAAATAAAGACAAATTTAAGAACATAGCTAAAGCCACAAAAATGTCCACAACATGTGAGGCATAACACACATAATTTAAAAGATACAAAATAAATAATAAAACCAAAAGAAAATAAAGAAATTGCATCAACTACTTTGAAATAAATCTTGAGGTTTGGTAAACTAAACAATCAACACCTAATATTAAAATTGCTGAGCTGAATAGTCTCTATCCAGGATATTCCCCGATGAAGCAGTTTTGGATGGATTTCAAAATATTGGAGGTAAACAACAATTTCACTATTAGCTGTTGACTGAAAAGAATCACTTCCATATTCCAACTCCATACACTGTAACACAGCTGATAAAATTCAATTCTGGCCAAAACTGTCGTGAAAAAAATTTTTAAGGAATTCTGAAAATAAGGACTTAATTCTTTTATTGAGACTATATAAGTAATATACAACTAAGAACTGAAACATTTCATATAAAACAATGATTATATTGATTCAATATATTCCTTAAAATCTCATCTCAACCAACGTCATATACTTAGACATTATTGATCTCACTAACTTATAGCCTTACTTGTCTGAACTGTTCCACTGCTTGTTGATGGGACGTCCACTGGAGTTGAAGAGACCACAGTTGCTGCCAAAGCGTGGTGGGGGGGTCCTTTTTCATAGAACAAATTATTCAGTATAAATCATTTTACATAATGTTTCAGATCTGTCAGTAAATCATGTTTATAAAGTCATTCTTATAAAATATATAGCTGCAGATTTAGTATGTAATTTACATACTGTCACAATTTGTGTATGAGAGAGAGAGAGATGAAAAAGTCTGGTCCTCCCTGTGCGAACTCACCTACTGGCTCCTCTTGGGTAGGAGGCTCTCTCCCCCTGTTGTTGTAGTCTTGGAGGGAGGGGTTGCCCACGTCCTAATGGCATAAAAAAGGGGATCTCTTTCTTCTTCTTATGAAGTTTCTTCTTGTTACTCAGAGAGTTTGAGGCTGAATCTTCAACAATAAAAGTAAATTTGTTGAGTACAGTGATATTAACATTTGTTAAACAAGGCAGCAAAGCTGTCAAATGAACAGACATAACATGGCAAAACTTACAGAAGCATGCAATTGCTTTGACGACATGAATATAAAACACCAAAAATCTTTTCAATCAAGAAGTCATATATTAAAAATATGATGTTCATTGTTTTAAGTTAATAATTATTTTACCCTTGTCAGAGTGGAATCAAAAACAAGGCATTCTTTAATTTAAAGTCATAAATAAGATACCTTAATACTAGAAAATGAAACTAGATAGATTTATATTAAAATTAATTTATGGTTCATGACTATAATATTGTAAATCTAGGCTGCAATAACTAATATGTTATTCACATCTCCAGTGATATCACACCAATTTTGTTGTTTTAGATTTGTGAATTTAGATGTGAAATCACACAAATTTATCATTGTACAGAAGACTACCTAACGCCCATTTTAAAAGATATTATCACAAATTCAAAACTCAGTACTTGCTGCTTTAATAACCACACCCATTTTGGTGATCTTATCTGCAGCAGCTACTGTTTTAGTACTAAAAAATACCTAACATTAGTTGAAATAGTTTAATCAAGAATCTGGAATCCATGTCATTTATCGTGTCCATATCTTAACAACCACTTCGATTAATGAAATTAATAATGATCCATTGTTCAAAAGATCTCACATGAGCAGGAAGTGCTTCTTTTGTATATGGTAGTGACTCTTTTGATGGAAAATGCCTCACACAAAATTTCTGAATTTGAAATTATACTTGAGCAGATTTGGGTTTGGGGCGGGGGAGGAAAATTTGGCCTCAGAGTGGGTTGACAGCTAGGTTTTGCCAATTTAGGAATGAAAATGCAGAAAATGTTTCTTTTTGTCAATTTTGATGTTATTTTGATGTTAATGCTTAATAACATAATAAACAGTGCCAATTTTTAATGAAAATGTAACTAAAACAGCATTTTGCACCCTTGGAAATTTAAACTCTTACAATGTCACTATGTGAAAAATGAATTTTTTAAAAACTATGACTAATTAAAGAAAAGTGGCCAAGCCTGTATGGGTTTCAAACTTAAGCTGCATTTTTGCCCTGTGAATCAATCCTGCCAGTTTAAGAATAATAAGTAGCAGAGTTTTCCTTTCATGGTTTATACCATATGCCAGTGAGCAGAAAGTCTTTGTCAATTTTGAAACAATATATCACATGGACTGATGCTTAACAGTGTAATCACCACTAATTTTAATTATGTATTACTATTTAGGTGGGCATTCAAAAATTGTAACTAGCATAGGGCTTAAGATCAAAGGAAATTTAAAGTCATACTTTGAATGCCAATTTGTAATAATAAAATAAAAATCACAAAAAACAGCAAAAGTATGATCCAATCAGGCTGCTTTTCAATCTCTAGCTTTATTTCCATCCTGTGANACGCGCTCTTAATAATTATTTTACCCTTGTCAGAGTGGAATCAAAAACAAGGCATTCTTTAATTTAAAGTCATAAATAAGATACCTTAATACTAGAAAATGAAACTAGATAGATTTATATTAAAATTAATTTATGGTTCATGACTATAATATTGTAAATCTAGGCTGCAATAACTAATATGTTATTCACATCTCCAGTGATATCACACCAATTTTGTTGTTTTAGATTTGTGAATTTAGATGTGAAATCACACAAATTTATCATTGTACAGAAGACTACCTAACGCCTATTTTAAAAGATATTATCACAAATTCAAAACTCAGTACTTGCTGCTTTAATAACCACACCCATTTTGGTGATCTTATCTGCAGCAGCTACTGTTTTAGTACTAAAAAATACCTAACATTAGTTGAAATAGTTTAATCAAGAATCTGGAATCCATGTCATTTATCGTGTCCATATCTTAACAACCACTTCGATTAATGAAATTAATAATGATCCATTGTTCAAAAGATCTCACATGAGCAGGAAGTGCTTCTTTTGTATATGGTAGTGACTCTTTTGATGGAAAATGCCTCACACAAAATTTCTGAATTTGAAATTATACTTGAGCAGATTTGGGTTTGGGGCGGGGGAGGAAAATTTGGCCTCAGAGTGGGTTGACAGCTAGGTTTTGCCAATTTAGGAATGAAAATGCAAAAAATGTTTCTTTTTGTCAATTTTGATGTTATTTTGATGTTAATGCTTAATAACATAATAAACAGTGCCAATTTTTAATGAAAATGTAACTAAAACAGCATTTTGCACCCTTGGAAATTTAAACTCTTACAATGTCACTATGTGAAAAATGAATTTTTTAAAAACTATGACTAATTAAAGAAAAGTGGCCAAGCCTGTATGGGTTTCAAACTTAAGCTGCATTTTTGCCCTGTGAATCAATCCTGCCAGTTTAAGAATAATAAGTAGCAGAGTTTTCCTTTCATGGTTTATACCATATGCCAGTGAGCAGAAAGTCTTTGTCAATTTTGAAACAATATATCACATGGACTGATGCTTAACAGTGTAATCACCACTAATTTTAATTATGTATTACTATTTAGGTTGGCATTCAAAAATTGTAACTAGCATAGGGCTTAAGATCAAAGGAAATTTAAAGTCATACTTTGAATGCCAATTTGTAATAATAAAATTAAAATCACAAAAAACAGCAAAAGTATGATCCAATCAGGCTGCTTTTCAAACTCTAGCTTTATTTCCATCCTGTGAATTTGAGAAAGTTTGAGAATAATATTACATTACATTTTTTGTGTGTTTATGAACAAAAATATCAGAAAAGGGAAATGACATTGATGCAAACAGTGGCAGCAACAACAGACAGTACAGGTGATGGTTTGTGCATGTACAGACAAAGAGTGTCTGTCCTAAAATGAGCACATGTATCCAACCCAAAATTATTATTCTGACAAAAAAATGTGAATTTTTTGTTAAAATTGATCATTATAGGGATAATAACTCTTCATATGATATTTAGATTTCACTATTAAAACATTGTGAACTCATAAAAATATAATATACTCTGTCTCACCACAAAAATGGCAGTTATAGCTATTATTCTGATATCTGAGCTTGTCTTCAGACCACGTGACCTCCATTGATGGCTGTACTCTGTTATAATCTCTTAAGAGATTTTAACAAAAAACCAAACTTTATAGAAAAAAACAGGGACTAACTTTGAATGTAAAAAAGGATTCATTAACCATTGGTAAGTATGGGAAAATTGTTGTTTACTCCAGGAAAATTCATTTTTTTGACCAAAAGGAAGAGTTATTATCCCTTTAAGTATGAGAAATGGGCATACAGATTATAGTGATGAAAAAATACACCAAGTTAAAACTAACCTTCTAACAGCGGAGACTTCTGATAGAACCCTGACATGTGTGTTTGTTTTTTACCTGCTGAGGTCCAGCCTGTATACATAAATAGAAATAAACAGCTGTCATTGTCAAATGGAACCACATGCATCGATGCATTCTTTTAATAACTGCATGGTACTATGCACATAAACTGGTATATGTTTGAACTCCTGTCAAGTCCACACACCACTCTGAATGGGATTACAGACTCAGCCCAAGTTATCTTTATTCCTGGTGGGCAGATTTGGTTGTCTGGTGATGAAAACAAATTTCTGCTTCAGTTCAACCCATCTATAAACACAGATGTAGCACTCCCTATGCCTTACCTGCATTATATACAGTACTGGTAAAAAGAGTGAACAGCTTGGAACCATCATAAGGGCATACATAACTGATGACCTGAGGAGGTGGCTTAAACAGGTAATTATGGGGGTGGCCTGTTCATCAACACTGTTCAACTTGGCAGACAGTCTATACATAAGGGGCATTTTAGGTTAAATCAACCCCACCCAAATACATGTACTAGTATGTTTCAAGCATTAGATGTGTTAACACTAATTAAAGTGATTAATTATTTGATATCATCATGCACTTCAATAAATACTTTCAGTACATTTGGATTGGAGTTGAGAGTTGAATAATGTAATAACCAGTCGGTGGTTATACACTTGTTCTTAGAGTTACTTTTTCACCAATAAGAAAGAATCGGAAGCTCTTCATTCAAATCAATTAACTTAATTGGCAGTGACTCTTTAAGATCATTTGCCAGAGCACTTCCAAAGACTAGTTTGTTAGTGCTTGTTTTACACTGTGTATGTAGTTTTCTCATGATGTGAAACAACACAGAAACTATATTTTTTGTCGTTAATTATACGACGAATTATTTTCAACCACATGCGAATTAAAATACATATTTTAGCATATAGATTTATGATTTTCAAAACAAAACCACTAACCTCTCTGATATGATAACATAAGCTGACCATACCGGGCGCCTTCTCCGGCTAGCTTCTGTCTAAAAATCCAGGTTAACTCTTATTCTGGAGTTACCCAACTTGATCATGTTGAATAGCATACAAAGTACTTTATTATTAGTGTCACAACTACTGTGATGTTTTCCCATGCATGATGATCACTTTTGGTTCAAAATGAAAGTAGTGAACCCATTATATTTGTGCAAGTTTAAGGAAATGAAAAAAATAGCTCCACCCAATACAGGGACTTCAGTAACTTCATCCATAACAGGATACCTTGAGACGGACAATACCCCAATCTCTCTCCTACAGAATTAGATTTCCCACTGGGTCAAACCAGTCTAAATCAGGTTAAGGACCAAAACATATTCCAAACAAAATGTGATTTACAAGACTAAGGTCCAATGGTCCCTATCAATTTGAATCTCAAACGTCTCTTTGAATATGATACCTACATTAGTGGCAACTTTATTTTGGTTATCTAAGGACATTTTTTTCTCAAATCAGTTTGAGTCTTAGAGTAGCTATAGGCCTCAATTATAAGGAGAAAAGATGTGCATGAGTCAGTGCAAACATAAATTGCCAGAGTGTCTATTATAAGTAAGAAAATGAATTCTAAATTTATTTCATATTCCTAAAGGATGTTGTGAAATTCATAATTTTTCAAAAGCCAAAATTACATTGCAGTTTAAAAACTTTTAAGGTGGTCCATTATTTTAAAAGAACCCTCATAATCTTGTTTCACAATTGTCTAATATATTACAGTGGCATATTCCAGACAATTAAGTGTCTATAAGAATGCATAACAGAATTAAAACATTGCAAATTAAAGTATCTTAATTTTTGGAAATGTTTTAAAAACTTATTGACCGAAAAAAAAAAAATAATAAGAAAAAATGTATTTCCCCCTCAGCCCTACAGGTTGATGCCAGCATACAATGTACTCGTAAAATACATTATAAACCTTCATCATAACTGACATCATTTACAATACGCGTTCAGGTATGAAAAATATTAGATCAATATATTATCAATTTGACTAAAAAAAACTATTTTGCTTTACAAACATATTTTGGGGTATTGTAAGGTGGTGATCAATATTTGTACTTACCATGCTGGGGAGGCTGCGGCTGTGGCAAAGGGCGAAGATTTGCAAATGGGATAGTGTGCCTACAAAATGAAACAAAAATTAGAACACAGCAAAAGAAAAAAAATAATAATACACTGAGTGATCCTTACTTGTCACTGAATTTTACTAAAACTTCATCAAAGAATGAAATAGAGCTCTTCAATTGCAAATTTATAACATATCCCTGAGTAGGCATTAGATAAATAAACAAGATAACTGGCTTCAAGTGTACATGTGAACATGTTACTTTATAATGTCAGAATATGAACCATTATACCAATATTTAGCAAGTGCTTCTTTAGGATGAGATAGCATGAATATCTTTGTCAATCATAGTTCCTGGATACATCTTTCACCTTCTACAAAAATATCTGCTGGATAAATACAGATTTCCATTGCCTTTTACACGTAATCCTTTCCACACATATTTATCAGTTTGATATAAAAACAAAAAAATATTCCTCAGTATTATCATTATTACCTTAATATATTCTATGCAGGTGCCTTCCAGTGCATTAAAAGTTATCAGTTAATAAACCAGAGTGCCAGTATAAATCAAAATTACAAATTTCAGGAGGTCAACATCAATCAATGCAACAGGAACAATTCTCATCCAAAACTTAGAGAAAAACCAAAAGAGATGATAATATCCTAATTCCAAGAGATTCAATCCACATGCAGATCCACCAGCAGCCAAGGCAGAGAAGACATCTGATTAAATAATGCTGAAGTGGTGAATAATGTACGCAACTGATGGAGGTAGGCCTCAATTAGCCAATGAGCAACCAGTTCACACAAGCTCAATTCATGCATTAAAACAGTAACCGAATCAATTAGATGTGAGAGGGGTGGAATAGCAGTTTCAGGTCTGGTATAAAATATTGAAAATTTTCTAAATTGAGCATTCCTGTTCTGTTTTTGTGCTGTAAATATGTTTATCATCATACAGAAATCTACTAACTCAAGTTTGTATAAATTACGTAAGCATATTATATGATTTGGGATTAAATGCTGTACTGCTTAGAGCAGATTTCTTCTTGCATAGACCAGCCTGCATAGACTTACACTGGGATTGGCAAAATGTTCATTTTGGGAAATATGGAATATAATGCAAATGGGCCTTTATTACTACATAAGATAATTATGAAAAAAATAAATTGGCAAGGCTCTCTGATCATAATTTTATGAAATAAGGTATATTATACCTTTGAACCCAATTAAAGATAATAAGCAATCATGTTTTTCAGCCAATGTTTAATTAACTCCAAAGTTTTGAGCTTAGCTTAGTTTGGATTGCTAAGATTTGAAATTCCAGTACATTTTTAACAAAAGTTTAAAATTTAGTTGTGTATTGTAAGCAAAGGAGTCAGTTTTTACTTTAATGCAAATAGACTGTTAGGAAAATAGATACAAACCAATATTTTGAAATGAATCTGACAGTTAGTTTGAAAAAAAAAAGAAAATTTTATATATGTTACATACAAGTAAACTGAATAGACACATTTCAGTCCAAATATTCTGTGAGACTGCCTTTGAATCAATGAAATATTAAAGAATTCAGGAAACACCAGCTGTAGAACTGGGACATACAACTTACCCTGTAAATAATTTAGTGAAGTATCTTCTTATCAATTAAACAGGACAATATGCTGCAGTGTGCAGCTAAGATATAGTGGGTATTTTGTTTTACATATTTCAAATAAGCAATGGCTTTGGAGTATGAATGGTAAATGCCTTTTTGCTTTTTGCTTGCAGCTTTTAGTCAAGCGCTTTTAATGCATATTTTAGAAGAAAATTCACATTTCATCTTCTATCATTTATGATAAAAGGAGACTTAAAAAGTAACTTATAAAGTAAAAATCAATGAAATGTTCAAGTTTATAAAAAGAAACCTGACATTTTCTATTAAATATAAGAACTTGCATCCAAACGATCAATCTACTTATTTATTACAGATAACTGAATTAAACTTATGGGACAGTATCTGAAAAAAGGTATCTGTAAAAAGTAGTCATTCACCCATTTATATAAATGCTTGCCACCATGTGGAGGTGGTAGTTAGCTTGAAATATGTTAATAGCCAAGGAAAGCATATTTATTATTCATTTCTTATGCAGAAATATGGGATATGAAGTAGAGACACAGAACCTGACCATAATTAGCAGGTGGCAGGCATTTTACTTCCTTACCAGCAAAATTAGTTGAATTTAGTTTATCATAAAATCCTTTTCAAGAATTACTTGGTTCTTTAACGAAAAAGCAGGAGGCAATTCCCATTATTACCTCTCTCCCAACTCTTCCAGAAAAACTGTCACAGGGCCCTGGTCTCGGCTCATTTCCTGGATAAAGGCGTGAAAAACTCTGTCCCCATGCCCCTCCACTGTGACTTGGCATTTGTCGCCAGGTGCATACTGCAACTCTCTCGCTTGACTGGGGTCCTTCAGTCGATGTTCTACCAAAAATAAAACAAAAGCCAAACATTTACTTGAAATATGTTTCAGTGCACATTATTTCAGAATTGGCAGTGTATACATTTCATACCGTTGATGTTCTCTATAAATAAGATTTATGGGAAGAAATATCAACTTGTAATTTAACTTATCTATTACCTATCATAGCAACAAACTTTCCTTGGGTGCTTCCAACTGTGTTCTAAAATTACTATAATTGTAATGTCACATTATATATAATGTTAACCTATCTCTTGAATCCATAAAGATTTTTATCTCATTTTTTTTTACTTATATTCTCCTTTGTCATTATACAAGCCCTGAAAAAAGGACAGCAAAATGTTCCAGGTACATTCAGACACTAGATTCTCCAAGCAGCTGAATGAATTACAAATTCCGATCACACTGAAAGTTATCTTTCAGGCATCTAGTTCACTCTCATGTGATCCACTAATTTTAACAATAGATGGGTGACAGGCCCTGTGGCAGCACACATTTTAACAGAGGACCTCTCTACACCACGCATGTGAACATCCACTAGGACAGCCACTTTCCATTAAAAATACCACATAATCATAGGTATATCTACAAAGTTTTTTGGATACCTAAGGTCACCGTGATGAATGCTTTGTAAGTTGTAAGATTGAATTGTGCAACATTCATCACATCTTATTCTGTAATATAAGTTCCACTGAATAAGGTCAACTAGCTGTCATACATGCTGAATCTTACAGCAGCCTGATTTTTTTTTAGGTTTTTCTTTTAAGTTTCATTGAAAACATTTCAAATCAAGTCTGACACTAATATGATCCATGAAAATTACCCAATAACCATGCTTCGATCCTTACAAAAAAGAGATATAGTTGTGTAAATTATAATTGTGAATTTGCAATTTTATTCTGACTTACAAAGTGTAGACACGACTGCCTGCATTCCATAACAGTATACATATTCAGAAGTAATTTATACATAACAGTCTATAATGTAATTTTCCTTCCTTACTTGACACACTTCTACAGTGTGCACTAGCTGCTGGAAGGATCCTTATATTATGCCCCTAAGCTTTTATGTTCTTGTGCTCTAGCTGATAGCCTCTGGGTCTTTATAAATAGGTCCCCTTGAGCTTCAGGAAAAGAAAAGTCATGTGCCTAGTGCATGGTCAGGTGAATAACCGTTCCAACAAGGTGATCTTACTCACCTGATGTTGCTGTTTCTATTCACCAAGTTTAAGCGGCGATTTATCTAGGGAACCTCTTATAAGGCCTGGAGTCAAGCAAAAGTGAGAACAATGGAGCTTAGGGGTATAATGGAAGAATCCCTCCAGCTGAAGGAAAAGTGCATTAGGTCTCATTCTCAGACTATGTAGATCGATCAACCTCTGTGGGATCTCTCACTGAGAGCAATCAGCTTAACTGAATTGACACGCCCCCTCCTGGCATTGAGTAGAACACAGAAAAGCTAGTAATTGAATGCATATATTGGAAACAAGATTACATTCAATGTAATAATTTTCAACAGTTTTGGATAGAATAAACATTAGTATATTTTTAGACTTTCAGCAGTTGTTTTAAAGATTGCAACAAATATATAGTCGGTATAATAAGGGGTCATCCATTTTTGTCATCATTATCACAAGTATACAAAGAGTATACATATATATTAGAGTCAAATTTTTACAGACCCTTCCCTTCAGAGAGTACAAGGCCCCCAGCATAGGGTTTGTCAGCTTAAAAGAGATGACACCTAAGAAAACTTTCTCAAATGTTTACTATATACCTTTCTTACTCTCCATCCAAGTATCATACTCTACATTTCTGTAGATCTCTGGGTCCAGGGCCTTAGCAATACGGAATGGAAATGGAGGATACTGGTATTGTTCTAGGAGTTTCTTCTTGTCCATCTGTAAAATAAAACAAATATATGTTAGTTGTTGAAAAGGTAACTCACTTTGCTTCATTTTCTGCCAAGTCTGAATATCTACATCTGTATTAAAAAGTTCAGTTGAAAACTGCCAATTACAGTTTGGTAGAAATTTAATCTGAGATAATTAACTTCTTTCAGAATCATTGGCAAAAATGATCTCATCTTGAGACAATTTACTTAACGGTGTATAACCTACTTCATAACTTACGATTCCCCTTACCTCATAGAAATATTAACCCTTTGGTTAAGCACGCAAAGTTACGCAGGTAATATGATACCCCCACTACCAAAAGGGGGATAATTAAGATAATTAAATCGACAGAAACACCCCCCTTCCTTTTCAGGTTAAGCAAGGCAGAACAGATTCAGGAGACAAACCTAAGACCCGTATCTAAGTTGTCCTAGTTGCTACTAGGGTTTTCTATCACATGACTTATCAATATTTCATTTCCTATTTGTTGCGTCCTATAAAATATGTCAACTAAAAATGCAAACAAGGCAGAATCTCCCCTCCTAACGACACAGTAACTTGATGCAACCAAAATACTTTTAAAATGAAGTCTGAATAAATTCATAATGCTGTTTTTGCGAACCAAAAATGTTATTACAGTGACTTGGTAATGCAGAGATTATGACAATTTTTGAAGTTTGAAAGAAACAAAATGACCACAAGTAATTCATTTAAACATAAGTGGATCTCAACCTGCTTACCACACCAATTATGACTTTTGTTTTTGACAGTATCACACCCAAAAAATTTCTCAAAACATTAAATCTTTTTAAAACCTTGCAATTCCACTTAATTGGTGGTGAACACAGAAACTGTTCTACTCGATAATCCTATTATCCCTTATTTCAATTATAAATTCCTGTATCACTTTTTTCAATAACAATCAATATAAACTGAAGTCATTAGAAAAAACTTCTTTGATAAAATCAAAGTCAGGTTCCATTTATAACAATCATTTAAAAAATGAAAACAAATGAAAAAATCATTCTGTAACATCAAGAGTAAGTCACAGCACATAGATATATTTTCCAAAACTCTGAAAGTTAATGTAGTTATTATCAAATTTTTGCCATAACAACTTTTTAAAAAGTTTTTTTTATATTTAGAAGTTATTCTTATCATCTTTTTATCTGGTCCATCCATTCTGTGTACCATTCCCAGCAGTAAAAGAGTAAAATGCAGCAGAATGGCCAGGTATTTTTTATGTGCACCCATAAAGCGGCTTGTATACAGTTAACCACTGTTGATATTTTCACCCTCAGGGCTCTGCAGCAAAGCGGTAACTGGTGGAAGTGCATTTATGTTTTGATACAGGAAGGAATGTTTCACAGAAGAAATAAAACCTTACTGTTGTTTAAAATGACTAACTGTTCTAGGGAAAGTTACATGGTGGTACAGTAGTTTTTCATTCACACCTGATTGTACAAAATAACTATAATTCCTGCCACGCTATGGATTTTGCTTTACATGAAGGTCAGAGACCTGTTACACGCAATGCATATACAGTAAAAATTATGGGATACACACAAAAAGGTGATTCAAATGAACACACAAAGAAGGTGAGGTTTCAATTGTAAAGATGATGCAAAAACATCACCAATTTATGAAGGCTCTTTCCCTTCATGTTTTGTGGAATTATTATTTAAAGCAAGTGTCATGATCAAAATTACCTTAAAATGAATCACTTCAGCAGATAAAAAAATAAAGGCTAGGTTTCAAAATGTCACTAAAGACTAACTTCAATTTTTTTCACCTTCCATAAATAAATGAATAGCTTATGAACTGCTGGCGCCTCAAATAGTTTCACTAGGTGCAACTGGAGGTTCAGAATTGTGGATTTAGTGCTAGATGCCAACAAGTCATGTACTTGAAAAGTACTTTTATTTTACCACAGTAATTTTCAACTATGACTATAGATATAAGATGAGAAGAATGGAAATCATTTTAAAGTCCACATCGTTATGATCGAACATTAAATCAAGAAAGATTTCTCAGGACTTTGAGGAGATCGAGTAAGGTCAGGAATGAGTGAGAGCATGTGGTGCAGCAAGAATTTATCCACAGATTTACAGTGAATTGTACATCAGAGCAATTTGCCTTGTTTTGGGTTTGTTTTGAATTGCTTTTTCTAAGAAGTAATTCATGGAAAACAGTTTCACTATTGTCGCTAAAAAAATTTACTCCATAGTTAACATGCTGATTGTCTGAAGATTTTTGTCTTGTATGACATAACACAAAAATAGATTTTAATTCATATTTTAATGCAATTTTAAATGGATGCTCATAAAAAACACTGGTTTTTATATACACTTGTGTTAAATAACTATAAAGGGCTGGCAAAGGAATACTTTCAAATAATCCTCACCTTTCCATCTTCATCCTGTTCATGCTGATTCTCAGGTGGAGGGGGGCTAGAACAAAATTCAGCAGGTCAAACGACTAGTTTTCAAACAGCTGTCTTATCACAAAAAAAAAATAGAAACACTCTCATTTTAATCAGGCAGAAAACTTGTATGCTAAATGTTTCAGAAATGAAGCACACTTGAAAAAGGTGTATATTCATTTATTTAATATCCTGCCTTAATTAAGAGAAATATCATTGTAATGTTTACACAAACCTTTCTCCTTTATCAGATGATACACTGCCCACGCTGTCTTTTCTGTGTTTCTGGAAGGACTTGTTACGAATCATCTCAATACCTATCTCTATCTCTTCACTCATCTTGAAAACATTTCTGTACAGCACCTCATAAATAATAGCTGAAATAAAAGTTGATAAATAATAAAGAATTATTCATTTGTAGCACTGACCAAATCAGTGATTTTGTATAAAAGGTATTAAATAAAAACTTCGGTCTTCGCTTTAAATCCATTTTAGGGATTTTCCTATGGGTTTTTAATGATGTTTTGAGAAATGCAGTAAGTTTGCTCTTCAAGTTGCCTGCTAATTTTTCTTGGAAATTTTGGAGAAACTGGACCTTAGTTTAATACCCTGGTTGTCTGATGATGAAAGTGAGTCTTCATTGCTGGTCTAAAGTTGTCACTGTCTTGACTGTCCCAAAAAACTAAGAAGTTCTTAAACCTTTCCGTGGGACCAAGTAGCCTGTTAAAATGAACTTTTTAAATCTCATTTTTGGTATTTTCCCTTCATTCCCAATGTCATCTTCGATTCTTCAATTTGTCAAACATACACTGTCTGAAAATGATTTTCCCAGATTAAAGTATGTGCTGTCTGAGCAAAATTTATAGGTACTTTGAGCCTCTTGAAGTTTCTTTTTCTTTTATATTCTTTTTTTTACAACAAAAAAAGGTTGAGGGCTTTGGTATGTACCAGATATTTAAATCGTATGCTTATCACAACATTCACTTTATCCTATCACTAAGAAACTGTCGCCTTTGTGTGGAATATGTAAAATAACTTCACAATTGATGAATCTATAATCAAATCAACAACATATAATAACCTGCATGATATCTTAGTCTTCATGGGTTACAATATGTAGAACAACTGAGAGCACAATTTCATCAGAAATGCAGTTTCTATCTGGTTTTAGAATTAGTTACAGCTATGCTAACTGCTGACATAATTCAATTTCAATGCAAATGTACAGTATATTCAGCCCTACTATTATTTCACTTTACAAATTCCACTGCATAACTAGCTTTCTGCCCTTGCCTACTGAACCTAGGACTTTATTATATTATTCAGTGAATTGTAAAATTATAGCAGTTTGTTTTACAAAACATAATGCAGTTGCATCACAGCATGGTCCATAATTGTGGTTAACAATGGCTACCATAGTGAACTGCATTTTAAATGAAATACCTATAAACTTGAAAAATTACCTAATTTTGGTATAAATAAGAGTGTTTTCTGCAGCTTCAACCCTAAATCCACATTTCTGTCTGAGAAACAATTTTCCCCAAATTTTAAAATGTCCACCCTTGCATAAGTAATCGAGCACCACAACTTAATCATATTAGGAAAAAAATTACAAGTATGGAAACAATGAACGACAAAAATAACAATGAATGTTAACAACTTGAACATAATCATTATAAAAACAAAAATCTTACTAATGCTTTTAATACATTCATATATGTCATAATTTTCTATATCAAAAAAGACATGTAAAAAATCTTACAGAAATCCTGAAAACACTGTTCAATGAAGTTCAGCCTTGAATCAGCAACAGCAGTAAGCCCTAGCTAAAGTATGCCCTTGCACCCTCATATTATGTTACAGTAGTTACTATTAAAACAATTATAATAAGCAAAACTGCTCTGCATGCAGGCATTACCTGCACTGTTTAGTCAACCATTTGTGTAATCAGGGGTTCTGCATACTCCCCCACCTGTTTCGACCTCCCTTAACACACCTGCATGAATTTTGTTTGAACAGGGACTAAAACTATGTTTCTTTACAGTGCTACACTTTAGTTACACTACAGGCTCATATGGTTAAATACAGTACCATATATAACTGCTTTAGTACATGTAGAACCCCACATATACTAGTGGTCACAAAATGGTTAATACTAGTAATTAAGTGTTTGAAGTGTCCATTCTGCTGACATGTAGTATACATTATGCTAAGGAAGTATGACCCTTATTGTGGCTTAATGATCTTCTCTTGAGGCTGAATGACCATGAAGTATATTTAGGCATGAATGAAAATCCTTACCATGGTGGTTATTTCATTAAGTGGCCAATGATGCTAAGGGCATTTGAAGCATTATCAGAAAACTGCTGGCAAGGTTTAATTAGTGTTATTCAAAATATTTGCACATTAATTATTATCATTCTACTTGATATCAATAACTAATTGTGTTTATTCTATCATATCAGCTGTATACACTCTAGACTAGATAGATGACTAGATGCATGTAGCAGAAAGAGTCGAGCAAATTTCAGCAATTATATCTCTAATTTACTACAAGGAAATGGTCACTTAGTTCATTCTTTTCTATTAATTCCCACTTGATAACTGATAACAAAAAGCATCAGTATTCAACAAATATACCACCTTTGTGGTGACAATAGTACTGCATGTCACTCCAACTACAACAAGTAATATTACATTACAACCACCTGCTATTATGTCAATACTTTAAACAGACTGCCCATGCAAATACAGGTTTAGTTCTGACACAAATAAAGAGCACCACGACTTAATGAACTAGATCAGAAATGATGTAGGTGTATAGGTATTCTATCATTTATAAAGCTGCAAGATGGCTGCTAGAATGGCATGCAACGTGCACATGTTCAACCCACATACTCATTACTAGTACTTTAGACATCTTTAGAGATCTTCCTTCAATCCAGTTGGTATTCATTCAAAGATATTTCATGAAAACACTTGAAGAAAACTGCCACTGGTAACAATTAAGTGTTTTCAATATGACTCCCGTGTTCATTTGCACTAGTTTTATAATCTTTTCATACTGTATGAAAACATTTTTTTTTTTTGCCTTATAACCTTAAAGCAATGTCTACATTTCGTACTTCTCCCATGTCATATCTAAAAACCTGATGTGTTAATCAAAATGCAGAAATGTAAGCCTACTTTAAAACCACAGAACAAATTAAAACCAAGAGATAGCATTTTCAAACGACTAAAGCTCAATCATATACTTTTCCTATTTTTTTCTAAAATTTTATAAATTTTTAATACTTATAATACTTGATGTATATAATTTCCAAAAAGTCCAAATCTCTCAGTGAAAAAAATTGAGATTCAGTCATGTAAGTAACTACATGGTACGTATAGAAAGTAAAATGGAATCTAACACATTTTACCATTCAAATAAAAAATTTAAAAAAATGAGGAAATAAATGTCATAAACTTATCCATTAATTATTATGTTTAAAGATAAAATGTATATATTAAACATATACTGAGCAAAAATATAAATGCCCCACAGCATACAGAACAACAAAATTCACTTTTTCTGATTTAAAATATATAACCCATAATGCTAATGAAAAAATTTTTTAAAGTAATGTGAGGGGCATTAAATTTTTTGTTTGGTATATATAAGTAAAATCTTTTTTTAATAAACCAGTAAATCAAGACACCCCTCTATCTATGTGTAATATCTACATTTCAACACTTACATAAATCAAACGGCCATCCAAATGTGAGCAGACTGTGCTGATATTTTCACAACTTGAATTTACTGTTAGTATAGGAGAAAACCAGTCAATTACGTATTAAAATATTGTCTGGGTTTACTGCTATTCAATATGAGAAAGACACTCTCGCCAGCCCTGCACACCCAATCCGTATCAGTCCACTGCCAGCACATAAACATGACCACGGAGTTCCCACCACAATAAACACATAGAAATTCAACATTAAATGGAGTATGCTGATACATGTACATAGTTGGCTTTTTCTGATTGGATGAACAATGGTAGCGCTCTAGGCAATCCCCAGAGGTGTGTGTTCATAACAGTGAAATTCAGAAATTTATCACTCTCTGAATTGTTCTGGTCTTAAGTTTATACTGCTGGGCAATTCAAAGATCACAGGGCAATAAAAACTACTCAATACACAATATACTAATTAATTTTACAGCTATAATACAAAACTGTAAAAGGTGATTGAATAAAGGTTGAATCACATATAGTGCCTTGTCAATACATGCAATATTTAGACAGCAGTCTTTCTTAAAGTCATTATATATCCCTTGAACATTATGTTCACGTTGCCTTACACTGACAGATGGCAGCACAGTTCAGGTAGGACAATAAATTCACAATGCCAATAAAAGTAATGTTTACAAACATAGCCAGATGGCAGCACAGTTCAGAATGAGTGAGGATTGCAAGAACCATTTATCAAGGTTGTGAGCAGTTGCTTTACTTACACTGACAGATGGCAGCACTGTTCAGGTAGGACAGGGAATACACACTGTCAAAGTGGAAGTCTTCACTGTAGCACAATAGCACCTGAATAAGGAGACGAGGTTGGTTAGGTTATCAGACAGTATAAAAATTCATATCATTATGAGTGTATGGACCAGTACTTATAATATATGCTGAAGAAATGTAAGGCATTCAATTAAAATATTTTGAGAGAAGTGCATGTACAATGTATGTGAGGTATCAAAACAACATTAATCCAGACGTTAATTATATTAATTTTTTGTGAAGGAATTCTGTAACTAATTTTAATCCTAAGTCAGTGGAATGTACATGACACAGCATGTACAAAACATATGATAATGCAGCATTCCTTATAGCAGTGATCTAATTGTTCAGGGGTGGATTGAGGCCGTCTTCTGGGTCTTCGAGAAGACAGTCAGATTTTCAAGTTAGCATTGACGAGTGTCTAATTTTTTCTGTCGGAAGACAGTCAAAAATAGAGAATGGATCAACAAATATAATTTGGAAGACTGTCAGAAAATATCTCTGGATCTGCCCCTCTTGTTACATTGAAAATTTTAAAGGTATTTGAAAAGCACTAAAGCCAATAAAATGGAAGAGCATGCATTTATACATAGTCAACCAGGCTGAGTTTAATGTCAGCAGAATATAATTCATTCCATATGAAATACACACTGAAGTTGACAGATACAAAACAAAACAGGCCTGTAGCAAGCAATTTCAAAAAGGGGGATCGAGGGACTCTCTTTCTGAAAAGTGGACCTTTTACCATAAAATCTTCATGTACAAGTAGATCAAATTTTACCTATAGATAAGACCTTTTCCCTGACAAACATGGCAGTTTGTTCAAGCCCCCCTAACCCTTCCCCCTACGAGCCTACCAAACATCACCAAGAACACACACCTCATTGCCAAAACCATTCCTAGTCACATTTACAGGTTTCCCCAGCTCTTGGTATATAATGAAGTCACGTCTGAAATTATTCAATATTAAAAGATCCTGAAATGAACTATATTAACTTTTTTGTTAGTTATGTCAGAATTAAGGAAATCTAGCTTTCATTGTTGTGAGATGCTATGTCAAGCAAATCACCAATTAAATGCAAAGTATAAAAGTTCAATGAAATAAGATGTATTACAAAGTTACTGTCGGCAAGGAGTTATATATATATATATATATATATACAACTCCTTGGTGGCTGAGCGAGTTTTACCCCATCAAATGACAACATCTGTTGAATCTCATCCTCATACTTCTACATATTTTCACTTTCTACACTTACTTGTAAATTAAAGACAGGGCACAAATCTCAGCATGGCCAGCACATTCCTATAAAATAATCTATAGTTTAACACAGCACATCTGCAGACCAAAAGAATTGTGAAACTGAAAGTATGCTACTATCTTTCACCATGATATGCACAATAAAAATCTAAAATCTTTACAGAATTTACAGGGTTTTCTACAGTTCAACTGATTATCTTTGTCATCTGAATAAAATAAATGTGGCGCTATAATGTTGTGAATATATTAAGGAGATATATCAGATCATTCTGAATGGTAAATCTAATTGTAAATTGAAATATTCAAGCCTGAATAAATTGTCAGACATGATGCAACAGACAGACTTTAATACCTGATACATACCAAAGAATGTTCTTTAATATATCTTAGCAGAATGATGGCATATTTTAGGGTGTTTCATATAAATTGAGACTTATAATTCTATCAAAAATAATACATAAATGCATTACCCCGATATCATGGATGGGTTATGTCCTGCAAAATGCAACTGAAATGAGCTGCAGAGTATGCCCAGTGGCACACAATCAACTGCTGAAATGAAGGGCTTTATAGTTTCACCATAAGCCACTTAGTGGTGGACCACACGTGATGAGTGACTGAAAGTGTCACCGTGTCAACAACTGTAACACAAACAGGTATCTCAATGCACTCATTTCATCTTTCACAATCACGTACTACATTACGTACCTTTGGTTGATTTAAATCTCGTAGATGACTCTCATATGGCCCTTGTATAAACTGGAATTTACATATAAAATAATGCGATATATCAGTTGTAACCAGTAAGAATAAGGAAGAGGATTTTTACTAAACTTGGTTGTTTTTGGTCATGTTTACAAGCAAGTTGTGATGGCTTTCTCCCCACATGTGATTATTATTTCTAACCCAAGCTTACAACAACTATAGGAAAGACAACAGGATTAAGCCTGACTTGATGTGAATCAAAATTATGAGCTCTTTTTCTGCATTACACTGATTGTTAAGTTATCATGGACCTGCAGGCCTGAAAATGTCACAAAAAGATAAAATAAACCATAATGTTTAGTTAATTTCCAAGGCTGCCAGGTTAAATGCATAACTTAATTAATTGAGACAAATGACACCCTACCCCTATCCAGCACCTCAAGCACCACCTCTCCCACAAACACATACTTGAACTTTGAAATAAAATATTAAATATAAAAACATTTATGTTTTCAAGAAGATGCAAAACACAAACCCCAGATTTTTAAATGCACACTGTCTGTAACCACAGTACCATATATCAAGTGCATTGTCTGGGATAGATAAAAAAATACAGTTTTGTCTTGAATAAATAAATTAATAAAAGTGTGTGTATGTGTGTGGGCACAGCGCACCAGTAGACTAAGTGACATATCCTACCTATAACAAAGTCTAACAATGTATTTAAAAAAATTTAAAAAGATAAAGATGTAACTGAATGTAGCTGAATTGTTACACAGTGACAACAGATACAGACATCCTCTTCCTGATCACAGATATTACTAAAGTACCAATACATCCTCATGAAGTCTTAAACATGAATCACATCAGAATAAAATCAATAATATATTTTTGCTGCAGATATGCACTGTCTGCTACAAAGACAAGGTGTCTAATATAGGGCAGTTTCTATTACAACATATTGGAGAACTACTGCAACTCAGAGATGCACAACTTGCAAAGAGCTATTTCTCTAAAGAAAAGGTTTATGCTTTCCGAAAATGTATTTTTTTCCAGTCAATCACACGTCTCATACAGGGTTCTCAGCAAAATTTGTGCAAAGCATCGAATTAAAAACATCTATGTAGTTTATGACCATAAAATTTTCAGTAAATTTTCCTTAAACATATAAAATATAAACACAATTAACGTATAGCATAAAAATATATTTCTATCAGCAATTTTCTTTGATGTAAATAAATAGAATCTTGATAATTGGCAAACCTGTTGCAATGAATAAGATTTTTTAACATATCATGTAACAGGTTGATAAAAAATATCTTTATGTCAGTGAGTAAACATACTTGGATTTTTTATAGAAACAGTTTTTTTAATATAAACAAACATATTAATACTCACATGTTCAAATTTGGCCGGGTGCTGTGACATGTATTTGACACACGTATCTCTGACTTGGACATGATAGACTTGGGAAAGAAACAACTGCAATGGAAAATATAATTAGGTTCGTAAAAAAATCTCACCTAGTGAAAAATCTTGTTCTCTTAGACACTGATGAACTAATGACCTCTTCTTGTTCCTGAAATCAAATACCAATGACTGCTGAAGATCACTACTTCATGCTTCCTAATCTATATGCCATTTTCTTCAGATGTGTTTATAAATGCAAGCAACCTGCTGTGGATACGCAGAGACAAATGTATCTATACTACAATGCTCCCCAGCTTGCAAAAATCAATGCAGACCTACAAAGTATAAGCTATATAGAATGCGTCATCTCTAAATGAAATTATCCAGAATGTACACGCAATGGATAAACCGTAACTCAGCTGAATAAAAAAAGGAAAAGGTAAAAAAAGCAATTGTCACTCATCTTAAAATGCACTTTGGTAATTTTTGATCAACTAATCACTTAAAAGCTATACCAAACCTTAATCATTTGCTGGGCATGCTAGATCGAGGTACAATTAATACAGTACAACAATTGATTTTGGTGATTACTTAAAAAATTCCTTTTCTCCCTTCCCCCACCTGAAAATTTATGATTAGCTGCATATGATAAATGATAAATACCACTTATTTTATTTATTCATGTATTTATTTATTTATCTAAATTAAAATCTTTAAATTTTGTTAGGTTGCCTTAAAAAAACTGAACATTATGGCTGATAACTGAAGAAAGCTGATTAGTTGTCAACTAAGAAACAATCACATTACAAAGCAGGCATATACTAGCATATCAACAACAGCAACCCATTTCATCTCTTCATTATACAAAAGGTGGCATATGGACCTGCACTAAGGAATAGACCACAATTCATTGACAATATCCTCTTCTCCCTACCAGTCATTCAGCCAATGAAGGTCAATCCACCCTTCCCTCCTAAGAGAAAAAGAGACCTAGGCAAGTTGATTTGTATTGATTTTTGTTTTGCACATATACTGTCAACAGACAATCTGCAAGTATTTCATTCTTTAAAGGCTTGCATTTAATACTCCCAGGGAAATACAAGAGCTCACTTATATGCATGCTGTAAATTAACATAGAAAAATTAAGGTTGATAAGAACAATTTAAAACAAGTTGGTGCTACATGTATGTAATTGATTAAGCTCCTTACTATTCATTGCTTGTCTAATGATACCCCATAATGACAATGTAAATTAAAACAAGGCAAAAAAAAAAAAAAAACTGACTACAATCTACAATGAAAAAATGCTTATGATACCATGTAAATGAAATATATCCAAATTCATATACATACCCAACTTCTGATTGAATACCAGCCGTACCAAAATAAACCAAGGGTGCTTTCCCAGAGATTTAGATCGATCTAAAGATTATGTTTTAGATCGACCTAACTCCCTGGGGGTTCACGCTAAATTGCAGTCAGCCGAGCGGGCACCATAGTTAATTACCCCCTTACAGCTTTTAATAGGCGGGACAGACGCTTAAGCCGGCCAAGCTGACAGTAATCTAATGAGACTCCCCACAGGGATAGATCGACCTAAAAATCTATGGAAATGGGGTGCAAGACAGAACAGTGATGAATGTTAAGATCATGGAACACACAATACCCACCAATAATTAACACACTTTAGATAAATGCCACCTAAGATAAATCATTGAAGGAGTTGCTTGAAAATCTATCCATTTTCTGGAGAGTGATCCTTCCTGGTCTGATGTAAGTGAGGGCAGAATTGCCTACTAGCACTGTATTAACACCAGTGAACCTATCTGAAGAAATGGGGACAGAGCCAGGTTTCAAATATCACAATTTTGGGATCGCTTAATAAATCAGGTCTACTAGCAGAAAATAACCTATCCATGCTTGGGGAAACCTCACAACTGCCCTAGGACCAGTATTTGAAAAATGAAAAAATAATTATAGAGAAGTGTGCCTCCCCTCATCTTTGTTATCTCTACAACAGCCGATTAAGTTAACTGCACATGGATTTTTAGTAATAATATAAAACTGAAGAAGGTAAGCTTGTCTGCTTCTTTTCCTGTCTCCTCACTTTTTTATCACAAAAAGACAAATAAACGATGAAATTCATATACTAGTCTTGATACTGGCATATATAAGGGATATTATATCAAGAAGGTATCTACAGTACACTAAAAGAGGGCAAATTATTTTCAAGGGCGGATTGAGGCCATCTTCTGGGTCTTCAGGAAGACGGTCAGATATTCAAGTTTACACTGATGGGTATCTATATTTTTTCTGTCGGAAGACGGTCAAAAATGGAGGACGAATCAACAAAGATAATTTGGAAGACTGTCAGGAAATAGCTCTGGATCCGCCCCTGATTTTAGCCCCCTTATGGAAAAGGACAGAAACCAAATCTGCAATTTTGTCATAGGAATTAGCTATTCTCCCAACATCTCTAAATGTATAATTCTAGTGGAACCCATTTCAGTTACATCCCTATCCATGTATATATCTATACCAGCAAATCCCCTTGATTGTTGACAGTTTCACTGTCATTGAAACAAAATTCTGAAAATGTAATTTTCTCTTCAGTTAGCAGTCATTTTACATATATGATACCAAACTTGGAACTGAAGTATCTGCAGTCGGTGTGAAGTGTTGTTTATTTAAACCTAGCTCGGTGATACTTTTAAACTAACCTAAGAATGACTGCTGCCCCCCCCCCCCCCCCCTTAAAAAAATGTTAGAAATTCCAGACATAAGGAGGGAGTAATTGTTGTCTATTTACAATTGCTAGTTCTTTTACAATGTTCGTCTAGTTTAGTCTGGCGGTGCAAGCACGTGCTCTTGGCCTTAACACAAATCCACTATAAGCACGCAGTATTCAAACCGCGTGTTCTCTGGTTATGTGAGTCTTTACAACTAAGCCACAACTCATTAACTAAATGTTCTGGTAGTACCTGTTCAGAAACAGCTCTGAAGAGTGAGAACCCGTCCTTCGCTATACTTTTTCTCCACAGGCCAAGCTCTGCTAAATATCTATCCAATGGCTCTCCCCTCGTGGTCGTCTTCATAATTCCCGCTTCAAAGTTAAAAACGAAAAAAGAAAACTGTTTACAAAATTGTAAAGCGTGTGATATAGTAAGTTCCAGCAAAGCCTTTTTCTGAGTATGAACATTAATGGTTCACAAATTTCAAAATGAGAAAAAAACATAAAAACACATTTGGTAGCACGTGCGTTGTGTTTTCCTTGACGTCACAAAGGCTCCACAGTGGGGTTCTTGTTTTATTCATGCCGTTTGTTAATTATAAATTCAGTGACTGACTACAATCTTTCTTAAGCCAATCTTAGACTTTGCTCAGTCAATTTGTATAGGGGTTAAGACACCTACAAAATTACGATTACCATTTTCTGATATATATTTCTCTCTTTGTATCAGCTTCCTTTGCTGAATGTAGAACATGCGCTTTCATCTTTAACGCGGATTCTTGTAAATTGCCTTTTAATGAGGTCATATTGTAATCCAATCAAATTCTTTCTTGTTATCTGTTTCCTGCCGACAGGTGTCACTGATGTTCAATATGGTTGCCTCCACAGAACTTCGGCAGGATTAAACCGGATTTCTGCGACTAGCGAATCATGTATTTTAGATTTTGTACAAAGATGCTTTGATAGCGAAAGTTTATTTATCAAGAAAGGTAGGGTATGAGAGACTCGTACAATTTGGGAGCATAAAGATGGTTTATTTGGTACAGTAGGTACGGAAACAGGAGTGAAGTCTGAGGAGACTGTTTACCATTGCCATCGACATTGTTAGTTACCACATCAACTTTGACATTTTTGGTAGCTGCATTAATTCTAATACCCTGTACTAATTCTAGATACTACCTAGTGATGAATCAGAGTGTGTCACGGGTTCATCAGAATAGCGATCGCGTTGTTTATAGAACGAGAATGCAGACATTTTCATTTTCATTTTAAAAACCAATAATAGTAATACTACTAGTACTAGTAGCCTGGTGTTGAACAGACAATGCCTCGTTATTGCCAAACATCACTACATGACTAGTTAGATAACTGGTCAGAGCCTTGCAAATAGAACCATCACCATTATGACATGTAGATGATGTGCATCATTCACTTTCTGACTTGGAGCAAAAGGGTATCATTTTATGTATATCTTGTCTTATTTGGTTGATTGTAAATAAATTATAGTGTGCAGAAGCCTAATTCTTGAGCACAGCATACAGTTTATCATGGTATCATCACTAAATGTCAAAACTTGACTGTTGATTTTTTAATGATATAAACTGAGACTAAATAGAGGGCCATTAATGCCATATATTTTATCCAAAATGTGTACCTGAGTGAGGTCTATGTCAAAGTTTCTTATTGCTTATTATTTATTAGATGCAGAGTTCAAGGTTTCTTAGACAAGCAGAGAATGCCAATGTAAGTATATTGCATTGTCAAAAATATATAGAATGTACATATCCATGATGATATATTTTACAGATAATCTGAAGTGCAGTTTCTGTATCAAAGGACATAAGTTAATTGATCTGTACAGAAGTAAGATGTGTTCCATGATATACTTCAGGCTGAGTCAATACAGTGTGTAACAGGTATTTTTAGAAATAGCCAAAGATGTAATGTGACATTTTATTTTCAGAAGTAGTATCCACTGTTTAAGAAAAAAATTGAACTTTGGAAATAATTTAAAGTAATTAACACTTGTTTATTTATTTTAGTATTTGTTAGAAACTGCAGCAAAGAGGCCTTCAGAACTAAAGAATAATCTGCCCAGTTCAAACCCCAAATGGTGAGTTCATAGTGCTCATAAGTGGGACTAAAATTAAAACTATTACTTACATAGCAAAAATGCAAAAAAATCATGCTACTACTATGGATTGTCTAAGCAAGATTTTTATACCATGTTTCTGATTGTTAATAATGGAGATAAACAGATAAATGGGATAACAACTGTTTGTATGAGATCTATATTTCACAATGAAAACATTGTAAAAAATCTCATAGAAATATGACATATTCCATTTTACCACAAAAACGGCAGTGTGAGCAATTATTCTGAGATCTGTGCTTGCCATCGGACCATGTGACCACCATAAATGGCTATACTATATAATAATCTCTTTAAGTTTGTTTTTTTTTTTTTTTGTAATAATATTTTAAGAGATTATTACAAAAAACAAACTTTTTAGAAAAAAATGTAGAAATGGATTTATTAATCATTGGTTAGTATGGGAAAATTGTTGTAAACCCCAGGAAAATTCATTTTTTGGCCAAAATGAACAGTTGTTATCCTTTTAAGAAAGTGAAAATGAAATAACTTTTCTATTGATAAGTTTTATTTTCTGTATTTATTTTCCAGGAAGTCAATACATGAAAGACTTGTTGATATGTATATTGAAGAATGTGGCAAACAACCCAGGATACCTGTAAGTAGTGATGTGCTGGATTCTTGTTGTATTGTGGGATAACATGTTGATTTATTATGCTGAAGTGTTGTATTTTTATTTTGGTTGTGTTGTACTCTCTCTCTCTCTCTCTCTCTCTCTCTCTCTCTCTCTCTCTCTCTCGCACGCACGCACACACACACACATAACAGTATCAGATAAGAATCACACTAACACTAAACAGGTACCATTGACTGCCAAAAGGGCGGGAATTCTTTCGTAATAATGTTTAACCCTATTACACCTATTTTACGGAGGTCATTTTTAGCTTATTTTCCTGTTAAAGAGATTGATCAGAGACATAATCTTGTTTGATTAAGATTCACTAGATTGGATTATAATCTTATAGCTAATGATCATAACTTTTAAACTTTTCACTTTCTACACAACATTAAAGTTATGCCTTTATCAGAATAATCTTATAGTTGATTTCTTTGCTGTATATTTGTCTTACCTGACAGGGTCTGATGCCAGCTTCCAAATTACTAGATAAGCTAGTATACCGAGATAAACTGAATACCCTCATCATCAACCTGTATCCTGGGAATGACGGCTACTCATTGATGCTAAAGGGGAGAAATGGAACAGAGTCCGAGTCTGTGAAACTGCCATATGAGGTAAGGCGGTGAATGTATAGTATGGAAAACAAGATATTAGATTTGATGTTTCATGGTTTACTGACAATAACAGTTGATTATATGACAATAAAGACATTTCAGTTCACTATGTTGTACAAGTTAGTGTAAGTATTATTTACTTTTGCCTGTTTAAGTTTTTTTTTACATATTTTACTAGGTCTTTGTTTTTTCACACTACGTAGGTTATTTAATTTCATTTTTAGTCAACAATTGAGAACCAACAAATAAGTGCCAAGAGTTATCAGAAACAATTGAAAATTTGACATTTTCTGAGGCAATAGTAAAAAATAGTATACATTTGAAAAAAACTTGTATATACAGTTTTGAAAAATTATTTTGTATTTTTGTGGGAATGTTTGTGGCATTATTATTGGCCTAAATTTAAAGTGCTTTTGAGATAGAATACTATTCAAATCATAATTAATAGATTTCATCTAAAATAAAACTTTTATTTCAGGAGTCAGAGTTGTTAGAATATGTTGACAATGAAGAGGTGAGTGTACTAAGTTGATGTAAGGTATGACTGTTTCTTCCTTGGTTATATTAGTAGTTTAGTGTTTTCCAGTGTTGGAAAAGATGCAGATGTAAAAATGCGTGAAATATTGTTTCAAGTAGTATTGTTAGAATTCTTTCAACAGCTGAAAGTGAAACTTGTTAGTAAAGCTTGAAAAACACTTGCTAGTACAAGACCAGGGCATGGTGGATATTATAATATTATAATTTCTTCTATGTTCAGATGCATTCATGAATGCTTTCTTTTACAGCATTCACTGATAAACTTAAAACACCAGATTGCTTTATACAAACAAAGGGCACAGCAAGACTACTTATCATGTGATAAGTATAATGGCTGATGACCATCATACTATTCATAATTTAAGATAAACTCATATTAGAAGTTACTATTTTCCACCTGGGATTCAATAATAATATATTTTCAGTTTTTCATTTTCCTGTGCCAAGATAGAGATAAAGAAAATGGTTAATTTTTCTTAATTTCAGTAGCTTATTTCAAATGATATCATTTAAATATTATTAAATTTTTACAGCTTCCCCCAATCTTGGTTGATCTTCTTGAGAAGTCTCAGGTGAATATCTTCTACAGTGGAAGTGTTATAGCAGAGATCAGGGATTATAGACGCACCACCAGTAATACATTTGATACCAGATATGTGCTTTTGAAACCAACTCCTCAAGTAAGTCAAAACAGCCATTGTCATACTGGAAAATGTAATAAATTAGGAGTTAGTCGCTCAAATAGATTTTGATAGAAAGATAAAAACGTATTTTATGGCAAACTTACAGTGCATGCAAAACTTTTTTTGTAAAATTTGCTAAAATTGGGGTCTGAAGTGTCTTTTTTTGTGAAGTGTCCTTTTTTTTTTTTGCAATAAAAATATTAGATAAGAAATAGTTGTAAATACCTTTTTAAGTAATTTTTTTTAATAATTGCTACTTACTATAATAATTAATATGTATTAAAAAGTATTGATTCAAAGAAAAAAAATTCATTGTGATTGAATAATGCATTTTTTGTGCAGACCCTCTTGGGTGATATTTATAACTTAATGATGTGTATTTAAAGTTTTGATTCATTTTCCACACAAACCCTCTTATCTGATATTAACACCATAATAATATGTATTTAAAGTATCGATTCATTTTCTGTTTAGACCCTCTTATGTGATATTAACACCATAACCAATGATGGTCACCGCTGGACACAGGAGGA